CTGGAGATACACCTACCCAACACCAGCCGTAAGTACAATACCATCCATATATTCAGCAATACAATCAGTTTGTTGACTCAGTTAATACCAGTAGCCCGTTTTTAGAAAGAGGGACGTCGCATCGTGCTAGTTTGTCTTCATTGACAAGAGATAAACAAGACGCGCTTGTAGAAACAGAAGCACGCTTAAACTGGCTTTTTACAGAGGAGATCATGCATGGTTTATTACGTTCGGGTCCAATAACTCAATCAGTCATTCGTTACATTGAAGCGCAGCTTATGAAAAAGAACCCGTTTGTAGATTTCCCTACAACAATGTTTATGCCACTTGTATTTGCCAAGAACCAAACAAGCAGTCGACAAGTCTTCTTTGAAGAGTTAGAAAAGAACAGAAGTACACCTTACAGACTAATTCGTGTTGGAGACTGCTTTTATGCTAGTGATAACGGCGCTTTGAATTTGGATCTTTTGTCAGGGAACGATAGATTTTCGCATGATGGGAGTGAAACATATAGGGACGATGGGCTCAATTTATCAATTGATCAAAAGAACCATCCGGAAAACGATCAGGCTGGAAATGACGAGTTCTGTCAAGGATTGGGTATCAGTATTTTTGAGCCGGAAACACCTGAAGAAGATGAGATAATAGAAACCAGCACGATAGCTGACCCGATGAGTCAGCAACTATATTGGCTTTTACTTATACCACAAGTTCAAAGTGTTCAAATATACTTTTACTCCAAACTAAAGCAATCAGTTAACCGCTCAGAGATCATTCGAGTAACTAAAGCCATGGTGAATGAAGTTCTCGAGAGAACCAATAAGATTGTTCTTCTACAAAATATGCATGATACTCGTGTTTGCAGGTAATTATGCGTGTACAAAATATTGGCAATCATGTATATTTAATTATATTTTATGATAGCAAATATCTACTTGTCCCAGATAATGCTGGAGGAAAACACCAATACTCCTCCGATGATTTCTCCGATGAAGATAGTTTTCCAGACAAGTCAGGCTCTGGTGACAATCTTGTTGAAATTCTCTCGACATCTGGAGAAGAGACCACATTTACTCCACCCAAAAAATTCCAGCCTGGCCAATTCGGTTGCGATATTGTTTACACAAAACGATTTCCTTTACATTGGCGACTACAGCCAAATGCTGCACTTGGAATACTGTCAAACGAGGTTATGAGGCCTTTTTCCGTAAAAAACCGGCCAAATATGTTTGTGTGTATGAGAGACAATTCGGTAGTTTATTACTTCCTCTCTGAAGCGACGTCCACGCATTATGTTCTTGACTCTGATTCTCATGCAGAGTACGAAGGCTCTGTTGCCGCTCGCCCTGGATCACCTTACGGATCATCACTCACTCAAAATAATAGCGAGGCATTTTTAAGCTCTTCACACAATCGTATTCAACATCCTAACGTTACCCAGGGAAAGACATCACCACCTGGAAGTATTTCAAGTGAAAGAGTGAGTCTCAAGACGACGAGCCCTGGAAAACAAGACAGCAACGTGTCTCCCAGTATAAAAAGAGGCTCCAAAACTTATGAAACTCGTGAGCTAGTTTTGGAGGTTCATGGAGTGGATCTACCAAGTTGGATTTCTGAAGAGCTAGTTGACCTACTTGAGAACAGGCTGACTTCTCAAATTACATTGAAGGAAGTCCAGCAATTCTTGACAAGAAATCCTACATCAAAATTATCACGATCAGTAAGTTTATTGACTTTTACAAAAACAACAACAACGAAAACCCTTGTGTTTGTCTGTTTGAATTTAACTATCTTTGTAGGATATCGAATTTATTCTTCCAGTGGATAAATCTCCTACATTACACCATATTGTACACATTCCAGACTTGGTGGCCAACCCTATTCAGTTTTTAAATATTTTGAAGCAAAATATTCTAGTTGGACCACTTCGTGCAATAGCTGGTCCAGAACTTCGCCACGTTACTCGGCGCCACCGTACATTAAAATACGGTGCTGGATCTAGCTTTGCTCCCTGGCAAGGAAAGGAAAATAAGTAAGTAAAAAGTACATAAATCACCTTTTGGTATTGACTTTATATATTATATGATTTAAGAAGTGACATGGAAACTCTGGACCCTATTACTGGAGAGTTGTGCTTTTATTACAGCTGCTCGAGTAGGACTCCCGGTATATGCACTCCATTTGAGTTGAGCGCTGGTCAAGGTGTGGCAGGAACAATGCTTAGCCTTCTCGACTCAAGGGGAATATCAATTTCACAAGCCCCTGGCAAAGAAGAAAAGATTAGACACTTTAATACGTCTGCACTTCAAGCGTGCCTGAATTATGATCTAACTGAGGATACAGATACCCCAAGTGAATACAAAATTGGAATCGATATATGGGCACTTGGACAAACAAATGCCGATCACATTTTTGAGCACATTTACTGCTGTATGAAACAAAGTATATGCGATTATATTATTGAAAGAATAGTCGCGTTGTCAACATTGGAGTCGAATTTACACGACAAAAACGATATACATCCATTCGACGAAAATTATTCTGTACAAGATGTTATTCACCCATTCTTTGACGTCTTGGAGAATGCTGTTGAGTGGAAGAGTCCTTCAGTAAAAGAATTTTCCCGAGTTACATCTCTATCGCATTGGTGCATGGAAGACATATTGCTACACATTGACTTTGAATTGACAGACCACAATTCATCGTTGAAACCTCTTATTACTCGTGCTTTTCTTTCGGATAACGTATATAACACAAATGAACTAATTAGCTGCTATGAAGTCTACGAGCCGTCGTCGGCCACAGTATTCCGGAATAACGAATTTGATAATCGACCTCAGAACACGCGATTCTTACTTGTCAGTGGCCTTCCAGATATGAATCGACTGTTTTCTGCGCCTTCTGGATGTGTACGTCGACAAAGCATTGAGAGTGAATGGTCACAAAAGGTTCATTTGAAATATGCATTGGGAAGAGGGTTACTAGAGGATGAAGGTTTACGCATAGAGTCTTTACTGCGAAGGGATGATATAAGCATCAGTAGTAGACACGATTCTATGGCTTCTGGTGCATCAAAATCAAACATTGCCTTGATTCCAAAGTATAAGAACAACTACAAGGATTTAGCTTATCGAAACTCGTTTTTGATTATACAATTAGACGAAAGCAGATTAAAGTTTTATGCTTACAACTGTACTGACAGTTTTGCCGACCAATTTTTCCACTCGATATCACGCACCATAACACAGCAAGAAGCAAGAGTATCAACCCTCAAGAACATATTTCACCAGAAGATGGGATTGTTTCATCACACAGAAACAATGGCTGACATTATTACTACCGCAGAGAAATCTGGTCCTCCTGTCCCTCATTCAACAGTAATATCACATCATCAACATAACAGAACATCCATGTCACCAAGTATTGCCAGTATTGCTCGTTTAGCTCAACCCGATACCCAGCCACGCTTAATAACGGCAAACTCGGCTCCTCAACTGCACCTCGAGGATATATCTGAGAAGGCCGATGTTAATTTTGGGAGCTTAAAGCAGCTAATGACTAATATTTTTTCTGCTCGTACACCGATAGCTACGGAAAGACGCGGTCAGCTATTTTTTGATGCTGATAGTGAGATGACAACTAGTATATATGATGTTCAGGATGGAGCGAGACTATGTAGACTCCCAAGATCAGAAATGCTTGAAACTGTCTATACTGCAGTCAGGATTGCAGATGTTAATACCGTTTTACGCGACCATTATGCCGAATCGACAGCAAATTACGAACATGCGCGCAACCGAGATTATCTTATTAGACACGGGGAACCATTTCTTAACTTGTACCTGAGAAGATCTCAAATACAAACAGCACATGAAAAAGCCTTCAAGGTGTACACCAAGTGGGCTGATCGCTATTCAGATGGTTCACGGCCTGAACAGTTTGAAACAATGGCGGCTGCTGAATTAAAGATAATCTTAAAATCATCGCGTCTACTTCATTTCTGTCGAACACCTCTTTTTTTTGTGGAATCTGGGTCTGCTGAGACAGCAACTGTGGAGGCTATGAACTCGCACCTATTTGGAGAGTCAGCAACTGTCAAGGCAGAAGATATGAAGACATGGTACGAACGATTGACGTGTACATTTATGGCCGAATATGCTTCCTACCTAGAAGGTATTGGAATGCATTTGATTGTCAATGGTCCAGCAAACAATCACCCAGAAGAACTGGAGACATATCTGTCTAGGTTCAAGGCATCCGAAAACTACCCTGTTATGTCTCCTGTCATATATCTACTTCAAGTATTTCAGGGAGGTACTATTATGTGCGAAGCTAGATTAACGGATGGGTTTGCCTTTGTAACTCTGTATACTCTTCATCGTCGTTATGGCCGCTTGACACATTCACCATATACTCATGAAAAAAACGAAACGCGTAATGCAAGCTTTAAAGATTTTACAGAAGAATGTGGTCGTTTTAAACAAAGAATACATGTCAATTCTTTTGTTTTTGATTTCCACTTGCGATACATTCAAAAAAGCTTGGATGAAATCAACACACTTCCTGATAATATTGATATTCTCAGTATTATTCGCAGTACAGTATCTGTTTACAACAAGCCGACCAGTTATGCACGCAACAGGGTTCTTCATGGGCTATATGAACTAGACATGGTAGAAAACATTGCTCATTTATTACCATCCATTTTGCGAAACACATCGAAATTTGGTCTCAGGCCCTTGATATTTGATAACAAAGCAATTGCTTGTTTTGCCTCTTCAAACGATTTATCGTTCAATGACGATGGCAATGCATTTCCAAGTACAGATTCGCCTTTCCGTCACACTTTGATTATCTCAGCAGCAGATGTTTCACCCGGCCGTTGGGTAAACAATACCTTTGGTATGCTCGACAGATCAGATTCACTTAGTTCTACAAGGCACATGAGTACGGAAAACAGGGATGGTATTCCAGGAAAAACAGTACTTCAGTATTTTGTTTTGACAGTTTACCGTGAGATGGATCGCTGCTCATCCCATTCAAACGAAGAATCTCCGTGGTCAAAGGTTTTTAAGAATAAACCGAACGTCTCTTCTAATCCAATGAGTGAAGTAATGCGACCCTCGAATTACACTCTTGGAGATGTATCTGAGCAAGCAAAAAGAAAGATCGATGCGATTATTAACAAGGTAAACGAATAGCTATTTTGGTTAATTCAAACACAAATATATTAATATAAATAATCTAGGCCATCGTATCCTGTCGCCGTGATTCAGACTGGAACAAGATTTACCGGGCTGTCAGCACCAAGCGAACAAATGAAAATCAGGAGGAACTGATTGCTTTGTCTCAGGGTTTCGATTCGATGAAACTTGACACCGTGGATCCTTCTTTTGGAAGATTCCTGAAACTTAATTTGCGATGGAATGAAGTGCTAAATATGTTGAAGCAATTCTATCCGATGACAGCGGGGGAAATTAATATACAATCAACTCGACATCTTTTGCTCTTTATTCCCAATGCTGTTATGGGTTATTTTGCTCACTTTGAATACCGGTCAGATAATAAGAGTATATCCGTCTATGTCAGAAGCAAGGAAACCCGAGCTGTTGAAGGTGAATTGGATGATATTGAAAAACCGTTTGTATGTAGCTTAGCAACTACTCTATCGTATTACATATGGAAGAACACACACTAGTTATATAGGTTTCTCCGTTTCCAGGAGAGCTATTTAACAAAAGCCATCATTATAAATAAATAGAAATATTCATATTAGAAATATTTCCTCAATAAAAAGGTGCTTTTTTTTTTATAATATATATAAATTCTCTTATTTGATTTCACATCTAAATATATTTTACTTGATTTTATAATGTTTGAAATAAGAAATACATCCCTTTTGTCCATTCTATCAAATGGCGTAAAGGTCACAGTGGCTGAGATAATTGAGAGAAGCTTTCTTGGTTTAGTAATTGATGGATCGCACAATGCTTAAAACAATCACATCTCGACAAAGAGGGTCTTTAACCCGCTTTCAGCGCACGGTACCTACTGCTTTACATTTACATACCAGCAATAATGTAATGCACCCACGCAATGTAAATTCCTCGAGGGGAATCGACATGCAGCCTAGAGTCAGCCGTTGGGGAAATTTTCAACGATTGGTTCCTGCATCATTAGCCAACGTTGATGTAAGACAAATGACTCGACGTCTAGTTCCAGAATCAATTATAAAACCTCCTTATGCTGAACAAGGAATTTCTTCTGTGTGGAATCCTGAAGTTCCTTTAAACTCGCCTCAAGACATTGTTGGTCTTAGAAAGGCTGGCAGTTTAGCAAAATCAATCCTGGATTTGGGTCAAAAGATGTGCTTGGTTTGTCCCTGAATTTATATAAAGTACTTTTACGCATATTCTTATGATTTTTTGTATCTTTTTACTCCTTTTGCCAAATGTATAATCCACAGCCAGGTACAACAACCGAAGAAATTGACAAGGCTCTTCATGCTATTATTATAGCCAAAGGAGCTTACCCATCCCCACTCAACTACTCTGGATTCCCAAAAAGTGTGTGTACTTCAGTGAACAATGTAATTGCTCATGGCATACCAGATGAGTGAGTTTATACTATATATATAATACATATATATATATATATATATTGACTGGATTCTTGGATAATTTAGGCGTCCTTTACAAGATGGAGACATCATAAATCTCGATATTACTGTAAGCATAAAATATTTATGCAATATTTTATCATAGAGTCTGATAAACTTAATCATCATATAGGTATATCTAGACGGGTATCACGGAGATACTTCCGCTACTTTTTTAGTTGGTGAAGTTGACGAAAAAGGAAAGGCATTGGTGGAATGTACACGCGAAACACTTGAAAAGTCCATAAATATATGTGGACCTGGTGTCCCGTTTAAAGAAATTGGGCGTGTTATTTGGTATTGTGTCGAATTTAATGCTCATTAACCTTCAAGGATAGGCTAGGAATAAGTTTTTGACCTTTTCTTTTTAGTGAGCACGCTGATAAGTATGGATTCTCAGTCTCTGAAGAATTGTCTGGACATGGCATAGGACGTGAATTTCACTGTCATCCTCTTATTTATCATCATTGTAAGCTAAACTGGGTTATACCATTGTTCGAACGTGTTGGCTTAATTGGTTGTTTTCTTAGTGAATGATGAGGAAGGCCATATGGAAACGGGTATGTCCTTCACAATTGAGCCTATCCTTTGCCAAGGATCCCCTATGGGAATAATGTGGCCAGATCAGTGGACAATCTCTACAGTTGATGGTGGTAGAAGTGCTCAATTTGAACACACGGTAAATAAAGAAGAAGAAACGCTTGTTTTTAATTGATAAAAGCGATTAATATCTAAACTGTTTTTTTTTAGCTGCTGGTCACCGAAAATGGTTTTGAGATTCTCACAAAGTAATATGCCCGAAAGATTAGAAGAATACTACGCACTTTGTATACACATACATACACACAAAATTGTACTGAATACATTATTAAAAGTATATAAAATGGTTAATATTAATACGGTTATTGAGATGAGATAGGAAGGCTCAAAAATACTTATACATGTATCAATTTTTCGCTTTTTCGCTTTTTTTTTTAAAATAATAATAATAATAATAATAACAAAAATAGCCTATAGCTTTGTCTAAAGCTTGGCCTTTACTGCTTTTAACTCTTCAAGTGAAGCCAATCTTGTTTCCTCTGTGTTTGGGTCTGCTAATATAAGGAGCCCGCCATCAACCTCAGATCGGAGGCAATCAAGTTGGTGCTTTGCATCCAGCTCTCTCCATTTCCAAGATCTAGTGTATTCTGAATCTACTCCTTCAATAACGTGGCAGATTTTATATCCTAGGATGGGAATAAATCTAAAGGACATATTAATAGCACATTTCAAATGCTATAGTTAAAACTAGTAAAATAGAACAAAAGTCTTACTTCATCGCATGGCCTGAATCTCCTGAAGCCACAATAAGATTTTTATATTCTGGATGAGGCGAGATCACAAACCCACCATCGATAGAGTCACTGTACCTAAACCACATAAAGATTGTTTATTAAATTATAAGTATCTTTAGTCAGTTTTATACTTTTTTTTCTAGAGAGCCTCGTATATTATGTAATAAACATACCAGCAAATACGTGAGTAAACAACATCAAGCGAGCTGGTCTGCGGTAAGAAGCCGTTGAGAAAAGTACGCATATGCTTCAATGCGCCAACTGGAATAGTATCTCCAGAATGTGTAACCTGGGTCCTTGGGACTGACACGTTATCTTGAAGGCGAGGAGCAATATAGCCAGTTGCATGTCTTGCTACTTTCATTCTCCCCCCTTCATTGACCGGGAATCCATAGTATCCTATCGTGTACATATTTGTTAGTAATGTTTCCCCCGAATTTACGGCTATTATATTTTGTTCGCGAATCAATTACCTGTTCTGGAAACATCTGTACACCAAACGGGCTGATTCTTTAGGCTGGTGATAAGACTCTGTGGTGGTTGGAATTGGGCAACAACTTGTCCAGTGGCAATACATTGAGTAGATATGTCTACCAACCCAGGTGTCCACGAACCGGTTGCCATAATAACGCGATCAGCGTAATGAACTTTTTTATCTTTAGTGACGATTCCCACCACTTCCTTGACACCACTGCTTCCAGGCTTCTCCTGGAACTTCTCAAATGTGCCTTTATCCGGGCCCAACACAAATTGAACACCGTTTTTTATGCATTTGTTGTATATATGCTTCACGGCTTCGGCTGAGTTACACCAACCTAAATTTTGGATTATCAGAATTAACTTCATCACTATTACAACCCACGGTATGACTCACCACCATCCTTGTTAAGGTATGCAATATCATAACCATTTTCGACTGCTTCTTTGAACTGGGGGTACTTGTCAGTAATGCTCTTGGGAGTCGGGAGGTGTTCAATCACATGGCCATAACCAGCCTCAGTAATACTCTTGATACTCTTCTTTTCATAATCAGAGAACTTTCCGTTGGATCCAAAGAACAGTACACCCGTTTCATTGTAAACTGGGCCAAGCCCTTCCGCAGCACGTTCTTTGTTCCATTGTCGCCATATGGGCATACCCTCAAGCATCAATTGCAGGTAAAGTGTGTCATCAGCATAGTCCATTCTGACAATCTTGTTGATATCTAACACCAAAAAAAATTAATGTATGTTTATTTATTTGCTTTATGTATTACCTGTTGAAGCAGCATCTGTTGCAGGAATGGGAAGACGATCAAATACCCAAATATCATACTTTTTCTTCAAAGACAGTGCATGTGCAGTAGAAAGACCGAAACATCCTCCACCGACAATGATAATCTTTGATCCTGGGGATGGTGGTGTGTATGCTGTCATGCTTAAAATTATGGTTTATAAATATTGAAAAGCAAAGGGAAAATATTTGATGATAGATAGACCAATATTTATACAAATCTTTTGTAAAACTATCTGCGTGGCAGTCTGTAGGCTGTCTTCTAAAATAACCTTCTTTTATATATTCTTCAAACAAAAGCTATTGGTATCTTATCAAGGTACAAAAAAAACTCCTATTTCAAATCAATGATCTGATTATGATAGGGTAAAGTGGAAGAATATTAAGAAAATTCAAACAATCACCAAACGCAATAAACTTTATATATTTATTTAAAAATGGTAATAATGATATATGTCTCTCTTTCCAATAAATGTCTTTTTTTAAGAAAAAAAAAAGTACCCAAGGTTGGATAACTCACTGTTGAGTCAAAAGATATTCAGACAACTGCTAGGAAACTTAGTATACATAAAATATGGGTGTGCATTAGTATAAGCGACGACAATGAAGTTTACTAGATAACTTTATCGGAATATAACCTATCTTGTATTCTACCGTAAGCCTTTGAAAGAGCTTTAAAAGCCTTTTAAGGTTTCTACCAATGTATTGCTATTACATGACGCTATAACAAAATAAAAGGGAAAGAGCAAAAGTGAAAGGTATGCGTTGCCATTGGAGAAAGATATAATTACATATATATAATTCTTATTCTGAATCTCAACTTTGGGAAACATTTATAAAAATTGGTGAAAAGAAGCGTTTATTAGTACGGTGATATATCATATTCTCTTAAAGTTTAGAGAATTAAAACCAATCCCTGCTATGATTTCTCTGTCTTTTATGCCTTTTTGTATTTCATACTTTCTATTTTTGGTAGTCACCCAATTTTCTAAGCGGTATATTAATGGTGTGTGAGTATATTTCTTGTCTGAAAAAAAAAATACCCACAAGCTGGGCTATTTTGAGATCTCACGAGTAGTTTTTCAAAACGAGACCCAAACCATAAAACCAATGGATAAGACATCGTTAGCTGCTTAGTTTCCAGCTTTGGACTCTCAAATTCATAGTTACAGCTACTTGGATAATAAAGTGAGTAGGGTGCAAACCAACTCATAGTGATTTTATCAAAAGAGAGAATATTATATAGCCTATCTAATAAAGCATACCCTAAAATGCCTTTGAAAATGAACTTTAAAAAGAGGGAAAGGAAGAACTGGATCTATACAGCTTTTTGTCCGAGAATACGATTTCGAGTAACAAATGGAAACCCAGTACATCTCAGTTGGATATGATTTGAAGTCAAATCATTTTTCTTTTGTGTGAGTAAAGTATCCATGTACTTTACAAACCAATTATGTATATATGTACGTATATTTGTAAATTCATCTATATTATATTGTAAACTAGATAACCATAATCCAGAAAAAGGTGTATTCTCCTTTAGTGGAACAAGCTATACCTTCTGGTTTGAAGCGGCGATGCTTTTTTTTACTCATTTAACATTTTTCTCGTCTTGATATCCTTTTTCGTTCCTTGCTTTCGAATCCGTATATTCTTATTCACTTATTGCTAATATAACATGGCACCAATTATTACAAAGAAAGAGACCGTCATTATTGACACTGACCCTGTAAGATTTATATATATTTCTATCCGAGAAGATTAATGTATTCTTATGATAAAATAATAGGGAATTGATGATGCACTTGCTATCATCATGTCTCTCTTATCTCCCGAGTTGGATGTCCGTGCAATTACTCTCACGCACGGAAATGCTTCGCTCGATATGATCAAGCGGAATGCCGTAACAATTTTGAATGTGGTAGCAGAACAACGTGCATTTCTTGGACTACCCGCCCAGGTTCCCATACTCGCCATAGGTAAAGCTTACACTAAAACAAACTTAGAATACTCGGTCTGACAGCTGGAAATGAATAATTAGGGTGCGCATCCCCTATTACAGTGGGTCAACCCTGCGTTACAGCGACTCATTTCCATGGAAGGGACGGATTGGGCGAGATCTACGAAAATGTAAGCAAACAAAAGTATTTTAGTTTATTTTTTCTTTTTAGGGTAATCCAATTTAATCCGGACCACTCTACCCTCACTTTTATAAGAATCTCTACCAAGCTCCTCCAGACTGGGAAAGTCAATTACTCCACGCAGCCAAGGAAGTTACCAAGGAATCTTTCCATGCTGCTCAATCCGCGTTTCAAACCACCCCACGAGATGCAGCTGATGAGATTCTGTTTCATTTAAAGAACGCTCCACCACTCACTATTACTATATGTGCTGTTGGTCCCTTGTCTAATATTGCTTTGGCTTACCAACGTGATCCTGTCACATTTGGTAGAGCAAAACGCATCATGGTTATGGGAGGGTAAGACGTACTTCAAGTACAAGTACAAATCATTACAGCTACGTGTGGTTCTAATGGCAAAATTCTCTAGAGCTATCAATGTCCCAGGAAACGTCACTCCTAGTGCCGAATTTAACTTTGGTGCTGATCCTCAGGCCGCAGATATCATTATGGGTACAACTAAAGGATTTCAGCACAGTCCAGAAGGCTATAGTTCACGTCTTGCTCTCATAAATGACGGAAAGGTTGCTCCATCTCATGTTGTAGTCGTACCTCTTGATGGTAATCCTCGACTCCTTTTTATTATTACTTTTAAAGAGATATCTAACTTTTTTGAATAATATATTTACACAACATTTTTATAGCTGCTGATGATGGCACTGTATCTAAACAAGATTACGAAAAATATATTGTCCCTTTGGCCAAAACAACACCCGTTGCTACATTTTGTAACAGCTTCTTGATCTGGACATTTGATATATCTAGCAAACTCTATGGTATCGATACTCTATCAGTGTAAGTACCTTAGTTTGATAGTCCTTTTCTCAAAGATACTAATCGCAGTTTAATGTTAGGTTTGACGCATACACTATTCTAGGAACTATGGACATGATGTTTGATAAAGGCGACAAACAAGGACATGAACATTACGATGCTTTTTGGAAATACGAGTATATTGATCTCCGCGTAGAGTCAACAGGTCTCTATACCCAAGGCATGAGCTGTTATGATCGTCGTCCACATCCAAGTATGTCTTGGCCTGGCATACCTAACAACGTGCAGGTCATGCTGCGTGGTAATGGTAGAAGATTCAATCACTTCTTCTTAAACCGGGTCTTTGATGCTGGTATTATTATCTAGAAAACCCAAGCCAGCTCTAGATAGTTATCCTACTCTAATAAAACCATATAATATCATTGTTTTTCTGTACATGATTTATACAAAGTAGATTACTTTATTAGAGGAGGATGTAAAAGTTTTCAACCTATACATCCAAAGTATGTTCAACCTTTGCTTTTTCCTCGGTTTGATCAGAAGCTCCAGTAGCAGATGATTTACCACCCGTCATACGTGTCCACACGTAATCTTGTGCCAGTGTAATTACTGCAGCTTGTACTACTTCTGTCAATTTTTCCTCGACCCATTCGTTTTCTTCATAAGCAATTTCCAGCCAACTCAAGGGTATTGACTGAGAATATGTCTTAAACTTGAGGTTGTGAGTCGGGTCTACAAGCAATAAGACGTAAACCAATTGCTGCTTCTCTGTATCATCTTCATCAAAAAGAGGAACAGAGTGCTTTACAGGTTGAATGGCCATGAAAACAGGGCAGTTTATGACTGGAACAGCTCCCTGCTGGGGTATATAATCTGTCTTTTCTTCAGGTGCAGTATAGTGAAGCTTAATAAGGTTGTCAATGTTTGCCTACAAATATATAGATGATTAATTATGGATATATAAACAAATGTTCTCAATATACATACCTTTGCGAGTTTGGTTCCTTCAAGAGCGCCCTCACACATGTTCAAATCATTTGCCACATTTCCAGTTGACTTGTTACTTTCTCCTTTGTTACCCCCCTTACGAACTACAACTTGTCCGGTCTCTGTGTTTTCCATAACTCTGGCAAATGAACGGTAAACCAGTGACTCCATTCCCTCGTAACCATTCATATCGTGAGATAACCAGACCTCGACCAATTCGTGTTCGGAGATTGGTGGTGCTACTGTCTCGAGAAAAGTATTCATAGACTGAACTGTCAGGTTACGCAATCCAGTGCCTAGCTTCTCGATATTCTCTTTGTTCACCAGGCCTTGAAGGTGCTTCATACGATCCTCCAAAAGCTTTGCAGCTGATTCGTTAGCAATAGTCTGGTTGATTTGTTCTGTAGTAGTTTTAACGGCAGCACTGGCTTGAGTCCACAGAGAGTTTCCCCAAGACATCCAACCATCAGTAGGTACTTGCTTATCAGATACTGGGGTTGGTGCGGATGCTGGCTCGGTTATGCTAATTTGTGAATTTTGAGTAGCATCAGAAGAGGACTTTGCGTATTCTTTTTGCGGGATAGTAGATGACTCTGATGGGTATTTTGCAATCTCATCCAAAAAGGACATGATATCAGTGGAATCGGCTGTACCAGAAGCAGTGTGCTCATTGTTGCCGGATTCTGGTAGATCGAGAGACTCCAAGAACTTTTCTGCCTCTGAAAGACTGTTACTTCCACCTGTTGTTGCTGATGTTGGATTTGGATTTGACATGATGCTTTGAGAAGATGTGTTCTCTTTGTCCCAATTATCAAAAACATGTCTCTGTCACGTGCTCATGCTACACTAATCTACCACTGTAGTAAATGGCAGAAATTACAACTACGGTCGCGGAGTTATAATGACTGCCAATAGAATATTGGCTTTTAGTAAATTAAAAGTATTTACAGCGAATACTATTTATTGGAGTTAAAATTACTTTTTATATAATCCAATAAAATCGTTTAAAGTAGCAAAATTATACCATTTTTAGGTACATATTTCTCTTTTTATAACAAATTTGGATAGTACAATTCGTTGGATTTCAGATTATTTTTGCATATAATCCAATCAAATATTCTAAATATGGCAAATCTATGCCTTTTTTTATATATCTCTATTCTTATAATTGGTTCAACAAATACACGGTTTTATATTGGAATTTTATAGTTTTTATTGATCAAAATAATACAAGTTGAATATAAAGAAGTATGGAAAGAAGAAGTACTATTTTTTATGATATATAGTAACAGTTTAAGCTATAAAGTTACTAAATGATATACATATATCTATTTTTTATGTGATACTTTTTACATTGTTTATCTAAAAAAAAGGCTATTCTCTAGATACTATGATATTGATGAAGATATGTATATTGCTTAATTGATTCTTTTTAATCAAAGAGTATAAACCTGCTTTGTGTTAACATTGTCATGTCTGATTCATACTTTTGAAAAACAAGAAGACAGATTCCTTGCAATTCTCTAAATCTACCGAGATTTCTAATGAGCATGCGAGCAATCTTGACAACCAAATTGTACTTGATGCATATATTTTTCTGTCAATTCTTCTCGGATTGCTTTCTTTTGTCAACTTTGCTGATTCGTATTTTATTAATACTAGCCTTCATAGTTATTAAGTGTGTTCCTTTTAGAGACTTTTAATAATTTTAGACCTTGTGAAAAATAATAGAAACAAGTCCTTTTAGATGTACCAATCTAAATTGTTTGGAGAACCTGGACGGGTCAGAGGTTATGCATCGTTTGTGGAATCGCGATCTTGCTGCTGTCCTGAACTTCCGACATATACTTAACAATTTAAGATATGATGGGACTATACCTGTAAGGTTCACCCGCGTCATTCGGATTGGACGTATCAGAAGACAAGCAGAAGAAGATCTCCAGGAGGGTCGTCGTTTGAGACAAAGACTGACTAGAATTCAAATAAGATGAAAAAATTCCGTCCTGGTTACCGCTTAGGACCCACCCAAGCTACCGCTGGTAAGCCATTAGATTTGAATAACTTGGTATTTAGTTTTGTAATGGGTTGAAAAAGCTAAGAAAAAGATGATTTGCTTTGACTGCAAAAAACATGGTGGGGTAAAAAAAAAAGTAGAATATAAAAGAGAGAGAGAGAAATTGGTGCATAATTAAAACGCAAGTACAAGATACCCTAAACCCCGGAAAACTTGCAACAATTCACTAAAATCGCCTATTTTTTTTCTATAGGGTACGTTACTAACTATTTTTAGACTACAATGACTGAAAAGAAAATGCTGTGGTTTGCTTTGGAGATACTCAGTAACAAAATCTGGAACTACGAAACCATTGAATTCAGAATAGATTGTTACTCAAGTTAAGATATTTTAAATTGAATCTTTCGTGCAATTTAATTAAATGTGGAATAATAGCGAGTTTGTGTAAATTACTATGGTAAGAATCTACAATAGCTTTTAATGCAAAAGGAAAAATGTGGAAGTATACTTAATATACATTAAGCATGGTTACAAGATAGAACACATTTATAATTAATAGCTATTCTATTCGCGTGTGCGCGTATCGAGATCAGTCATTCCTACAACCTTTCTAAAGTATAACAAACACTATTTCATCTTTTGGCTATGATTCAACTTGGAATCTATTGAATTCATTCAGGACGGTCATCCGCAAAAAAATAATTAAAGTCTTCAAGCCAAATAACTGACATTGCTTATTAATGTATTATCCAATACAGTTATTTTCCTGAGTTGCTATAGTATTTTCCGTAATCCAGTTGCATCAGCAAAAGATCTAGATGTCCACTTGCTTTTATATCTTGTTGCTGGTTGGATACAATACCAAAGAAGCGCTTTGTCAGAGAAGAAAAATTCTATAAAAGGATAAAATATGTTAAAGAAATATTGGATTTAACTGCTTTCCTACCGTCTCAATGGCATCGATCTGATCCATCCATGCATAACGAGGCATTGGCTTTCCAGAGTTTTTCGTCCATTCGTCCACAATCTCTGCTACTGTTTTAGTAGTTCTGCGTCTCTTTGTGCTTTGCCACACTCCATCTTCTGATATCCGCTCAACTAATTCACAGAAATCAAGGCATAGCTTGAGAATGTCGTGCATTGTGTCAGCACAAGTTGTGGATAATAATAAAGATCCCCGCATGATATCTTGCAAATACTCTTCATGAGCTGCTTGTATTTCCTCAAAATCCAAAGCATTGGGTATTCCAAATATTGCTTGGTTAGGATGTTCTGGGTCGTCATTTTTGGCTTGAAAAGATGGTGCAATAGTGGTAACTAGACGTTGATAGCGTGCATTGATCACATTAGACTATAATAAAAGGTTAGAGTTGGTTTCTTGCTATATATATATAATGAACTTTGTACCTGAACATGATTCCACAGAGTATCTACCCAGAATAACATCGAAAATCGTAATCGCCACACCACGCGTTCTCTGTACTCTCCTTCAACATCAGTACTAGACTCTTCGGAAAGCAGCAGAGGGTTTTTGCTCTTATTGTCGACCTTTCCACTCCGTAGTGTTTTCCACAAACTACCCAAAGTCATTTGGACATTTTTCAATCCTATCAAAAAGCACCATAGTTCACTATAATGAGCAAGATCAGCTTGACTCAAAAAAAGATCAATAGGCCACTCCATTTCGTAAACAAGCACGCAACGACCATCGACTAGTAAAAGATCTGCAAATTGATAAGAAGGGTTTTTGATATCCTTTGTTTTCTCGACCCACTCCAGGCTATATCCTTTAAGATTATCTTCTGCCTCAGTTCCGACTGTAGCCTTGGCCAGCAAGGCATTCAGTTCTTGGTATCTGAAAATAATGGCCGTCTTGCTTAATGGTTTGGGGTCTATTGGTCGTTCGTCTTCTTCGTCCCTTGCATGTTTTGCAAACGGCTGAGATCGGTTTAAGACAGAAGTTGAAAACGACGATATAGACCTTTGGCGCCAGAGAGAACATTCGTCGACAAGGTTCATACCAAGGTCACCATAACCCAGCAAGAATATTTGTCGAAAAGATTCCAAATAACGCTGTAGCCCATGTTCACCTACTAATACTTGTGAAAATAGCCACTCTGCTGTAGACTTGCGTATCTGCTGGACTACCTTTTGAAGCTGTTGTGGGAAGATGATCCAAGGTGAAGAACGTAACTTTTTGTTGGCGTTTGAAGAGTGGAGAGAGAGAAGAAGACGGATGTGCCGTTTTTTCATCTCTTCAGGGATAGGTATTTTTTGACGCTTGTTTAAGAGCAAACTTGATGCTGACCTTGACTCCAGCTGTCCACCTCCCATTGAGTTTACAGTTGCAATAGCTTTTCCGACAAATAAAATTGATTCTGCAAGTGACTGAGATAGGTGGGCAGGTATTCGATCGATAGCTAAGCTGTAGTGTCGCTGCCACCCAGTAGCATGGGAACCAGTGTTCTCTCTTTCATTCATTATATCTGGAGTCCGAATAATGAAAAATTCTTCGTCTGGGTCAGCCCACTGACCATACACCATCCACGCTGTTAGCTGTCGATAAAGAACATCGTGAAGGCGCATTATCATTTTCTCCATTGCCTCCCGTAGTTCAGGCATGCCTGTCCTTGCCTGGTCCATCAATAAATCAAAAAGGCGGCAACCATGGTATCGCGTAGGATCTGTTTTTAAAATCAACACGAATTTCGACAATGCTGGTAGTAACAATTCCCAACGACCAAGGTTAGATGTTAGTAATGCAATAGGTACTATATTATCTCCAGCCTCGTCGTCTTTATTAAGGATGCGTTTCTCCATGGCAATAATGTCTTGTCGATAATTGTTAAGAATCCCTTCCAAGGTTGTGACAACAGCTTGAAGATATGCTCCACATGGTTTTTGATGTGTGTTTGGTTGTTTGAGATCCTTTACGGATGCAACGAATTGCGTTAGTTGTGCAAATACGAATCCAAGCTGTGCAAGACGATTGAGAGATTCGCGTTCGGTAGGATGCAATAATGGGAATTCTGGAGGAATGACAAATGTGGAGGGGTTTTGGGGCGGATGTGGGATAAAGACATCTCCAGGATAGCCAGACAAGACAAACAACAGTTCGTGAAGCATTACTCAAATGACAAACTACTTTTTTTGGAGGGGAAACTTTGGGCGTGTTTTTTTTGTAGTAGTGAATGGACGGTTATTTATTTGCCCGTCATTTGAATGTATAGATTTTTTTAATGATAAAAAACAAAGTGTGATAAAATGCAATGGTGGTTTGTTTAGAGCTCGAGAAGCAAGCGTCTAGGGTCCTCAACGATCTCCTTGATCTTCACCAGGAAGGTAACAGCCTCACGACCGTCGATGATTCTGTGGTCGTATGTCAAGGCAACGTACATCATGGGGCGAATCTCAATCTTGCCGTCAACGACAACGGGTCTCTCCTTGATGGAGTGCATACCCAAGATAGCAGCCTGAGGCATGTTGATGATAGGAGTACCCATAAGAGAGCCAAAGACACCGCCGTTGGAAATGGTGAAGGTTCCACCAGCCATATCCTCAATGGTGATCTTGTTGTCGCGAGCCTAATTTTATGCCTTAATAAATAACCTTGTATATGCACACCAATACTCTCAAAACTCCCACTCCCACTCCCACTTCCACTTCCATAATGTAATATACATTATACACTGTTTACTATGAACTTTATATTATGTATTACACAAAGCCCACCGTATACTATCCAGAATTGCAATATTAATATAAACATACCTTCTTTCCGAGGGCAGCAATAGTCTTTTCGATATCGATGAAAGACATATCCTCAACGTTACGGAGAACTGGTGTGACAAGACCCTTGGGGGTAGAGACGGCAACGCTGACATCAACGTAATCGTGGTATACAATCTCGTTTCCTTCAATAGAGGCATTGACGGCGGGAATAGCCTCGAGAGCGGCGGCGGAAGCCTTAACAAAGGCAGACATAAATCCAAGCTTAACATCGTGCTTCTTAACAACAGCATCCTTGTACTGGCTACGGAGGTTCATGAGGTTGGTCATATCGATTTCGTTGAAGGTTGTGAGGGATGCGGCGGTGTCCTGGGACTGCTTAAGACGCTCGGCAATTCTGAGACGCATACGGTTCATCTTGACGCGGTTCTCGGTACGGTTGCCAAAGACCTTCTTGGAATCCTCAGCGACGGGGGCAGCAGCCTTGGGAGCGGCAGCTGGGGTAGGGGTGGGAGTAGGGGTAGCCTTAACTTCCTTGGGCTCCTCCTTCTTAGACTCGACCTTAACTTCAGCCTTGGGTTCGGCCTTGGTCTCAGACTTGGGCTCCTCCTTCTTGGTCTGAACGGAACCTGCAAATGTCTGATTTAGACATCACTTACGTGGATAAACCCATCTATCTTTCTTTTTCCCTTTACATACCTTCCTTGGGGGCATCTCCAAGCTCAAGCTTGAAGAAATCACCACCAACAGAGACGGTGTCCTCTTCCTGGGCAAATACTTCGACAATGGTACCTGAGGCAGGGGAGTTGACAGTGACATCGATCTTGTCGGTCTCAATAGTAGCAACTTCCTCGTCCTGCTTCACAAAGTCTCCGACCTCTATACAAACCAACGCGTTAGTTTCGTCCCCTTTCGCCTCATTTTGAATAATCCCCTTGTCTCTAATCCTTTATTACTTACTCTTGACCCACTGCTTAAGGGTACCCTCAGAAATAGATTCGGCCATCTGTGGGACCTTGACGACCTTGTCAGCTGTGCAATTAAAAAGCATGTTCGTGTCGCATGAGATGTCTGTTGTCCGAGGTAGTGCGCTTTGTGAATCTTACCATAGGTTCTGATCTGGTTGCGAAGGATTGATGTCTGGTTCTGGTTGAGCTGTCTATGAAATGAAAGAAAAATCAGAATTCATATTATGCAAGGCGAATATATGCATTGATATAGCATTTTTTTCTTCATCAGAGGAAAAATTCGTGTTTTGTCGAGATAGTTTACCTAAGACGGTTAGAGGTGCCAGTGAATACGGCAGCAGGAGCCTGAATGTGGAGAGTGCGAGAGTTAGCGAGGTAGCGAAGACCGGCAGAGACTGCGGGTCTAGCGGTCGAGCGAGAGAGGTGGGAGGCGAGAGATACGAGGCGAGAAGACTGCATCGATGTAAGTAGGTTAAACCTGTGAAAGAGAAAGGGTGAAAGAGAAGTGTAGAAGCCGTAAGCCCAAGGGAGGTCGTAGGATTTAAGTGAAAAAATAACAACAATAACCGGGTATAGGCGGAGACGAAATGAATACTAAATGCAATGGATAAATACGGGACATCCTTTACTCGGCAAAGCGCGGTAATTCAAATGCGGGAAGGAGGTCTCTCTGTCTCGTGGCTTATTTGCGAATCATCGTTATGATGTCACCGTCTCTCTCCCAATTGCCTCTAAAGGCGATCCGATGCCCTCCGGGATGTACCCCAGACAAATGCCTCTTAAAGCCGCAATTTTTAATGCCCACCAAATAAAACCATCCATATACACCTTTCTTTGCCACCATCTCCTTTAACGCGTTCTTGTGTTGTTTTATCGCGTTACAACTACCCTTGGATCGATATTTACTTCAATCGATGGCTTACTTGTCAGGTATCAGCCCGACCGATGGCTGAGTGCAAAACAGTGGCACACAGCAGCAAACATTCATCGGGAGAAAAGGGGATCCGGGTGAACCCGTTTAGTTTGAAGAAGATTCAAGTGCTCTGTTTATTAGCATGTTCTTTATTTAATTTAATTCTATTGCTTGAAAGAACTTTGGGATGCTAGATCTAACAATTATTTTTTTTAAAAAAAAATAGTAAATTTTACTTGGTAAAATGTTATTTCTTGATGAATTATAGACTACAAAATGAGCAACCAAGAGATAAGACATTTAATATATTATTCGTATGACAATACATGCAAATCATGGCCACTGCTCATTACTTTTATATATATATATGTATGTATGTATATATATTCATAGATAGCCGATAATGGAAATAATTAACAATTATCACATGCGCCAGGAATTGGTCTTTAACTACTGTTCTTTACAGCAGTATTGACACTACCAAGAAGCCAAGGCTGTCTTGTTGCATTAATATTAAATTGAAGATCATTCCCACACCACACCCAAATACTGTGGGAAAGTTTATGTGACTATCTAACTCTTAAAACGTGACTGTTGAGAATTCCATATTTGGATAAAGGGCAGCATATGCCTGGTCAGTCAAGGTCGAGTGAGCAATTTGTACACTGTAACAAACAAACACATTTAGAAAATTAAACATAATATAAAATCTGTAATATAATGCTTTTTTGTTCCACATTAGTAAGTGCACCCCACTAGAATCTCTCTTACATAACGACAGTAAGCACAATCAGAATTAACGGTGTAGTACATCGAGATAGACTAAGTAAACCAAAAAGAAATAAACAAATAAATAAAACACAGGTCATAATTCGGTCTGGTCTGGTCCAGGGTGAGAATATGAAATAAAAATACCAATCTTTCCTCATGTAAGAATCACATTCACGTACGCCAATACCCACCTTGTCCCCTTGAAATATATAGCATACCCCTTCTGTATTGATTTTTAAGAAAGAATGGAAGGGTCTCCCCGGAATAATGGTCCTAGCATGTAGTCGAACTGCCGCTGTATCCCGTATATTTAGCCGTGTTCATTAATGATAAACACACACGCGCACGCACGTTTTTACCAAACTACTATCTTTTCTCCAACCAAAAATTATTAAGAAACACAATTTCTGAATGTATACAGGGTCCAGCAAGATGTATATCTGAAAACATATTTAATACAACACGCCACATTAACTATTGAATAGTTTTTGCTGGTTGGCACCAGACTTGCTCTTCAAGCAAGGACTGTGCACACACTTTTAAACCTCCGGTACGATCAGTTGAATATCATTTGTGAGACTGTTTTTCCTTGAGCTGTTCTCAAATTTGGCAAAGTGCATATTATTGCTTCTTGTATTTGTTCAAGCTCTAAGGTACTATAACGTATAGAAGTGGTTTCTGGTTAAAGAAGAGGATATTTGGTTTCAAAGGAGGGTCGTATTTATTATACCCCAGATATGGTTCGCTCAGAATATTCTTAGTTTAGAGCTCAGAATCCGATCATTTTGTAAATAAATAACTATTGTATACCAATAATGGACTGTTGTTGCCCACAACCTTATGATGGCCAAATTAACCACGTAAAATTTCATTCATAATAAATATGTGTAGCCTAACCCCTCAATTTAAGCAGCCAATCTTAGAGCACAATTTTCCCTTAAAATTATATGGCGCCAGTTCACAGAAAATCACAGAGATCTTATCAAATAATACTCTAAACGATTTTTGTGGGTATAGTGTGCATATTTCAATGTAGACAAATTCCTGTAGATAATGCAACAATAAACACTTAATCTTATTTCAGGAAAATCGTACCTTGGATATATTAATAAAAATAAATCTATTTATCCCTGTTTGTACACAAGTTATTGTCCCCGCATTGATCTTGAAATTTGTGCAACAACCCAAGTAAGACACTTTTTTCCTCACAGAGACAAACTATGAATATCAGTGACACAGACGATCTGTCAATTATACCAAAGAACAAGAAACATGTATTCATTTCGTTCCAAAGGACTGTCTACAACATGTATCTATATGTATATATGTACTCACGTTTCTTTGGTTCATCGTTGTATTAAATTTGACCCGAATTACAAAATACTTTTCCTAGGCTATGTATTAAACGCCATTTTTCCGGGTTGGCTACACTAGTGAAATATATGATGACACTTTTATAAAAATAAATGTTTTTGGGGTTTCTAGTATGTTTGTTTTACTAATATTAGCCTACAATGTCTAGATATCTAAACATTTGTTAAAGAATATCTATTATATAAATAAATAATTGATTATGTCATCAAAATCGATTGTCTTGATAATCTATAATTTCTAAAGACTTGAATAAATATAATTTTCCAAGGCGTAACATAAAAAGATTATGGATAGCATAGATTGTAATCCAAACAGCCCTTATCAACATCCCTTCTTTATATGCAGTTACAGTTAAGTAATATTAAGTTAGGTCCGATGATTAAGTGAATAAGCAAAAATGATCTTATCGATCAAAGTTAATCAGGACAGTACTTAATGTGCTTCTATATGAGGAATAAATGAAAACAAGTAGATTATGCCCGTAGTTATGTATGCTATGTAGCTAATATATAGACATTATATACAAAAGCCAAAATTATTACTATCATTCTCATTACAAGCTACATGAATTCTACTTCTAATCATCCTTATCTATACACTTGGGTTCATAAAATCTTGAGTGAACAATATCCAATATAAAGATAAAACCCCCTTTTTTTTCTGCAATAATGTCCCTTATTTCACAAATCCCGGTTTTGATTGTGGTGAAAACTCTAAAAAATTCATTTTTTAACTTGGGAGATAATAGGGAGAAAAGTGAGACATGCTTTGATAAGAAACTGTGATACATACAAAACTCTTAGTATTTATTACGTCTAAAAGCTTAGCCTTCCATCCAAGAAGTCTTGAAGGCTGGTGTTCTCTTAATCCACGTGTAACATTCCCTACTCCGATGTGCACCCCATACGAAATGTTTGCTTGTTTCCCAATATACACACCAATCTCTACCGGACCAACCAGATCTTTTTTTTCAGTTCCTGAAGATGTGACTGTGTACATTGGCAAGCAATTAAACGTTTCATTTGTAAGTACAAGGTATCGAATTCAAAAAAAATGAGAAACTATATCTTTTAAAAATAGAGAATGTGTGAACTTGTAGCAGCTTCCTATCAAAATTAACGAATTTAGTAGTAAGCAAATTGTTATAAATTAGCATCCTCTCTACTGTATGCATATTATGGTTTTAACTGTAGCTGTACATAATATATAGATGTCATAATGATGTAGTTATTTTGGCGTTGAGGACTAGATTTTTGAACGGTGGACTTTTTCAAATTTAACCTGAAATCATTTTTTTAAAAAAAAAAAGTATTTGATTTTCTCATTTCTGAGTGCAAAACTCTACAGACAAATCCTTTCCAGATGTTTATTGATCAAACCATTCGCAACTTCTTTAAGTTTCAAGTTAAAATCTCGAGAGAAAATACCAGACTGGTAATCAACCTCCTAATTACTTATAGGATCTCAATAAATAACTAATTGAGCGTAAGCTGTCAATAAAGTAGAAAGAATGCTTTTAACTACTAAATATTCTTTCAGACCTTGCATGGTAACATTGAATATTGTAGTATACTCTAAATTCCTACTCATAGAAATCCTTGCATAATTGTAGCATAATAGGGATATTTTTTTTTGGTTCGTTATTTATTTCATTAAATTGATTACCACAATCTTCACACTCTTTTCACTCAAGATATTCACGAGCATATATGGTATATGAATTGAAATTTTATTTATTATGGGCATACTACTATAATTGTATGATAAGCTGTATAAACCTCTACTAGACATAGAAAACAGTGCTATATTCTATGTCTAGTGGAGGTTTAGACCGTAAATTGCAAATATTTTTCCATTTCTTATTCTGCACACTAATTTTCACACTGAAATGCATATGTGTATTTGATTTAAAAGAAAATCCTGCATTTTGATCATTAATTAAAGAAAATGTACAAAATTTTTAGGAGCATAATCAATGTCAAGCAACATTTAAATGAAGAATATTAACGGGTCTCACTAGGTTACTAACACATGCAGAGACACTTTTTTAACCTATTTAGATGTATGTTTGTCCACTGTATTTAACTTACAGATTTGATCAAAATGATCCTTTTTATTAAACAGCTCTTTATTTGACCAGTATTTTTTTTTTGAGCATCTCCAGCAGTATCTAAACCCAAATACTAAATATCCAAATTAGGAAATGGTGTTTAGATTTTCCAAAAAAAACGTCTCCAGCAGTTTCTAAACAAAAATCTAAATACCCAAATCCGGAATTTAGATCTAAACTTTTTGAATCAAAATCTAAACTTCTGTAGGTTTTCTCAAATTTTGTTTAGATTCTGTCAGTTTCGTTAGTTTCCTTTTTTAGAGCAAGACTTTGCTAATTATTGTTGTAATGAAGTGAAAGAAAATTCAATGTCCAACAACACCTCCAACATTAATGCCCACCAAGATGGCAATTCTGTTGAAATCGAGATGCTTACCTTTCAAGTATCCAAAGCTGGTACTAATATCGAGCTTTAATTAATATAATACTTGTTATAAATAATACTAATGCATCCGTAAAAGAGTCTTTTAATCCCAATAAGAACTTCACCGTGGAGGAGGATTTACAGCTCTGCAGTTCTTACATGTTCATTTCCACGGATGCTATTCATGGCAATGAACAAAAGAGTGACACTTTTTGGTCCAAAATCTCTGACCATTACAAGGGCTTCCTTTCCGAGCTTGTTGGAGACCGCAACACTCGTGCCCTGACCAACCGTTGGTATAACATCAACAAAGCGGTTAACAAGTTTTCCGGAATCATGTCTCAGCTTCGAGCAGCAAACCAGAGTGGGGCGAATGAAGAACTCCTTGTAAGACACCTTTATTTTTTATAGAAATTTTTATTTCATGATAATTAAACGATATATTAGGAGCTCAAGGCTAAGGCGATGTACAAGGCTGAAATGAAGTTGAACTTCACTGCCTACCATTGTTACCGCTATCTGTCCCGGTATCCCAAGTGGCAAGAGACAGCAGAAAAGTCGCTCGAAAAGCAGAAGAACAAGGGGAAGGGTGGCATGAAGAAATCTATGTCTGTTGCTGTAGAGGGTCAGCAACAAGATGATGATGGCACCTCTGACATGTCTGGCACTCGGCCTGCTGGGAGAAAGCAGATGAAAGCAAGAGAGTCGGGCGTACGAAGATTCGAGGAGATGATGGAGGAGATGCATGCGATGAAGGCGAGCAGTGCATTGGAGCTCAAGGAAAGGTCTGCTCGCATCCTCAAGTCCATCGAAGATCAAGCTGAAGAACAGATGCGTGCAGCAAAAGCACGTCAACTTCTGGACGAAGAAGAAATGGCGTCCTTCAAAAGACGCCGTCTTCTGGAAGAAGAAGAGATAGCGTCGGCTAAAATCCGCCGACAGATAAATGAAGAGGAACTGGCCTCGGCCAAAACACGTCGGGATATGGATGAAGCCAACACAAGGCTCATCAAAATAAATACATTGATCGCCGAAAGAAAGCTTTTGTCTTTTGATGCCAGTAGCATCTCGAACCCTGCCGCCCGCAAGAAGTTCTTGGACTTACAGCCGCAGGTTATGGAAGATAACACTGACAGCAAATAAATAAAAAAAAAATACAACTAATATATATACACATTTGTTTTATTCAATTTGCTGGCGCTTGTCGCCTTCTCTCTTCCACAAGCTCTCAATCAAATCCTGTCTCAATTGGAAGAGCTGGTCTCGGTTTCGGATTTCCAGATGTCTCTGAAGGTACCTAGCAAAGCTCCCCTCAGGAAATGGGCACTCTCCAAAACCAGAAACCACAGGTGGCAAAGTTGAGACAGGATCGATATCGATACACTGTCTTTCGTCTGCTATCCTTTCACTATTATCTGCATGACCGATTTCCATGCTCTTTCTCTTCTCCTCAACAATCATATTGTGCAATATAATGCATGCTGTCATAATATCATGAAGAGTGTCTCTATCCCACATTCTGGATGGTCCAGAGACTATGGCAAAACGTGCCTGGAGGACACCAAAAGCGCGCTCAACATCTTTTCTTACCCCCTCCTGTGCCTTCGCGAAATTCTTGAAAAAGGGAAGTGATTAGTTAAAAGAATTGAAAGATCGTGATATATACTAAGGTACCTTTTCCTTTGGTGTCCTAGGATCGTTAAGACTCTTCACGAAGGCACCGTATGTAGGGTATATCCCATCTGTTAGGTAGTACCCCATGTTATATTTGTTGCCATTTATGGAGTAATTGACAACTGGGGCTTTCTCAGTTGCGAGGTCCCTAAACAGATGGGATCTGTCTAAGACATTTATGTTATTGAGACAGCCAGGCAAGCCAAAGAACGCGTGCCAGATCCACAAGTCGTATGAGGCAACAGCCTCCAGCACTATCATCGGTGTCTTCTCCTTTCCAACAAACTGCCCATGCCAAGCAGTTGGGCAGTTTTTCCACTCCCAGTGCATACAGTCGAGGGAGCCCAACATTCCAGGAAAGCCTCTTGATTCCCCTTCCTCCAAAAGTCTTTTAATATCCTCTTCGGTGGGTGCTCTCAGGTACTCATTACCAAAGACAGCAACGACGGAAGAGCAAAAACGCTTTACACATTCCAAAGCTGTCGACTCTGCCATTCTGAATGACTCGTCAAGGGAATCGGCTGGTAGTCCGTATGCAAGCATACGGATTGTTACAGATACCTTCTGCAGAGAAGAGAAACCAGGTACACGAGCAGCATTCAACTTCTGCTCAAAGTAGCTGTCGTGCCCTTTTACACCCTCTAGAACACGCATGAACAAGGCTTTGTTCATTCTGAATCGCCTGCGAAATTGTTCTTCAGTGTAGGTTGATTCGGGATTGAAGTAATCCTCACACAACTGCACATGACCACGTTGCCTGTTGCGATTAATAACGGTGCGAGCCTTCTTTGGAGCCTTCTCTTCACAGTCCAGGTCCGAGTAGTAATGCTTTGCCATAATAGCAAGCTCCTCCAAGTCACATTCATTGTCTATGAGATTGCGCTCGTCTTCCTTCAGCGATGCAAGAAGTAGTTCAAAGTTCATTTTTGTAAGATATTATATGAGAATAAAAGCTTAAAGAAACAGTAAAAATATAGTAAAAATCGAAGCAGTCATAATTGTTTAGAATCTGTATTAAGAAACTGCTGGAGTGGCCTTCATATTCTTCATACTAAATCGCCTTATTTGTACTAGCGCGGGAAATCCTAATTTGGATATTTAGTATTTGGGTTTAGATACTGCTGGAGATGGTCTGAGAGAAATTTCACCTAAATAAAACAAAAAAAAACTCGACACACAAATAAACCATATCAATAAATCAGCTGTAATAATCAGCATGCATCAAAACTTCTCTCTATTCTACTCTACTCTATGCGATTGAATATGACAGTGTACCTCTTTTATGATATCTATGTATTGTTACTAAATATACTTTATTTATGTCAATTTATCTTTAAGAACTGTAATATAAGAGCTGCTTGTGGTTTTTTTACTAGTTTTTTTTCTTATACAGAACATTGAAGAATGTATTCTGTAATGTATCAATACTTGTTTACTCTTATTTGAATTCAAATCATATTTTGAACTATGAATATCATTGTGTGTATGTATATTTAATAGCGAATGGAAGGTTCCAAACATTTGTTGATATCTAAAGTACAAAAGGTTTGCAAATAAGCATGCTTATTTCATAAATACGTCCATATCAAATTTCTTGTACACAGTCTGTGGCAGTACAATGAGGACATTGCCTGTGTATTCAGTCCACTTCACGTCTTTTCTGCCTCTCTTTCAAAAACATATTTTTTTTATTCCTTCTTATCTCTCATTTCTCTAATCTCAACACATTCTCTTTATAATGACCATCCGGATTGGTCAAATTCAATAACATACATTTCACGCCATCGGCATTCTCAAAAATACTTCTGACTTTAATCATTATATATATTATAGACAAAAAATAGTATGTATGAAAGACGATTGAAAATACCATGTTAGAATATACAAATATTCTTTTATTTCTTTTTATATATATTCAATTAGATTAATTTCTTCTCATGAATGAGCCCTCCTAATTACAACATTGACATCTTTAATCAAGTAAAAAAAAAAGTTTAAAAGCGTGTTTTTTTTATTAAAGTTGACAATAACTAAGAAAAGCTTTATTTATTTATTTATTTATTTATTTATTTAAAGATACACATAAAGAAACTATTCTATTTGATTTGATTTAGTTTCACTTAATGTTCTTTTGCATAAGTAAAAGAATAAAAAGCATGACACCGAGTTCTTTGTCCCCGCATTACGCGGCTCAATCTCCTTCAGGACGTAAACCTGACTTGGTAGCGAAGGAGGTGCTGGAATGGTGGCAAACCAACGGAAAGCACCCGTTCATCCAGCCCCACATCTCGTCACCGAGTAATGTGGGTGCGAACTCGCCAGAGAACTTACCACTAGGTGATAAGGTCCAGCTCATTCGACTACCAGTAGCTTCACCGTCAGCCATTAAAGAGTTCAGTCAGGTTAGCAGTGAAGAGCCAGCACATCTCACCACAGGTTAGACCTCCCTCCCCCCAGCATCATGATTCCACATTGGCGATGCGATGTACACAGTAGTCTTTCCAAAAGAAAAGAGACCATGCCCCACGACTTCTCAGAATTAACTGAGCTGGCGAGTAACAACTTTCACTTTACGATGCTTGTAGCATGGAAGAATCTCCCTGCAACGGTCGCAAGAGACGCCTCACTATGAAACCGGGACTGTTGTTGCTCAAGGAGAAAACAAACGACGCGCGTTGGAGGAGGTCTATATGTAACAGAAAATTTTTCATCTGCGATTAAAGTTTAGGACTGCGCTTTCTGTTAGTCTTAGATGTTCACGTCAGAGCAAACGTGACATAGCTATATATTCTTTTTACTAAGTTTGTGTAACTGTTCTATGGTAGAAGTAATAGCTAATAATATTTAACAAAGTACTTATGAGAGCGACTTTGGAAAGTAAAGCAAAGAATCAAAAAAAAGTAAAGAAGTAATGAAGGGTTTGGTCTTGATCGGTGTAGCTATAAATCTAAAGGTGGAGTACAAGTTTCTGTAACGGCGATTTATAGGTTACTCTAGAGTGGTCTGTGCGCTTTTTGTTCAAAGGTATAAGAGAAAGTATTTTTCTTTTGCTTGTACAAGTAAACATGTAAGGGACGCAACAACTATTAGGAAATATACTCACCTATATCTCAAAAAATATTAAGCGATAAATATACATGTATATCGTCTGAACTATCATTATACGGTATGTGGCGGAATTTTGAATTTAAGCATGAGTTTTATTGAAATGAGGCTACACCGATAATTGAAAGTATCAAGATAATTTCCCAAGAAAACGGGTGATTACCATCAGATATTAGGGGATGGTGGCGTAGAATATAACAGACACCCCCAAAAAAATGTTCTATGTAAGAGCTCTATACACTAATAGTAGTCATATATGAATAAAAATGAGATAAATTAGCAACTGAATACCACTGAAGAGATCGAGTTTTATCCTTTTATTAAGGGGCGGAACCGGCACCAACAAGTTAGCTATTGCAGACTATGTAGTATAAAGTAACCATCCCAGGAAAGAATATAATGTATACTGAAAATATTAACAAAATAAAAAACTCTTAAGTTCAGTCTCTTGCTGTTAAATAATATTGAAACATGATTAGAACATTAAAGATTTTCAGAAATACAATACTTTTGAATAGCCATGGGGAACAAAGTAGATTAATTGACAAAGATAATTCTGATTCTACAGCAACAAGTCACGGTGTTTTATTTAGATATACAGTTAATGGCCTATTTGTGTTGCTACCTACAAACGAGTAAGACAGTTACTTTGGCGGGAATTATACTATACAAAGAGAAGTATCATAAAATGATATTATTTTCGAGGAAAAAAAGATTATTTGATATTAATGGCTCTCTCTCCATAAAATAATAAAATATTGCTTTTTTTCTAGACCTGTTTTTTTCTTTGCTTTTAATTAATTAGTTTTTTAATACTAAAAAAGTGAGAGTCTTGGATCTGGATATTGAAATTATTTTTAAAGAATTGACTTGACTTGACTTGCACTATACTTCCACTATTCGTATACCTGCGTCAATACTGCACATATCAGAAAAACATATGTGATCCACCAAAAATTAATTTCGCAATTTTCTATCTACCTTACTAAATATTTGTGTAATTTGTCCCTTTTATTTAATGAAACGTCTAATTTATTCATTTTTAATAATCCCATTTTATACCAAAGCACTTTAGCAAAGCAGTTAAACTTACCAGACCAATATCTTTCGTTTTACCTTTAATTTTATGAGCTATAGCTATAAGGCACATATACACACACAAACACAATGACATTATTTACCTAGCAAAGTTCACTAGATTCGAGAACACTAATAAGAGCTTATATTAATAAAGACACCGAGATCCAAACAAATCAATGTAAAGTAAGAAACCGTCATACTTCTTGTTATTCATACAAAAATAAAACATTTTGAACCAATTTAACTAAAAATGCGAGGAGAGGGTCTTGAATTTATTTTTTATTAAAAGTGTATTTTTTATCTTTTCTTTTTAGGAAACTAAAGATATTTGATAAAATTTTCTTGAATTAGATTGTAGTACAATAGACGCTTTCAATTATACTGTTTTTCTTTTTTAAAGAAATTGTCAGCTTATTGAGTGGATAAGATGCTTTGATATACTGTTCAACTGTGCGAGTATGCTTTCAGTACCTCTTTACTGATAATTTATACAGTATAGTTCGTGAATGAAGCAGAGGCTAAACAAGCGGTCCCTAAGAAATATTCCAATATTGGAGTTTTTGGGGTATTATTCTCACCTGTACTGTTTCTTTCAAATACCCTGATAATGAAAGGCTTTATCATGTGATTTTCTTTATCAATGATTCATGTGTTATGCGTTGCATTCATTGCACGCCTCTTTTACTTCACATAGTCTATATTTACTATACATTGACACCAAATACATATTCCTTTAGATGCCTTACAAAGTTGCAACTAATCGCTCTTTTCAATCTGAGTTTGGTATTCAGAGCCTAGGAAGTGACGATGAACGTAACCCGAGTCATGCACAAAACCAAGATTCCGATCGATGGAGCAATCAAAGTCCAAGATCACAACAAACCCAATGGGATTACCATCATCAATCAGAAGACAGTAATGAGGACTTCATTATACCACGCCTCAGTCTACCACACCATGATTCTCGTGCAAACCTTGGATATCTGAAGATTATCATTTGCGGTGATTCCGGTAATACGACTACAAACAAATTCCCCTTCTTTGTTTCTCACCTGACAAAGGTGTTGGCAAGTCTGCTTTGATTCAGGCCTTATTGAGCTCTCCAGAAGTATTGTTGGTTTGTGATTCGTCTGTCAAAAGCTCTATGAGTCTATCGTCTACACTGGGAGCTGAAGATGGGGAGAAGTATGTATCTGAGTACGTGGCTAGTACCATGCAATGTTCAGAGTGGAAGAGAACTTCTGCAAGAGATAGACACCGAGCGCATGATGATAAAATATACCACAAGAATCTATGTCTCGTAGATACCCCTGGTTACGGTTCTAGTATTCATGTAAGTCTTGATGTTTACTGATAGGGATCACTGATGCTCTACAAAGGCCAATGATGTGATAAAGCCTGTAGTGAACTACATTGAAAAGCAGTTCCTTAGGACCCGGTCACTTCTTAATCCCACCCTGACTGATGTGGATGATATTTGTCATTTGGTCAATAACCCTAATGGCGCGCACTCACACATTGATTGCTGCCTTTATCTTACTTTGGGCCATCTGAAAAATGTCGATATTGAATACATCCGTGCACTTCAGCCTTTTTGTAATATCGTTCCTGTTATTGTTAAGTCAGATCTTTTACAGCCGGAAGATGAAAAGAAGCTGCGGGCCGGTGTACTCCAGACACTTAAACACCACAACATCAACTTCTTTGACTTTGGATATAGCTTTGAAGATCTGTTACAGAATGTCTTTAAATCTGATTTTTCTACTCCCCCTTTTACTCTCTCTAACCTCACGCGTCTTAATTGGGCTGCCACCGAAAACACCAGCGTGATATCTTCTCGTGATGGTGTCAATAGTGACGAAGACAGTAGAATATCTGCTGACGTGCGGCAATTAAACCATCTCAAGGATTGTCTGTTTTACAACAAAACAAACGCCTTACGGTTTGACACAGCTTCAAAATTTGCAACTTGGAATCAAAAACAAGTGCCACATATTGACCAATATGACTTTCCCCCTTCCCCCCGTGCTTCAAATCGGGTGAAAGAATTCTATGCCATGCAGTCAAAGGACCTCAAGAGTATTGAGCTTCACATTGCTCATTATGTGAGTGAAAGACGCCAAGACATGGAACGAGAAATGCTTGGACGAGAGCAGATTCTTCGACGAGATCTCAAGTTGGCTAACGATGCTAAACGAGCTGAAATTGTTATGAGGGAACTTGGTGGTCTATTACATATTAATCCAGGTTCTCTTTCTTACAGCCCTTCGAAGAGAACATGGCTGTCTAAGTACAGCTTTTGGGCAGTACTCATGGGTGCGATTTCAATTATTGCTGTTATGGTACTCAATTCTATATTTAAAGGCTGTCTTTCTCGTTAAATATTGTTCATTTCTCTCTCTCTTTCTCTATACATAAGATTTTCTTTCGTTGTGGATAATTATTATTATGATTGTATTTTGCATGCTTTTGGTTTATCGGATTCTTAGTCACTTACATATAACAATATGTTTTTTACTTGCAATAAATATTTCTCTGATGTTTTTAAGTAATCCAAGAAAGCTAGTCGACTAGTGGAAGAATAATCGGCTTTAAAAAAATACATTGCTTATTATACTTGACATTGCTAGCTGTCATATACTTTTTTATTCAAGTTCTTTACTCAATTTTCATCCAATTTCGTTTAAAAAAAGTATCATTGTTTATTGGTAGTGCCAACAATATGAACACAAATACCCAAATATACACACGCATAGCAAAATTACGATACTAGCTTTTACAAATGTTATATATTTTACTGTATTTCTAAGAATAGACAATGAAGGTCTCTGATAGCCGTCTTTTTTTTAAAAAAAAATTAAGGTATTTAGTACACCGTTTATCATCTTGGCATTTTCTAGTTCCTTGTTTTCTAGTACTTATCTATGTTCTCTCAACTTCCAATACTGCATTACTAATGATTAAGTAAGTGTTTGTTAAGTAAAATAACTGCTTGAATGTTCTTGATGTATTTTAAACTTATCATTGTATTGAGTTTGTGCTCTTCATCAGCATCAGTACAACCATTTTTGACATTTACTCGTGGTACAATAGTATCTGTGGAATCTTATGTAGCCAGGCTTGCTCAATAATAATACCATAGTTGTTGCGTCTGTTGTCTCAGTTTAATTTCTATTTTAGTATATTGATTAGGTTACAAAAGTCTCAATAAAAAAAAAGTTTTTCATTGTACCTCAAATTTACAGCCTTAATTTCTCTCCTGTACTTTTGTGTATCAAATATTATATTATTTTTATTACTATTATTATTATTATTAGAATAAAAAGAGAATACATACTTGAATATTACTAATAATCTTATGGACTAAATTGGTTTCTTTTGTATTGACAAATAAGATGAAGGGAAGTCTAGAAGGTATTTCTGGGGTAAAGAAGAGCAGCACAGATTTGGGAATAAATAGAACTTTATTGTATTCCGGTAGTCCGGTAACTTATTAAGAGCTACAAAGTTGCAAATTAAGTATAAGGCACTAAAAAAAAGTTTGTCATCCCATAAGAAAGATATATATATATCTATAGACATGTCTTTATGATTTTGCCTAAGATTCTCTCTTGGTTTTTTAAATAGATAGTAAATTTAGGAAGCCGAGGCTCAATTATACAATGTTTTGTATATGAAAAGTATATTTATTGTTGGCTATAGTAGTTATATTAAATATAGTCCAGCTTATTTTAGGAATCCATAAAGACTTCTCAGGAGTCTCGAATTTAATCCAGTGTATTCTAATCTTGAAAAGGTAACTTACTTGGACTTTAAATACTACCGCTGTCAGGCTGCCTTTGCGGCTTACAACCTGTTTCAGGAAAATGACCACGACTATATGGGCCTATGGATGTTGTACACCCTTGACGTTCAAGTATAGGCAACCAATGGTGAATGCCACATAATCATATCGACACAGAATTGGTTACATATAGTGTGTTGTTTTTCTTTTATAATACTCTATAGAATAGCTCTTCTCCTTTTTTTTCTCAATCTTAATGACCATGATGGTAGGACACGTCTATCGACGGCTGCATGTTGTAGAGTTCAAACTCAATTTTGGGATATCTGGTTGAGAATGAATTTTAATTTATATAGAGAAGATAAAGAAGATAAAGAAGAACAAAAGACAGAGGTCTGTGTATTTCCCTGTCAATCACGTTGCTAAGTATACTGCTTCATATCCTCGGAAAAACAAATAAGGAAAGATGGAATGCGTACCTCTATATTAATTAAATCCTTCATTAACTGAAATGAGAGAAATGAGAGAAATTCATACTGATTACAGTACCAATAGTATAGCTTTATTTCATTATACAGCCGCAATTCCCTAATATTATATAAAGTTTACAATATAGCATAAGCACTATCACTCAAGAAGCTAAAACTGGGAATTATACCAATCTTAAATTGTAGCTTGTTGCAAATTAAACTCGGTACACCGCACCCGTAGCACTGAAGGAGCAAAATCTGTGTGTGATACGGTGTAGCACTTGTGACTGAGATGTATATATATATATATATCCATATGAACAGACTTGGTGCTAGGGGCGATTCATTGGTCCTCTTTTAGATCATCTCAATTGTACACTATCAGTGTACGATGTTTATATAATGTTAGAAACCTTTAATTCACACAAGGTATATGTATATATGTCAAAAAAGGGTAGGTCAATTTGTATCGATCCAAAGAAAAAAAAAAGAAAAAAAAAAGAAAAAAAAAACATTTCCTATCAATCGACTTTCATTTCAACAGCTTGGGTTCCGTGATAAGAGGGCAGACAAGCTTCTGTGCTCAACTTCTACTTGTACCAATTGATCCATGATTTGCTTGCATTCAATCAATAACTTTACATATCCCAGCATAGTATCAGAAGGCTCCTTTATATAAACGCATCCAACAGGTTTGTAAATCTTCCTTTCATCAAACCAACTTAAACTACTTACATATTCTGGCCCCTGCATAGACTCAACGCATTGAATTATGTCGCGAAGTATACCACCAAGATCTTCCACATACTCAGCTGTAAAACAGGAATAGATCGTGTTAGATTAATTGGCTACTGTAGTTTTGTCGTTCTTCTTCAAACGACTTTCCTATTTCCGGTGAATTTTTTGATTCTCCTTGTGAAAGAACAATTTCAAATTTATCATAGATGGACGCAAAGGCTTCAAGCCGTGTATCAATTTCTTCAAATAGCTTTTTCTGGATCAAACGGAATATATAAGGACTTGATACATTTCTATAAAGTATTATCCTTTACCTGTGAGTCATGCACAGCCTTGGATCCATGAATGCTAGGCATCACACTATTACGTCTCTTATTATTTTCTGTCAATCTCTGTATCTTTTCCACTGCTTTGTATCCTTGCCACAGCTCTGACTATATTCAAAATAAAAATCAGAACAGGCTTAGAAAACTTTCAATCTCTTTTTCTAATTTGTGCTTAACAGTCTTACCTCAGCTGCCTGTTTTTGGGCTTCAATAGCCTTTTGGTTTCCAATCAATATGTATTGGTATTGTAAGCATCGTGCGTACAGAGAGGCAATATCACTATTTCGAGACACTTCATTACTATTGCGTAATGTACTTTCTTGGTCTGATCTTCGTATATGTGCGCTGACTGTGCTTGTATTAGATGGCTGCGAATATCTAGTACTGGATTTTGGTCGTTTATTGTCATATCTTTTAATTATATCCCTGTCGTCTTCTTCTGTACCCAATTTCTGATAAATATTCAAATGTAAATATAAATCTGTTTAGATAAATTTGTATAAAACACCTTACTCGTTTCCTTTGATTTTCTAAAGTGGGATGACAATCGTGTCGACCTTGAACGGAAGATTCTCTAGAAGATAAAGTGTCCTGATCGTCAGAATCCCGCATTCTCCGCATTTTATAAGCATCTGATCCGGATGAAAGCTCAAATGGTTTTGTTGCCAGAGAGCTCGAAGAAAGGGCTTGTCGAGAGGTTTGAAAGGCAGTATCACTATTTCTTGCTATTGAAAATCTAGAACTCTTTCCACTGTGATTTGCCCATCTATCTATCGTATTGACGTGGTTTGCAGAAGCAAGAGTTGGCTTCTGATAAGGGAAATATTCTGCTCGATGAGTTCTTGTATCAATCCGAATAGCACTACTCCCATGCCTTGCTTCGCGAATATGTGAGGCGGAAGGTCTAGTAGCTTGTGAAGTACGATATAAAGTATTTCTTTCATTATTCGAATTTAGAGTACTATTGTTTAAACGAGACGTTGTTCCCGAGGCTCCAACACCTCTCCATGGTGCACGAGAAGCTATAACCAGCAAAATGTATTCGTAACTTTTTTCGTTTAGACTAGCTCAAGAGTATATTTCTTAGCTAATAAAGATTTTTTTTCTTCGTTTTACCAGTAGACCTAGCTTTTCGTTGATGGCTGCATTTTGGAATGGGAAGTTTTAAAGTGAGTTGTCTGGTTTGGATACTTTGGTAAAACATTCTTTTTTTTTATGCTCACTTTTTATTTCTTTGTTCTTCTGTAAGAGCAATGTTGATTGCTGCAGCTCTTTCTCGGACACTGATTGAGGAGCCAATAGATGAACGATTGTCTTCCATTCTAATAAGATTGATAACTGGGACGACAAGTAAAAAGTTAAAAGCTATTGCAGGACAAAAGCTAGAGATAGTAATTGCCTTTTTTGGCTTTCGCGTCACGGAGCTTGGAACTTGAGACTTAGAGTGGCTTATTCTTATTGCGCTGCTTAATGAATATTTTTCTATCCCAGGGGTCCCTCTTTGCAAAGAAGTCGCCTCCAACAGAATGAACACACATTTATTGTCGAAACTTCAGGCTACTGCAAAGCCTTTCGCAAAATTCGCTGCTAGCCCGAACGCACGTCCATTTTCAAAGAGTAAAAACAAATCATATACAGATAATTTCTGCTTGTACACCTGAATTCACACTGGTTTTGTGACTAGGTCTAGTTCGTTTCCAGTCTACAGCGACTACTGCAGATGTCAAATCTACCTCGACCTTCATTAAAAACAGTCATCCAACTGCACCTCTTTCCAGCTTCAACTACAACCTGTCTAGAATCTTAGGCCGTAAATTTAACAACTTTAAAAAGCTTACGGAGATCCTTAAAGTCATTGAGGAAATCAAGGCCCAAAACCTAAAGTTCGACCGCAACACCTACACTGCTCTCTTGACTGCTTACGCGAGTACAAACAGAAGCAAGGATGTAATGACCACTTTAGAAAAGATGGAAGAACAGGGTATCCAGCCCACACTTGAAACCTACAACCTCATCCTTCAGGTACAGAGAAGAATATATATTTATATATATAGAAATCCAGATATAAAGAGAGAAAGAGAGAGGGACAGAGACATAGAAAAGTGCTTATGATGATGGGAAACTAACATCCATAAAAGAGCTATGCAAGTGAAGGTTCTAGTATCGCTCAAGCTGGAATTGTTGCAGAGATGGAGAAAAAGGGTATCGATATGTCAGAATCTTCGTACAACAGTCTTATTCGAGCATTGACCAAGCGTGAAGAATTGGAGCATGCATTCGACATAATGGACAAGATGAAGGAGAACAACATCCCTATGAACATTGCTTCCTACAGCAACGTTATTGGTATCTGTGTACGTGTCTCGGACTCCAAGACTGCCTTTTCACTTCTCAAAGAGGCTTTGGATAAATGTCTCTCTGTTTCATCCGATCCTACAATGTTATTTAATGTGTTGTGTTTGGCGGCCCGTAAAGACGAGGTAAAGCACGATTTGATAGCGGTTTTTAGACCAAAGAAAATGGATATGTAGCCTAACAGCAAATGACTGTGTTTAGCATGAGGCTGTTTCGTTCTGCTGGAAGAAAGCTGTTTTGGAGAACGCAATGCGCCCTGATGAAGGTATCTGCCTTGATGTGATCCGTGTGGCTGGATTGTCTGGAGATGTGAAGCTGGCTACAGAGGTGCTCCAGCATCTTGGTGAAAACGGCTACACATACAAGGAGTACTACTTTGCTCCTTTGATGGAGGCATTTATGAACAAGGGAGATCTCAAGAGCGCATTTAGTGTGCTTGATATCATGCGTGCTTCTGGAATTACACCCTCTGCTCAAGCCACACTGCCAATCCGTAACCACTTGAGAAACCAGATTGATAAGATTGATGAGGCCTACTTTATTTTGGAACAGTTGAAGAAGGAGGACAAATCTGTGGATGTTACAGCTTTCAATGTGGTCTTGGAAGCGTGTGCTGATGCCAAGGATGTAGAGCGTACTGTTGCTACTTACCGTGAAGCTGCTTCTCTGGGCGTGACACCTAATGTTGATACCTACAATGCTGTTCTAATTGCCTGCATAAACACAAGAATGCGGGATATGGGCAAGCTTGTGATTGTTGAGATGAAGAAGGCTGGTATTACACCCAATACCGATACATACACCCACATGATTTCGCTTGAATGCACCAGTCGCGAATATGAGAACGCATTCAATTACCTCGAGGAGATGAAGAGTTATGGTGCAATTCCTCCTCAGATGGCTTATGTTGCATTGCTTAGAAGACTGGCACAAGAAGCTGATCCCCGTTATTTGGTTGCTGCAGAGGAGATGGAGACATTTGGGTACAAGGTACCTTATGCTATCCAACAAAACTGGCTTAAAGCAAAAGAGCAATGAATGTGTGATTCCTTGAGCTCTATGCGCGCATGAGTATATATACATTTATACAAATTATGGTTTTGATCTTTACGAGACTGTAATTTCCCCTTAGAATACAAGATGTCTTGTTTATTTTCATTCATATATTTTATCTATTTATCTACCTATTTATCTATCTATCTATTTATTTATTTTTATTTTTGTAAAGAGTCTTTGGATATACAAGAAGTGTTCTTTGATGAGACTGTATACCTCACTCACTCACTCACTCACTTATTCACTTATTCACACACACGCATATATATATATATATTATGTATATAAAATAAGTTTCTTGCCACGTGGGATGGCGGAGAGGAGGAGGGGGGGTTTGGGTGTAGTATTTATATATAAATATAATATATTTTGACTGTAGTATACAGCCTACATACAATATTACTCGTACGACTTGTGTGTAAACATATATTACCCGCTCTGCTATTCTGGATTCTTTCTGACTGAAATAAACATCTTGTTTATTTCTATATTCTTTGACTTTGTTTAATTAACCGTATCGGCATTTGCCCTACTTTTGTTTACAGATACAGATACAGATACAGATACAGATACAGATACAGATATATATATATAATAGAGAGCCACGTTGAGTGATTAAATCTCCTTATTATATTCATATATATGTATGAATTATTATTCTTATTATTGTCAAAATGTATTGTGGTACCAAGAGTCGAAATACTACGCCTGTTGGTTAGATTGATGGTGCGAAAATTATATATATATATATATATACTAATGAAAATGAAAATGTTACAAGTTTATAAATAAATCAAAATGGTTGCGGCACTGACCCGCAAAGCACAAAAAAAAGAACTATCCCAATCTTGTGCCTAAAAAGAGGAATAAGCCTGATAGGTTTTTTTTTGTTTCTTACTTGTCCTTTCTTTATTCTATTCTATTATATATAATTTATATATACAATTATAATTATAATTATAATTATAATTATAATTATAATTGTAATTGTAATTGTAATTGTATGTATAGATTGTATTTGGAAGGCGGTACGAAGATGGTGTATACATGTCGTACTTCATCACCATCATCATTATCCTCATCATTCCATAAATATATAATACCTATAACGTATCATTCAATAAAACTCTCTCATTCTAAATGTCGCCCTTTTATAAAGGAAGGACTTCTTGTACTTGGAATAATAACAGCAATAATAATTTGTCAAGACTCTCTATAAGTTCGGCCACTTGCCATGTGCACTACTCTTCTACCAAGAGTATTATATTATTAAAAAATCCTTTTTGTCGTACACTATACTCAGACCAAAAAGAGAGTGTAACCATAAGGTGTGAACAGCAAAATAATAGTAATAGTAATAGTAATAGTAATAGTAATAGTAATAGTAATAGTAATAGTAATAGTAATAATACCATCGATTACAGTAGATTTTCTTGATTTTATTTTTATTTTTATTTTTATTTATTTATTGTATTATTACTCAAGTCATATTCGATAAGAGGTTGATATTCAAGCCAGACAATGATTGAAGCGGCTGATTTTATGTGTATAAATTTCTGAGGGTTGGGGTTGTTGCACACATTACCCACCGATGTGAACAACAGATGGTGCCTCTAAAAGTGCCCTTTATTTTATTGGTTCGCAGCACCGAGCAAGGTTGAAAGATTTTTTTTAGTGGCATCTTCAGAGCACCGAGCCCTATACTGTATAACTCAGTTCTTGTTATGACCGAGCTGGGTTGCGTAGCACTTGTCTTCAAGACAGATAAATTCAAAAGGGTCTTCCCCCCCTTCCTTTTCTTCTCCTCTCTTCTTCAACGCTCTTTCCTTTTTTTCCCCTTGACTATTTATCCAATAGTTACCATCTTATATCTGGCATTTATTGTCTTTATATATTTATATATACTCCTTGTCTTAATACAATAAAATAAAAAGTCACCCCTTATTTATCTGGCCATTTTGTTGTTCTCAATCCCTTCTTTATTTATATATACCTCCTCATTTTTCTTACCTGACGTCGCAAAGGCTTACAAGACCTACACCACAAATGAGCCAATATTTCATGCCTTCTTCTAGTTACATGGGTGAATATCCCACTTCCCAGTACACAAAACTAGAACTCGCAGATCAACCGATGATCTATCCTTCTGCTGGTACAATTTATATACATTCTCTCAAACGAAAAGCGATTCTTACATATTATCTATAGAATCTCACTTTTATGTCTCTCAAATGGCACCCGGTCATCCTTCGCCTCTCATCAACAGCAACAGCAACAACAACAGCAACAACAACAACAATAATAATAATAATAATAATGGTTCTACAGGCTACTTTTATGACCCATCATCTACCATTCAGCACCAATTCGCTTCTCTTTCAGGACCCTCGGAAGAAACCTTTATCTCGACTTCTTCAACACCTCCACCCCATCAGAATGGTATAAAATCCAACCCATGTTGCTCTCCATCGACCATAATGCCAACAGAGCCACCAATGTTAGTCGCTTCTTCCTCTTCGACCACAACCACATCCACAATGTCTTCGTCTTCTGTAGACTATCTCAACGAGACAATTGCCAAGGCATCCTCTCTACCAGAATCATTTTATCCCGAATTCCTCCAGTACTCTAAAGAAACATACGAACAATCAACTGGAGGAGGACAGTCGATGCAGCGTAAAAAACAACGTAAAGCCCAGTCCACAGGAGACTCCAAAGAAGAGTGCATGGAAGATTCTGAAAATGAAGAAGACGAAGAGGACGGCGGAGACGGATCTCAGTAAGTCTAATATAATTAACCTCAAATAAAATTACTAACATAAATTTACAGAAAAGGACCATCTCCTATCGAAATAAGACGTCAAATACACATCCAGTCCGAACAAAAGCGTCGAGCCCAGATTAAAGACGGATTTGAAGATCTTCGAAACGAGTTACCTGCCTGTTTAAACAAGAAGATGAGCAAAGTGGCTCTTTTGCATCGCAGTAAGTCAAAATTTCTTATAACACATCTATCAAAACTAAGAAACTAATGATCCCTCCCCTTTTGAACTTATAAGCTGTCCAACACATCCAGCATCTCAAAGATAATCAAATGTCCATCTTGTCTGATTTGGAACGCTTGGTGCACGAGAACGAACAATTGCGCAAGTGAGTTATTTGACTTACTCTCTGAAGCTTATCACTCATCATTCTTCTAACAGATTCCAAGAAAACATACTTCAAAAGCAAGCAATGGATAACATGTATTCCATGAGCCAGATGTAAAGAAAAAAAGCCATATAAACTTCATAAAGGCCACCCGTTTAATACCCAAGGAATCTTTACATCTTTATATCTACATATTTACATCTCACATTCAGAGACCAGAAAAAAACTCATCATCAACCACCCTTTCTTTATTCCCTTGATCTCTTACATCTACCAGCTTGAGTCAATTTATACACAAACACCCACCCACCCACTCGCCAACACACACACGCCCTCTATCTATCTCGCTTTTACACTTACAACCCACCCACCCACAAACACACACACACACACATATTTACACTCACATTTTAAGCACTCTTGCTTTATATTTTACCCTTTTTTCTTTCTTTGTTTTTGGCATTCTTTTCTCGCATTCTATTCTCTTACATAATCTCTCTCTCTCTCTCTCTCTCTCTCTCGCCCTTTTCTGTCATTTTGGTAAGTCGAGGGATAGGCTTCTTTAGACCCCTCCTCCCCCTTTTATTTTTCTTTTTCTCTTTCTTTCTTGCATCGCTTTCTGCTTGTACACCCCTCTTTTCTCCCTCAAGGGAAAGGGAGGGGGGAAGACCAAAGGAAAGGCACTTCTTTTTTCTTCTTCTTCTTTTCCAAAGTGTTCATATACATAAAAAAATAAATAAATAAAAAAACGGGCTATCCAAACCCCCAAGCACTAATTCAATAATCACCACTATTGTTAATAATCATTATCATTGTTGTTGCTCTTCTTACAACAACATAACGGCTTTAAATTGAGGTTGGCGGGGTAGAAAAATGGGTCACATCAAGAACCCCAAGGGACGATGGTCCTCCATGCGACTCATCTGCTATTGATGTTGTATTTGGTCCTGATGCAATTCCCGTCGATAAGGGCGCTGTCGTTGGTGCCGATGACGGACCAATTGTAACATTGGCGGCATTAGTACCACCAGTAACATTAGAAGCTGTCGCTGTTGCTGTCACTGTATAGGTGGCTGTGGCTGCTGCTGTGGCTGTGGCTGCGGCTGTGGTAGTAGTTGTGGTTGAAGTGTTAGTCGTACTAGATTGACTTGCCGTGACAAATGGCATAGTTGAAGCTCCACTGGATACAGCTATTGTAGGACTGATAGGATCGAGAACAAGATCATGCTCTGTATCTTCGGTAGCAAGATCGTCAATTGCTCGTACATTTTCAAGTACCCAGGACCCTAGACTATCTTCATGCTCAGTTGGGTGAACAAGCTGTGCACGCGTTGTCTCAAAAAATTCAGTGAGCCATGCACGATCATTGCAGCGTGCTTGAAAGGTAGTTCGCAAAACATCTGGGTGCATAAGTGTACTGGTCTCCGCGCGGCGACGAGCCACCAGCGCCGGAGTATGGTTTGTGTAGAGTCTGTTGTTAACCCAAAAGAAACCTTGGTTATCAGGCCGGATTTGTACAAAGGCCACGCCAGAGCGATGTACATATTGATCGTATTTGTATGGCTCCTTTACATAGGAGTATTTAAGCTTAATACCCTCTGCCTTGGCCTTATCGAATCTCGAATCTGCCTCAACATCTAATACAAATCCCATATGGCGTACTAAAGCAATTGCATAGAATTGATCAGGAACCTCATATTTTGGGTTAATTTCCGAGACAGACGGTGGCGCAACAGCAAATGAGATCGGTACCGGGCACTGGAACGGGTTGTTATTCTCAGATTCTTCGTATGCTTGCTCAACAGAGCCCTCCACAACCTTGAGCCCAAGTCGTTCGGCCTGTCTACTCCAGTTCTGTAATAATTCCTGGATCAATTGAGCCGTGCATCCGAGCCAATTGATCTGGAGATGATAGCAATTTTTAGGATTGTGAAGGGTATCGTAATGAAGAATGGCTGTCTCACGTCTGTCGCTCTTTTTGTAAGGGTCAACGTCAATAATCATTGATCGCGACATTTCAAAGATCACTGGCTCTTCTACATCGCGATTAACAGACGGTCGGGCTCCTGTCTTCTCATTTAAATTAGAGCTCTCCTTGCTATCTTTACCACCCGAGTGGTGTGTAGCCAACGATGTTGTGGTAGACCGTCTACTGCTTTGAGTCGAGTTGTTGAGAAACCAGGCTTTCTGTTGACCGGGTGTAAACTCATCATGTAGTCGATAAAAGTAGTGGCCATCCAAAAAACCATGACGGTCGGTGGAAGATACAAAAAGAGGGGGTTTGCGAGCCATTAAACTGTTACCAAACGCAACAGCTTCCTCGCGTGTACTAATATCATCAAACTGGCTGACTATCCAGTCTACGCATTCAGAGCCTACAAAGGCATTACGGAACATTCTGAAATGCCATCTTCTGTCCTTAATCTTAAGACCTTCTTTAAAATCACGCATAGCTATCACTATATCTTTAGATTTGGATTCCTTGGAGAGTCCAAGAGGTTGTCCAAGACTACCAATAGAAGATAATAGACTATTGTGCTGACTGACCAGAGATTCGCCAATGGAGTTACCAACAGAATTGGCAACTTCAGATGTCAAATAAGCCGAGGAGTCCATTGTTGTCAACTTGGGGCCAAAATCAGATATACACAATTCTTTCTTGCGCTTTGTTTGCATCTCTTCCTTTTCTTTGGGCGTCCACCAGCGCACCTTTCGGATATTTTGGATCCAGGTGTCAAAAAGTGCTAGTCGCTTTTCTTCGTCATCAAGATGATCGTGGGACATCCCTGGTACCATCACATTGGGCGGCAATTGTTCCCGGGGGATGATAATAAAGCGAGCACGCCAGAACCGCAGATTGTCTGTAAGATTTTCTTGATATCCGGCGACCAAATGATCAAGGTAGTTCCAGCCGTAAGAGATGCTTGGATAGTTAAACGCAACATTCTTTGGACGGTAACCTGGAAGATGCTTGGGCCAAATTGCACAGGTGTAAATGATTTTTTTAAGATCAAAAGAAATTATTCGTACATAACGACGCACTTCTACGTTCTGACCAGAAGAGTCAAATGTAACTTGATGTACTTGATGACCCATGGACAGCCAGTACATTCTTTGGTTCCACTTTGATCTATCAGGCTCATCTTGAAGACTACCCATAGCTGTCTTGGTATTAGTGTGACCATTAGATCCTGCTGTCATTCCTGCCTCTTTGTCTTTGGTTTGATTTTCCATTGTAGACTTTTTAGAATATGTTTCGCTACCAGTACTATCCACAATAATTTGGAATCCTTGGGCTAATCTTTGACTAAGCATTTCTGTTAGGAGATTCTCAGTTCTCTTTCGTTCCGAGAGAGTATGGTCACCGGCCTGATAAAGGTTTACGTCTTCACTTGCAGATACAGTGTACATAAAAAGTTCATAAAACGTTGCTCGCTCCTCAGGAGACGGAAAGTAGTCTGTGGTTAGTGGTAAACAAGCTGGATTGGAAAGCGATTTCCAATAAACAACTGGCCCATCATGCTTCTCAGCTTTAGGTAATGCGTGCTGCCAGCGTCTTAGATATGATGTAAAGGCCATAGCCTGGTCAGCAGGGTTACAAGGATTAATGAGCAGGATTCGTGAATTTGTCGGTCGATTTGTATTGTGAGGTGACGATCTGTTTGGTCCCACTCCTCCAATACTTGTCCGAATATCGCTGTTTGCCGACTGCTTATGGAGAGAGGGCATACTTCCAGAAATTATAGGCTGACGAGGGGAATGACCACCAGCTGTCTTTCGACTATCCATACGACCAAACCCTTTGTTATTGATCGGTACTGGATCCACAGTACTCGAGCTCACTAGCACAGAGTCATCATCTTCAGGGACCAATAGGCGATCAATTTGCTGGCCAGGGTCGGTGGTATTTGGAAATTTGGTGTCGTTACTATTCATCGTTCCTCGTCGCGCAGATCGAAAACGCGTGTAAACATCTTCTCTGGCCAGGGTAGGAGAACCCTTGAAAGGATCGGATCCCTTGGTAACCTGATCATCCCTTCGTACAGGACTATTGAAAGTAATCTTTCCGTTGGCTTGTTGCGACTGAGACATAATAGATGTCAATCGACGCTGATCCCCGTGGTGCCATGTCTAAAAAATATTATTATATATATATATACTTATATTTATATATATATATATATATCTAGCTAAACTTACCGTACTTGACTTAACGGCACAAGTTCGAGTATTATTACCTTGCCATTGATCAGTCTCTTGCCGGTCAGGACCATCGAATGAGCTCCTATGAGTTCCAGAAGATGTTTGTTTTGGTGCAGAATGGAGTTTAACAGGCGGTATACGCCGATTGAAACGTGGCTCAAGAGAGTCTTTGAATACCATACTGTCATAAGTAGAATAGTCTGTAGAGCTAGGTAATATGGCTTTGAAAGAAGGAATATCATCAGATGTAGTGATGTAAGACGATCTTGGGTTTGACGGAAAGTTTGCTGAGCGAGACAAGTAACCTTCAACAGGGGCACCCGAGAATGCAGCATGGTCCTCTGATCGTAAAGTGAGCTTATCATTCAGACTACTACTGCTTCTTTGCTGTTTAATAATACTAGCACTGGAAGATTTTGGAAATTGCTCGGCCAGAGAGGGTACAGAGATAGTTGCAATATCATGCTCCATGATACCCATCATCTGAAGCTCATACATCTTGCAGCGTGTCTTAAACTTATCTTGTTTTAGAAATCGACCTGTCTCGTGATGGTAAAAGCTACAGTCAATCCAATGCGGTATCGAACAATAAGTCTGAGTTGTCGTGCTTGTATCATCGCGATATAAAGGATCGGTTTGAGCAGCAACTTTCTTTCCAGAAGAATTCTTGTCCGGGGAGTTACCCATCGTATTTTTTGAATACCTAGGTGTTGCACAACTTTCAATATCATCTGGCAAAGCTGATGAAATATAGAACAGTAAAGGTGTGATATGGAGTGGTAAAGGAGACAGACAAACAAGGTCCATGGCAATGCCATTGTCGGTCATTCTTTCGTTTGTTAACCGAAGAAGTTTTTTGTTTACTGAAAATTTCCCAGCACCAGGTGTGATCAGGATGATAGATAGACCAGTGCGCATCAAATCACGATCAACATAGTGCTTTTCGAAAGGATTAAGGGCCAAATTGACAGCTTCAAGTAGATTTCCTTCAAATGCCATTCCCATTCGTCCACATACGATAGTTTTCCCATCGTCGGTACGAGTGAGCACTTGTTGTTGAAATTTGAGCTGCTCTTTTTTGAGGGGACCGATGATGGACATCCAATCATCAGTGGTTTCCCAGTCTGCTAGAACCTTGTAAAAGTCTTTGTAAAACCGGCCATCTTCAGCCTGATTGACCATATTGTCAAGCGGATCATCTGCATCATAAAACACGCGCGTAAATAGTACAATAGATACTACGTGATTGGTACCCATATCCTTCCATCTCTGAAATAACTGGGGTAAAAAGTTGTTTACAACTTTTTCAAAGTAGAGTTCGCCGTCTTCATCAAATTCCCACATCTCGCGCGACATTTGAATATACACAAAATACTTGGCTGAACCTGAGCGAAAAATCATACGCGTACTATCGCTTATATAACCTGAGCTGACCTATATAGCCCCTTAAGAAAATCAGAATATGTTTTCTTTTCATGATTAAGGATATTAAACTTTTGAATATAAATTTGTCCTTTCTAACCTCTTGTCCGTCATTATATAGCTTTTTTACGGTGGCCTTTATAACACCAGCAAAAACTAACTTCTTCTCGACATAGACACAAGCTCCCTTGAGGCTCTGCTGTAGCCGCCACATGTCACTTCTTCCAAGGTATTGCTCTTTAAACCATAGCTCGACATGACTAAGAGTTACAGAACTAGAATCAATCTAAGTCAAATTAGATATAATGTAGCAGCATTTTATGTATATATGTACTTACTAATTCAACATAAACTTCAGGGCGAAATCTAATATTGAATCTTTCGGCAATGTCACGCGAAACAGATATCTAACAGATTTTTTTGTATGTACATAGGGGGGAGGGGTATTGAATAAGCGTTTTTAAAAAATAATAATAATGACGTTAAATATCCTATTGGTCTTTTAAATTATAGGCATATATTTTTACCTGGAGATGCTGTTGGCGCACAAGTAATTCACGATCGACGCATGCTGCCTTTACAATCAAGGGGTCTCTTTCAAACTGTGCTAATGAGAATGGTTGAGATAGTGAATTCCCTGACTGTTGAGGGCTAGTAGGTCCTGGTAATGTCACTGGTGGATGAGAACCACTACGCGGGAAATGTATTCTCAAGAGCTGTCCATCTCTAATGTTCGGAAAATGATCTGGATTGATGACAGCATCTTGTGTGAATACCACTCCTGGGTCATGAAACCATAATATGACCGGCTTTGTCGAGAGCCATGGGATTGGTGCAGAGGTAGTAGTTGGAAGTACAGGCATTCTTTCTCAATACTATATATCTCAAAAACGATGAAATGGACGATAAAGAGAAAAATGTATGAGCAGAAGATATGCCGAAAATCGATGGTTCTATTTGGTTCAAGCCACGACCTTACAGCTTGTTGTATGATGTTATCGGTAAAGATATATGTTTATTATTATGTTCTGTATGTGTAATTGAAAAAAAAATTGCCATCCTTTTATTTTTATTTATTTCTTCATCTTGTTTTAGTTATTTCCTGAATTGTAGTTTAAATATATGCCTCGCCTATCTCTAGTACACGCAAGACATTTTTGAGAAACTGTTCAACTTTTGATCCTAGTAATCCATTATCGGCTGGTGGTGTTTGTTTTTGGGTTGGATTAGAAGCAAAGGTACTGGCACGAAGGGGTAAGGATATCAAGATCTTAGAAATGCTAATGGAATGTTGAAGACGGAGGCGAATGTCAAAATAGGATAGTTCTCGTTGTTTGCTTTGGAGTTCATATATCTGAAGTATCTCAAACCGAGCTATTGTACAGCAAGTGTTGACCACTAAAAGAAAAAGAAAAAGAAATGTTACAAGAACTGTGATTACCTATTCAATTTATAGAGAATTATTCTTATAAATATGATACTTTCATGTATAGATCGAATGAATCTTTGTAAGGCTCAATTCAAGATAAGATATCATCTGATCGTTCATCCATTGAATCGAATATGTCTCTCTCAAGGAATCTATTTTAAAGATAATTGCGTTACTTTTTAAAACTTGAGGTTTCCTATCACTTACTTAAAACTGTTCGCAGAGTGTGAAATTGGCCTTGAAGGATTTCATTATATAACTAGCAGTATTAAAAGGAGTAAATACCCCTCCATAATCCAATTTATTTTGTCAATCGTAAACTTGCCTGTGCAAATACGTGCTCAAATGGGTCATCTGTGTCAAGCGTGTTGTGATAAGTGTATGAACATTGACGCTTCATATCATATTTCCATCGAGAATTGGGTACTCTCAAAGTATTGTATGCAAGAGATAGAGCTTTACAACACAAGCAAATAATGGTCAAGATTGTCATCGTAAAAGGCTTGTTTTGTTTTCCCCAAACCTTGAAAACTTTCTGTAGCTGGTGGGTAAGGCGGTACAAATCTGTCAGGGTGACAGACACGACTCTTTTTTATATATGCCTGTCTAATATCTTCAGGTGTTGCATTTGAAGGGATGTCAAGCATATCATAATAGTTTGAAGCCGAAAGGACCTCGTCAACCCACATATATCTTTGTTTTGTAGAAAAAACTTTTTGTGCCATTAAAGAAAAGAGCGAAGGAGAGAGATTAGTGGTATTTTTCTATTCTGGTTAGTGGTTCTTATAGTTGAAATTCTTATTCGCATTCTTCCAATTCTAAAACAAGACTTATATAAAAGAACGTTGGTTGAGAGTTTTGGGTGTTTATTAAGAGGTAAATGACCAATGTGGCAAACAATTAAAGATCTTAGATCTTCTGCATAGCAGCAACATCAACGGATTGGACAAAGTCTTCCAAGTCAGTGATCTTGTCAGAAAGGTCATCCATGGAGACCTATAGTAATTGTAAAAAAAAAAAGAAGAAATTGTCAGCAAAAAAAAGAACCCCTTCATGTATTTTTTGATTTTTGTTTCAAAAACAAAAAAATGATAATTACCTTCTCGTCCTCAACAACACAGTTGATCTGGAGCTTCTTGATACCGAAACCAATGGCAACCAACTGGGAACCACCCCACAAAAGACCATCCATGGCGATTTCCTTAACAGCCTTGGTGAGAGCCTCCATATCGGTCTCATCATCCCAGGGCTTGACATCGAGGGTAATGGTGGTCTTGGCAATGGTCTTGGGCTTGTTAGCCTTCTTGGCCTGGTACTCAGCAAGACGCTGGGCCTTGACCTTCTCGGCCTCCTCATCAACCTCCTCATCATCGGAACCGAACAGGTCAATATCATCTTCATCCTCCTCAGCAGCTACGACCTCCTTGGCGTGAGCGGCAACGGAGCCCTCGACAGCAGCCCTTAAAAAAAGTATGGTGTCAGTAAAAATTGTAATTCTTGTGATTTTTGTATAGTACTTACTTGATGGTATAGCCCTTGACGATGGCAATGTGGTTGTACCATCTAGCCAAGTGGGGGAAGGCAGAGGGGGAAGGACCCTCGGGGAGAGCCTCGAAGACTTCCTTATCGGCAGCAGAGGCCTCGTTACTATTAAATTATTAATAACTTGAGTTTGACGCGTTTAGGAGCATAAATATATTGAAAAAGGAAAAATGTTTACCCCTTAACATAAGAGTAGTTCTCAAAATAACCGTCAAGGACCTTGAAGGCCAACTTAGTCTCGAGAGTGAAGGACATTTTCTTTTGTTATGGTTGAAAGGTAAGAAAGAAGGGACAAAGTCTGACCCTCAAAATTTTTTCTACTTTATTCAACGAGACTGCACTGCGGCCATTATGGTGGCTTGTTGTCGGAGATGTAAGTGGAGGTACAAGACTTGTGAGAGCAAAGCCAATGCAAGTTTAAATATTTTAAATATGAAATTTTCTTAAAGAAGCTCTTTTTAATATTCGTAATATACATATATATATATATATACATTATAATTTATCAACGTGAATAGAAATATCAATACTATAAAGATTACTTTGATAGAAGGAGGAATGCATAGCACGCTCAATTCGATCACTTTCTGGGTTAATTCAAAAGCGCCTTGGGAAAATGAGAAACATTAAGAAAAAGGAGTCAACAAAATAGTCCTGTCTCAAACAAAGAATATCTCGTTGGTCTCAGAAACATGTATTGATGGAGAGGAGTCAAAGCTTTGACAATCCAAAGGAAAAACAGAAACATAAAAAAATAGGGTGGCTTAGACTTTCGCATTACCCAAATTTAGGCACTGTGATTTTTCCTCTTGTTTTCCAGTACTTCATAATCGTTAACATCTAATGGGAAAGAGTGCAAAGTTCTATCGACGACCAACTAAGAAGGAAAAGGAGGGCCTTGCTCTTAAGAAAGTAGCTGATCCTGCTGCAAGTGTTGCCAAACGAACCACTCCCACAAAGAAGAAGACTCTTGTCGAGGCAGCCATGGACATTGACGTGCCTGTGAAAAAGACCACTACAAACCCAACAAAGCCCGAAGAAAAAGAGAAGCCTGATTATGTTGATCTTTTGTCAGGCAAGAAGACCTACAAAAAGGTCATAAAGAAGAGAAAATAAAGCACTCGAGTATGAAATAATACATGTACAAAAAAGAAAGCAAAGCAAAGCAAAATGAAATAATTTAAAATATACACCATTTTTTTAAAGAAATAAACTAAAGAATAAAAAATAAAATAAAAATCAAAATAAATATACTCTATTTCCAAGAATCGTTCATTTCTATACTCTCCGAATAATATTAGGTTCTTTTGAATTTTCTCTCTTTGTTCTTGAGAAAAACTCTTGGAATTTTATACTACAAAATGTACACCTTTGAGACAATTATGTATAAAATGTGAAAATAAAGTGTAATATTTCCCGGAGTGTAAAAACATCTATTTGAAAAATAGTATATACATATATATATATATAAACTGAAGATTCAAAAAGCCATTTAAGTAGTTGATTTCACAATTTCAAGTGCAAGTGAAATGTCATGTTTTATTTAATGTTTTCATTGTTTTATTTTTGAAACAAAATCTTGGAGATTAACCCAAGACTTTTATGTAATGTATTTTTTTTTACATGAAATACATGACCTTCTGGAGATCGGACTTGACAACAGCAAAGCTTGCCATCTGAGCTTCCGAATCCATGCTCTCAGAGGTAGCATCGGTGTCAGACCAGTTCTCACCACGACGATGGAAGCGAGCACGGGCAGCAACCAAATCGGCGTAGTAGGCAGCAGGTACAAGAGAGACAGCACGAGTAGCACGACCATAGATGTAGCAGAGACGGTAGGTAAGTTCCTGGAGGGCATCGGGAGTGAACTTGTTGTCATCATGGAGGACATGGTAGTGAGTAGGGCGGGAAGTACCCTGGAGACCGGCGTGGGACTGGAGGTAGAAATCGAACTCGAAAGGATGAACGATATCGGTGTCGACAACAGTACCAGGCATGCAGTTACCAGTACGGTCAGCATCACGCTGATCAATGGGGAAGAAACGGGCGTGGTGACGCTTCTGGACAACGACAAAGGTGATGGTAGGGTTGTAGGTCTTGTCAAGAGACAAACAGGCGGCGCGGATGGCAGCGACTTCACCATCGAGGACCTGCTTGAACTGGCCTTCGGAGACACCATCACGGTAGAAGAGAATACGCTCGGGCTTCTGACCGCAAGACTGGTAGAAGTTCTTCAACAATTCCTTGACCATGTTGGCAAGATCAGCAATGATCTCGGTGCGATTAGCCTGGACACGAATAGCAGAAGCATAACGAGATGCACGAGCGTCCATACTACCGGTAAGGGCAGCAACGGAAGGACGGTTCATGTCACCAGGAGCAGGGTGAGTGACATCAGCACCGAAGATGATGGTAGGACGCTGGGCAATGAAGGGAATCTGAGCAGGGGACAAGAACAAGTTCATACCACCGAGCTTCATGTTGACCTTCAAGCAGACGTTAGCACAGTACTGCTTCTTGGCGTCGGCAATGTGCTTAGACTGGACACACTGAGTGGGGATACCAATGACAGTATCAGAGATACGCTTGATCTCAGCGTAGAGGGGAACACCGGTGTTGGGCAACACACAGAAGATGAGCTGGGGGCTGGCCTTGGCGGCATTACCGGCCTTCAACCAGGCTTCCTTCAAGGTACGGTCAATGTTACCCTGGGGATCAGCCTGGGTAATAGGAGGGGAACGGTTGACAACGTTGAGACCAGTGTCGATAAAGGTCTGGCACAACTCGCGGACGAAACGCTGCAGGGCGGGCATGGGAACCTGGGAGGCGAAGTTGACGACGGACCACGAGCCAAGGACGGCACCCTGAGCGACCTTCTTGCCACGCAAGTTCCAGGCACCACCCTGAGGGGCAAAAGTGGCCTCCTGGGAAGAAGCGTGATAGGAGATCTGAGGAGTGGGGAGAACACGGGCATTAATCATGGCCATCTCAGGCTTGACAGCCATACCGAACTGCTGCAAGTAGGGGTTGTTCTTGTACTGTAACAGCTGGAGACCTTGGTTGATCTTGTTGGCGCGGATGTTGGGCTTCTGGCAAGTGAACTTAATCATTTCGGCAGTCTGCTTCTCGTTAAGCTTCTTCAAGTGACGCTGGCCAGGAACGACCTCGCAAACCTCCATGGGAAGGAAGATGTCGCGCTTGACAACAATACAAGGCAAGAAGGGATAAGCGAGACGCTTGTTGTACTGCTTCTGGAAGTATGAAGCAACAGACTGCTCATTGCCAGCCTCATCCTTGAACATAGTACGTTCAACGGCACTGGGGGTAACACCAGTGACCTTGTACTTGCGCTTGATGTCACCACGGTGGACAACCTGGATCTTCAAGGCCTTCAAGACCTTCTCGAGCTTGTTGCGCTCGCGATCGGGGATACCCTGACGCAACTCATCGACGGAACGACGGTTGAGGATCTTGGCAACAATTTGGGGAAGAGGGCCAGACTCGTAGAATGCAGTTGCAGATACGTCAATGTTGATCATCATCTTACCTAAAATGATGATTAATTAAAACATTTCATAACAGCGACATTATTTTTAATCTAATTGGTCACTAATCTTACAAGCGGTGGGGCGAGCTGACTGGTAGAAACCTTGCCAGACTTCAGCACCGTTAGGGAGAGGACGGCTGTCGTTGGGAGTGAAGAAGGAACGACCAACGGTTGAGTACAACATGCTTGGCATATGGCGGATAAGGACATCCAACACCATGATGGCTATTTAATGAATATGAATGAATAAGTACATTAATGAAAACAGAACAAAGCAAGAAAAAAAAAAGGGGGGGGGGGGGGGGGGGGGCTGTACAATGAGTATTTTTAATATAACTTACCGGTCAAGCAGTTGGAGGTGCAAGGGCTCTGACCAGCCAAGAAGCGACGGAGCTCTTCCATGTTGACTTCACCAGCCTTCTTGATGCGAATTTTGAACATACCACCGGAACGCTTGGAGGCTGCGTCACCCTCCTGGAGATCGACCTAATAAGTAAAAACAAAACAAAAATAAAGGTTTAGAAAATTTTGCAAGACGTGTATGTACTAGTCCAATAATTGAACAAATTATATTTTATTGCTATTTTATCTATATTTTTCAAAAAAATTAAAAACTTACTTCAAAGGCAAGAGCACCTTCCTCACCTAAGTTGAGAGCCTTGGGGGAGAATACGTTCTTACGACCGTCGTAGATGGTCTTGATACCCTTGAGGATACCCTGTCCATCAAGGTCTTCAAAGCACTTCCAGACCTTACGGTAAACAGCAGGAGGAGTACCCGCTGGGTCGATGGTAACATCGTAATGATGGATGTTCTGGGTAGGGAAAGAAGTGACTTCAAAGAAGTTAGTGCGGACGCGGACGGGCTTTCCAGTACGACCAACACTGGGGCGCTTTACAAACTCGGTGAGTTGAAGAGACATTTAAAAATAATAATAAAAATAAAAAGGTATAAGAAAGACAGCTGACGATTCTGATTTTATGGGAATTTTGTAATTTTATTTATTTATTTATTTATTTATTATTTTTCAGGAATGAGATGACACTCTCTCGCGCTGATTCGCGTGTCACGTGAATAAAATGTGTTAATTGAGTAGAATGGAGCTTGATCTGAACTCTGTTGTTTTGAAAATACAATGACATCGAATGCTAGAATTCATGAATGTTCTTGACTTATTGGCTGGTAGAATGATCTTCCGGGTATCTGAATCAAATGGTCTGGGACAAGTCTAAGAACTGCACCAATGATCAATGAAAAGGATCCTATTAAGACACTTAGACACCACTGCGATACACCAAGTGGTATAGTCTGAAAGGCAGGTCCTCCCCATTGGACAATCATGGCTTGACCAACCACACTAATGATAAATATAAAAATAAAAAATGGGTTGTTGGGTATGTTTTTTACTACATTGAATTTGTTATCAATGCGTCGACAACTACAATAAATCAATAAAGACACGCGTCATTAGTAAAGGCTAATAAGACAAAATTTTACACAAAATACAACATACTTGACTTGATTGAATATCTGACAGAATACAAAGGTATTAAATACCATCGTTTGAAGAGTGGCAGGTACATGTGCCAGTCCAAGAACATTAGTGTATAGCAAACTGAGCATCACAATAATTTGATAAACGGCTTGGCCTATAATCATTTTCCACATCCTTCTGTCAATCAAATGTGAGCTGCGAGAAGTTGGTAACCGCTCAAGAAGGTCTGGAGTAGGTGGATCGGTAGCAAGGGCCAGGGCGGCGAATGTGTCCATAATTAGATTCACCCACAATAGCTGAACAGCGGTCAAAACAGATGCTTGTTCATCGCTTAACACCGCAGAAATTATTGTCAGCATGACTGCAGTTATGTTAACCGTGATTTGAAACTGGAGAAATTTCTTGACCGCGTCGTTTACACAGCGTCCCCAAGAGATAGCCTTGACAATGCTTGCAAAATTGTCGTCCATAAGAATAATGCTTGATGCCTCTTTTGCGACCTCTGTTCCTGTGAGCCCCATGGAGAACCCAACATCTGCTGATCTTAGTGCCGGTCCATCATTGGTACCATCGCCTGTCACAGCTACTGTTTCGCCAGTTGCTTTAAGATCTAGGACCAGTTGACGCTTATCTTCTGGGCTTGCTCTAGCTAAAATATGTAAACGCGGCAAGAGAGCCTGTCGCTGGCTATCCGATTGCTGGCGGTATTGTGCACCTTCCATCACCAGACTTTCCATTGAAGAAATTCCGCATTCCTTTGCAATACTCTTTGCTGTCTCGATATTATCGCCGGTCACCATTCGAACACACACGCCTGCCCGCTGGCATGCACGGACTGCGTCTTTAACGCCTACCCTAAGGGGGTCTTGGATACCGACAATACCCAATAAGTGAAGCTTGTTCTCTTCAAGGATGTCAGACAATAGACGATTACCAGGCCAGCCATCGATATCACAGGTTGCAATAGCCAAAGTACGGAGACTGCGTGAAGCATATGCGTGTTGTGTAGCATGAAACTTGGCTAGTAGTTCTGGTGTCATCGGAAGGTCTACGGAGTGTGAACAATGTGGAAGTAGCAGTTCTGGTGCACCTTTGATGTGGAGACGGTACATTGGGCTAGAAGAATTTACCCTTATTAAGCTGGCCATCAGCTTGCTAGCCGAACTAAATGGATAGACGTGTTCTACAGGCCAGTCACTTCTCAATATCTCAAAAGGAGGACTATCGAGACATTCGGTTGCGAAAGATAATAATGCAGTTTCTGTACGACTTCCTACCAGGATTGTCTGTCCATCTGTTGTAGTTGTCCTGAATGCAGTTGAATTGATAGCAACTGCTTGCTGAATTGATTGGCGTAATGAAAGAGGGAGACGGCGACCGATATTTGAAGGATCGCACAAATCACTAGCAGGTTCTGGATTAACCGCAAATCCGAATTGCCCAAAGCTTCCGGCTACTACGGTCATTATATTCTGTGTGAGCGTTCCGGTTTTATCTGTACATATAGTTGTTGCATTTCCCATAGTTTCGCATGCGGCAAGAACTCTAACAAGATTGTTGTCTTTCAACATCCGACGGGTTGCATAGGCCAATGCAAGTGTAACAGCTAATGGTAGTCCTTCAGGAACAGCCACAACCACTACCGTTACAGCTGTTACCAAGATACGCATCACTTGTGAAACTACTTGTGTGGGATCGAGTGGCTCATCTGATAGCCAATAGCCAGCTATGCAACGGGCCAACAGTACGACACATAAAAGCCCACCCGCTAATGAACCGAGAGTCGCAATCTGGCCTGCCAGTCCGTCCAGCTTTTCTTGTAGTGGTGTTGTCTCACTCTTTACTTGCATTGCCAATAATGTTCGCCCATGAAACGAGTGAGGTCCTACTGCTGTCACCATATATGTGCACATGCCCTCTAATACTTTACTTCCAGATATTAAGAATGGGTCTGGATGTGGAGAAGCTATGCTGGCTACACTGGCACTGTCATCCAGCCATACTTCTTTCTCTTCGGTAGAGCAGACAAGAGTTTGAGTATCACTTGATGATGATGAACAGGACATCGAGAATGGCTGGGTACTCCATCCAAGTGATGCTCGGTGAGATGTTTTATGGATTGCATCAGACTCGCCCGTGGCTCCGGATTCGTCACACTTGAGATGATGACCCTGGACAAAAACACCGTCAGTGGGTAATATGTCTCCGGGCTCCAGACGAAGTATATCGCCAACTTGTACAGTTGCAATCGACAGTACACAAGATACGCCATCGCGGATTCCGTTAACCAGACGATCATCTTTCTTTGCGTTTAGCTTTCGGAATTGTCGTTCTTTGTTATGATCATTAAGGCTTCCAACAACTACAACCAGTACGACTGCTAATAGAATGGCCACACCTTCTACCCATTTTACGCCCGGTACCTGGTTGCCACTTGAATCATATTCGACTGTTGTAAGATCCTGGTAGAGACCAACAGATAGTGACACAGCAGCCGCAATAACCAGAAGAATCTATAGTGTGGAGTAAAATTTAAGTTGTGATTCGAACCTAATACTTGCATATAACAATATATTACCAGGGTTTTGTCTTGAAAGGCGATCCACATCAACTGCCACAAACTGGCTTGTTCAACTGTAGGTAGTACATTGATTCCAAAGGCTTCAATTCTTTCACAGCCTCGATCTTCTTTATTTGGATCTGCTGTATTTACTGGACCAATCATTCCACAATCTGTGCTCGATAGTCCGCGAATTGGGTGGGACTGAAGAGCTCTTGCTAATCCATCGACTCCACCTAGTTGATCAAGGAAATCCAAATCTTTTCGATCAACCATCTCCACCAGCTGTTCAGCTGTCACTCCAAATACTGATGATTCTCCATCGGACATGTGCGCCATTGGGATAAGCATAGGCATTCTATCTTCTTGAGTATCGCTACCCATGGCTGTAACAAAGAGAAGATTTAAGCTGGATTGAAAAAAACGGGGTGTAGGAAATCTCGCTTGAAAAGAAGATTATAAGCGTGAACCCTAGAATAGAGATGCTTTTATGGAGTTCCTGATGTAAAGAAAAGAGTAGCAAAGAAGGAAGGAAATGTTGTAATATGAAAAACTGGATATAAAATAAACAATTTGAAAAGCCTTTTTAGATGGCATACATCAGCCTCCCTTTTTCTTTAGCACCGACAGGAACGAGGGAGGTACAGGGCAAGGGGAGTTTACAGGGGTGAACGAGAAAGGGATTAGAGGGATAGAGTAAAGTGAGGGATCTTGGTGAAAAGAAAAAGAAAATAACCATCACACACACTCTCTCTTAGGTTTGCCCGGCTGAACTCCTCTTGGTCTTTGAAGACTCTATACAAATATCCCTTTGTATTTCAAGGGCCAGCTGGGTTAGCTCCCTTGGTTGATCTCAAAAGTCAATTATACAGAGTTTTTTTAGAAGAGGCTTATTGAAATTATATACTCTAGGTAGATAAGATTATCAACAAACAAACAAAGCAGCAAGTTTTTGCTTCAATAGAATCATCTTCTTTTTTCATATGATATACAGCTCCTTATCTTACTCAGCGTGATCAAAATTATGTGTAAGCTCTTATAATATAGATGAAGAATCAAAAGACAGTAACAAAAGGACTTTTTGATATAAAATAAAATAGAGTACAAGAAGTGGTACCACCGATCCAGAAACCAAGAGCCCAGTCATTCCACACACACAAAAAAAAACACAATCTAAAGATCTCAATTTGTTTTTTATGTGCATGCGTGTTTTCATATTTCTGCTTCATATTACATTTATTGCCACCTTCATATATTAAGTCTCTATAGAAGTTCTGAGCAAGATCAAGTTGAAAAACGTATTTATAAAAAGGGGGTTTCTTGGAAGAGAAGCTACTATCAAACATGTGAATAAAATCATTGAAAATCAAGGAGCCCTCTTCTTACCTTTTTCATTTCATATTCAACATTTACCGCCTCTAAGCATACAATATATTGCGGCCGAAATAAACGACTTTTTCCTTGGGCACCATTTTCAAATAATCAATAGACTGTGATATGCAAATCTAAACCCAGGTCGGTCCTTTGAATTAGAAATAATAATAATAATAATAATAATTATAAAAAATCACAAATGCAGTAGACAAAGAAATAGGAGACCACATAATTCTTGTGTCTTTACCCATGCAACATGTCGTCACCCAGCACTGGATAAACAGACTCTGTAGTTCTAAGAAAATAAGAGGCCATTCCACAAGGCTTATTTTATACACTGTATGTAGAATTCTTTGATGGAATATAGGGTTTGTGGCAAAATAGAGACATAGGATAAATACTTTTATAGACTCCTTCCTCCTTGTAAGCCTCTTTTTTTTCTCTCTCTCTCTCTCCTGTTGGTTTGAGGTCAATCGATAAACAATTATATATATAAAAGCAAAAAAAAATATGAGTTCTTTTTCTTAAAATAAAAATAAAAACTAGTTCTCACAAACTGGTTTCTATATTCAGCCAACAAGGAACAAAAGGAAGGATTACAAAAGGTACATGAGCTTTGTTTAGCAATTGACTTTGATTATTGAATTTCAAATTTCCTATATGACTGTGGTGACTTTAAGGTCGTTATGATCTACCCCATAATACCTTGTATCCCCGCCTATGGCCTCACTTCACGTAAGGCCTATCAAATATAAGCACGATATGCTACAGAGTATTGTTTTTCTTTTCTTTTCAAGAAGAGCATCATCTCATGATCGAATAAACAAAAAGTGAAATGCAATACCCTTAGGATTAATTTGCGTTACAGTTGACCGTGTGTATGTGTATATGAATGCATATGTGCATTTATGCTTGGCTACCTTTTTCAGAGAGATAATTCATGATAACAGAAGGATCCTTTTTGGAAATATCTCTGCTGCTTATCTTTGAAGATCCAGTACAGTATTTATCAATATCATCGTTACAAAACACAAACATGCGCAAATATATATATATATATGTTTAAGAGGAAATTTCTTAAGCATAAAACCTTAATTTTGTAAATCAGGGCGTAATGCGGATTAATGCCTAAAAACTATGGTACATAATTATCTGAAGCATATACATATATCAATAGTCCATTTGTCTTAATACCTTTCCTTTCAACAGCTAGGTTGTTAATAATTATATAATTATCTATTGTAGACTTCTTCTAATTAATCTAGCCTCATAAATATACAGCTTATATTTCCTGGGAAGCTATAAAATAAATGGCCAATATTCGGTCCCAATATCCTTCGTGATCATGTATTGTTTAAGGCTCTTTTTCTGTATAACCTGTGGAAATAAGTAATCTGAAAAGGAAGAGCATACATCCTCCTTAGTTCACCAGATTATAACGAAGGTTTATCAATACCTTTACATCTAGAAGAATCATACATTTCATTTTAAAATAGGGTTGATAACAAAGACGATCCAGTAGTATATACCTTATTTGGAAATATTACATTGAAGAGAAAAAATGCATTTTTTTTTATTTTCCTTTCTGAAAATATATGTTTTTATATATAAAGCAGATTATTTTCCTGTCAGGAACTAGCATAAGTTAAAACAACACATTTATCTCTAATTTGATACGATATATTCAAAAATTCTTTTATTGATCATTTATTTAAAGTGAATTATTTCTGGAAGAAATACAGGGTACTAATTGGCTTTTTATTCTTTCTAAGGCTGCCAAGAAGACATATTTTTATATATGTATATAAAGTATAAAACATAATTCTATGCAGTTTACAAGTATCCGGCCGGGAAAGCAGCGTCACACATATGTGGATGAGATCCACTATAATGAGATAAAATAATGTAAGCAGCTCTATTTAAAAACAGTAAGAAAAGAACATCAGTGCTTACCACCATAGAGGTTGAAGGGGCTCAGCACGGATACCACGCTTCAATAATCTATAACGCCAATCGAACATGCGTGGCATAGCATCGTCTACACTTCGCTTATTCCCATCTTCATCGTAATTTCCTGACCAGAGGACTTCGGCAGTTGCAGCAGCACGAGGCCTATAAAAAGAAAGTATTGTCAGCATAGGATTGTCTCGAATTATATCAAAGGATTTTCTTTCTATCTTACCAGAGTCTGGCATCTAAAGTCGTTTCATCTGATTGTTCTGACCAAAGGGCACATTCACCACCTAGCACATATTTTGTCTCTTCTTTTGACAGCCCGTAAGTTATATCGTAAATGTACATACGCTGCCATGACTTGAAAGGGCTAGAAAGAGTTAGGCAAAGTTAGGCAAGTATCTTTTCTTTTAGTGAGACAAAATAATTTTGATCTTACCTGCACCAATCACCGCCAGATCCGCCCCAGTTTGAAGGGTTGTAATTATCGGATCCTTCATATTTCTCTAGCGCTTTTTGAAGTGGTTTTTTGATGACAGGTGGACTTTGCTCATTCACAGCTGTATCATTCCCACTTACAAGTGAATAAAACCCGTTCACATATACTTTAATAAAAAAAAACTTTTGGAATTTTTTCTTTGTTTCATACCTCCATTGTCCATGGCCACAATCCAAGTACCAAAAATTAGAAGATGAAGCAATTACTTTGTACCCTGCCTTGACTGCTTTTTTCACTGGGTTTTTCCACACTTGGATCACCACATCTTTTGGTATTGCCAAATGGTTTTCTGTTACCGAATCTTTATTTTCAAAGCGAAGAACAATACGTACAATAGTTAGACTTAACAGTCGCGTGATTTTATTTTATAAGTAGTGTACTTGCCTTCCCACAACATAGCGGTCTTTCCAGTATTACTAATAATCTCCAGTTCTTTTTCCAAAAAGATGTTCAGTAAATCAAGTCCAGTGACATTGTTTCTAGCCATGTAGTCTCGAACCGATTTCGCATCTTCCCAGCATCTGTAAACTGGCTCATCTCCTCCTCCGTGGTACCATTCGTCAGGAAATAGGGCAGTCACTTCATCAATAACTTGTTTCACTAAAGTATATGTTCCTTTGAGAATTGGGTTAAGCTGGCCTGATCCCGGCTCTGCTGCGTATCTTTTCTCCCAGGAATTACTAGGATCAAGAAAGAACCTGTCCGAACATGTGCTGAATAAAGGATATATTCCAGAACTATCAGTATACATAAACATTGCCTCCTTTCATAAAGTAATTACAGTCCATTTCTAGATTTATAAGCTCTAGAATTGAACCTACATAAACTGCTTAAATGCCTTTGCCCAGGATCCCGTATGTCCTGGCTGTATGGATTTCAAGATAATACATGTTTACTATTCAGGAAACATGGCAATAAACTAATTATAAATTGCTTACCATATCAATTTCTGGTATGACTCGAATACCACGAGAATGGGCATGTTTGACAATGACCCTAACGTCTTGTTTTGTGTACACAAGCTTTTTGCCGTGTAAACGATAAGCTCCCTTTTTTGCAAGTTCGGGAACACTATCTAGGACAAGAGGGAAACTTTGAGAGTCTGTGATATGCCAATGAAATACCTAAGATGGAATTTAATTAAAGAAGGGATTATTAGTTTCCCTGATGTTAGTATCCGATTTAGCTGAATAAGATAATCTTACATTCATTTTGTTATAAGCCATTGCATCTAATGTACGAAGAAGGTCCTTGACTGGATAATAGTTTCTTGAAGTATCTTGAATGTAAATTATGGTTAAGCACTCTATGCCTTGGAATAATTCAGCATAATAAGAAATACATGACTCACCAAGCATAAGACCACGATGAGAGAAACGAGGCTCATCATTGATAATTATCGGGGTTTGGGGAATAAAAAGTCCTTGGAACCCTAGATCATTGTCATCCTCGTACGCATACTCGTCTTCATCCTCGTCTTCGCCTTCACTGTCATTGTATTTTGCTTGGACTAACTGAGAAAATGTTTCGAGACCACGGAGGGCACCCCATACAGTCTGTGCTTTAAGGGTCCCAATTGTGTTCTCAGGGGAAATATGGAGAGTATAAGACTCGTCTGTACCAAATGTCAAGGCTGCTTCTTTGTCTATAATCTCAATATCAAGAGAATTTAGGTGTTTTGAAGCATGCACTGGGTTGACATTGTCAGCATCCGATACCTGGACCTGTGTAAGTAATCATGATAATTAACGCATGACCTTTTTCTTATTATCAAACACGCTCTATCAATTGACCAAAAAAATTGTAAGACAAGGGTGTTTCTTACAGGGTCCCATCGTTCACGCGCTATCAAATGCGTGTAACGCCTCATGGCGTCTTCCAGAACAGCGATATCCGGTCCTCTGATATTGAACGAGCGCTAACAAAATGGAAAGCAAAGATGAGTCTTACAATATCTTAAATTGAGTCGGAAGAGGAAATAAAAGGGTTATACAAACCCCAAGGTTTAGTTGCACATCTCCCCATTGGATCGATTGAGGTTTTGGCCATAGAAACACAGGCTGGCCAAAAGCGACTGATAACAGAGTCAAAGTTAAAAGTGATCTTTTCATTTCAAAAATAAAAGAAAAAGAGAATAGTTTAAAGAAGATGAAGTATTCAGAATCGAGTGACAATGCTTTATACAAAGATAAATGACGTGGGGGGGATCCAGTTGAAAAGGGGTTTATTCCCAAGCAGTTCACAAGGGGCGGATAAACATTCCCTAATCAAGATATTCATTTCAGTACAATATTATTGTGGAACGCCACCGTAATCATTTTCCCACCTCAGGGTCTTTTTATTTCTAAAGGTTTAACAGGGTTCACCGTATTCGCTTACCAAACTAGACTATCTAGAAAAATGAAGGAAACCGGTAGTACAATAATATATTTTGCTTACAAAACACTTATTAGTGTGTGTATTAGTGTGTGGGTATATAAAGCCCCTTGCCGAACCTATTGATCCTCATTATAACACACTTCTCTTTTGATTTATTATGAAGATCTCTCTCGCTATTACTGCAGCTGCAATTGCTTTCGGCTATGTTGATGCAAAAACATTCTTGTTGCCTATTCCACAATCCGTCGAATGGACCGGAAATTCTGCTTCTCTTTCCAAGGATTTCAAGATCACTGGCGCCAAAAATCCCCATGTTAAGGATGCCGCCAAGCGCTATAATAGTCTAATCCATCAAGAAAAGTGGGTCCCTGTCCAGGTCCCTTATACCAAGCAGCCTGCTCTTGGATCCGCTGGAACTCTCAAGAGTCTTGAAATCTCGGTCAAAGATAACTACGCCAAACTAGATATCGGTATTGACGAGTCTTATACTCTCGATGTCCCTTCCAAAGGCGGAAAAGCTACTCTTATAGCTGCCACTTGGGTTGGTGCTATCCGTGGACTTGAAACCTTTTCACAGCTCGTTGAATCTGGGAAACATGATGGTCTTATTGCTCATACTGCCCATATTATTGATCATCCTACATACGGTCACCGTGGTATTCTGCTTGATACTGCCCGTAATTTCTATCCTGTCAAGGATATTCTGCGTACTATTGATGCTATGGCCTTCAATAAGATGAACGTCTTGCACTGGCATGTCACCGATTCCCAATCCTGGCCTTTGTACTTCAAGTCTCACCCAGAACTATCCGAAAAAGGAGCATATTCATCCAAGGAAGTTTATTCACCAAAAGATGTCGAGACTATCATCCGCTACGGCGAGTCGCGTGGCGTACGCTTGATTGTAGAACTCGATATGCCCGCTCACACTGCCACTATAGCCGAGTCCCATCCTGATTACATGGCGTGCATTGGTGAATGGTGGGGAGACTTTGCTGCCGAGCCACCTGCCGGACAATTGAATCCTATCAATGAAGGTGCCTGGAAACTTGTTGAAGACCTGATTAAAGAAGCAACTCATATATTCCCTGATACTTTATATCATGCTGGTGGAGATGAATTGAATACGGCATGCTGGCCCAAAGAGAAGACTATTGTGGCCTACGCTGAGAAACACAATATGACTTACAATGAGATTTGGTTCGAATGGGAAAATAAGCTTCTAGACTTTGTCAAGACTCAGAAAAAGAGATCTATTATTTGGGAAGATCCTATTAAGGATGGTGGATCAATGCCTGTTGACACCATTGTGCAAACCTGGTTAGCCCCTCCCTCAACTTATACTGCAAAAGGACACGATGTTATTGTCTCAAATTACGCTTACTTTTACCTCGATTGCGGCCATGGTGGTAAGTATATCAAGATATATATTTTTTTAAAAAAATACTGTTTTTGATCTTTAGTAAACTAAATCACAAATCTTAATAATAATTCTAATAAAAATAGGCTGGGTTGGAGATGACGAACGATACATTAGTCCTACTCAACAGGAAACCCCTGAAGACACTTTCAACTATGGTGGTGTTGGCGGTAGCTGGTGTTCCCCTTTCAAAGTAAGTAATTAGCTTAGAAATAATGCCTATAATTATATATATTAAAACAATTTAATACAAAAATATGTTTAACTAATTTTCATTTTGCCTATATAGACATGGCAGCGTATCTATTCTTATGACATGAGCTTTGAAGTTAAAGACAGTCACCCTGGAAAGGTATTGGGCGGTGAAGCAGCTCTTTGGGCAGAACAGTCCGATTACCATGTCGTTGATGGTCGTCTATGGCCTCGTGCTTCTGCTGCTGCTGAAATCTATTGGTCTGGTAGCTATGACAACAAAAATCAACGAAGAACTGTAGAGGAGTTTCAGCCTCGTTTCCTTGATTGGGTTTACAGACTCCAGAGTCGAGGAATCAACGCAGAGCCGGTTCAACCCAAGTGGTGTGCCAAGCATCCCCAGGCTTGCGATCTTAACAACCCTAAGAAGGTGGCTGCTTAGAATATCAAGCATATACTACTTTCATGATACTTTTTATTGGTTTATCTCTTCATGTATTATTTATCTACATTATTATCAAATTATAATTTTATATTCAGCCCCTATTCATGAAATAAAAATATTTCATTAGCTACATGATATTGTTTTCTCTTTTTGTTACGCTTAAATGTACTATTGACTTTATTGATTTTATGCTTTAGATATTTATATAGGCATAAAATCAATAAAGATAAGATATTCGAAGGAAAATGAAAGGCATAAGTTTCAGAATTAAAGGTTCATTCTGAAACACTCGTGTTTTTAATTCATGGCTAATAAACAATGTTATCATTTAATAGGCAACAAAGACGAGTAACCATATTCTAATTATTACAAGTAAATAAATAATGATGATTTTCTCAATCTATCAAGTCATAATACTTTCAAGAGCAAAAAATATGGTGTGTATATGTATTTGCCAAGCTAGCTGTCGAAATACTTTCTGGTTAATAGATGTGCAGCACGGACCACCCCTACGGTTATAAAGGAAATTAATACAGAAAAGGAGCCAGAAATGCTGTGACACCTAATTCGTAATCCAAGATCAAATGAAATATGTACTCATATACTCTCTTTCTTTAACCTCATTTAATGGATTGATTGTTTAATAAACTTAAAGAAGTATATATGTATGATGCTACTTTCTCTTTTTTTGGTGGATTATCAACATTTTTTTTTAAAAAAAGAAGACGTGATATATATAACCTTGTCTGCAAGTGTGTTTTCGTTTTCTCTCTCTTTCTTTTTTATGGTATTTCTCATAAGCATCAAAGAAAACTCATGACGAACTAAGACCGGCTTGTAAACGCTTCTTCAAATTCTTTTTGTTGTTGCTGTTGTTGTTGCTGTTGCTGTTGTAACCGTTGCATCATCATCATTACATTCTGCAAGTTACCAGCATCCTCATTACCAGGATTGTTTCCACCATACATGCCCATCATATTCAAACCAGGCGCATTGTTCAACATCATTGCAGGATTAATTATTCCGTTGGTTATTAAATCTGCAGGATTCATAGCATTTGCCGACATTGATGTAGATGTCATACTGGGTGACATTGTAGCATCAAGAGACTGAGAAATTGGTGAACCAGACTGAGCAAGATTATTGAATCCATTGTTCAGCATGACATCATTGGCAAGACCGATGCCATTCATACCCATATTCATGGTGTTTAACATTGGTTGTTTCTGTTGTTGCTGTTGCTGTTGTTGTTGTTGTTGTTGTTGTTGTTGTTGTTGTTGTTGTTGTTGTTGTTGTTGTTGTTGTTGTTGTTGTCTCATCATATTTTGTTGCTGCTGCTGTTGTACTTGCCTGAGAATAGTCTGGGGATCAATATTAGCATTACTCATCATAACGCTTCTTCCTGCTGTGGGTATGCTGCCAGAGGTCTTTGTATTATTGAGGAATTGTTGTTGTTGTTGTTGTCTCATAGCCGATGCTTGTTGGCGAAGGAGTTGTTGCTGTTGTTGTTGAAGCTGTTGTTGCTGCTGTTGCTGTTGTTGCTGTTGAAGTTGATGTTGTACTTGTTGTTGATGCTGGTGCTGGTGCTGGTGTTGTTGTTGTTGTTGTTGTTGTTGTTGTTGTTGTTGTTGTTGTTGTTGCTGCTGTTGTTGTTGTTGGTGTTGGTGTTGCTGCGCCTGTTGCTGCGCCTGTTGCTGTGCTTGTTGCTGTGCTTGTTGCTGTGCTTGTTGTTGTGCTTGTTGCTGTGCTTGTTGCTGTGCCTGTTGCTGTGCTTGTTGTGAAGTATGTATTTGTTGAGGAGTCTGTGGTTGTATTAAGGGTGTGGCGCGTTGAACAGGTGATGATTGGCTTCTCTGTGATTGAGAGTATGGCGAGGAAATAGAATCATTTCCATTCATAAACTTGTCCTGAGGATCTTGAGAAAAAAGCATTTGTGCTGTGTTGAGCAACATATGAATCTTGTTAGCAATTTCTGACTCTGGTGCAGGGAGTGGTGACAGATCAGGAGGTGCAGGCGACTTATATTCCTACAGTGGAAACTTGGTTATTTCTGGTCTTCGCTATTCGGCAGCAAGATTTTAATTGTATATTTTTACCTCTCCGGGTTTGATCATTGAGATATCGGCCATTGTGGCCAAGTAGGTGAGATTGGATTGGAGTCTCTTTTGGTATCTATAGTTAATTTCGAATAATAATAAATTTAATGAGACTCAATAAAAAAATATTCTCCCTAACTCACTCTGACAAATCAATGTCTGGCGCAGTATCTCTCTGCTGATGATCGATACACAGTCGAATGAGCTCTTGATTCATTGCTAAGATCTGTGACAAACAAGATATCAATACATATATATACTCAAAGTCAGAGATAGACCTTACTGTTTCAACTCGCTTTGAATTGATATCCATCATTGTCAATTTTGGTTCAAGTGCTGCCTTTTCAATTGCCATATTTATTCCAAACGATTGAGGATCGAGAGATATATTATTTATACCCATTTGTGGACCAGTGAAACCAACAATATTCTGTTGGTTCATAGCCTTCTGCATATGCTGTTGCTGTATCATCAAGAACTGTCTTCTCTGCTGTTCGTCCATACGTTGAAGTAGCATCTGTTGCTGTTGATGGTGGTGTTGCTGCTGCTGCTGTTGTTGTTGTTGTTGCTGCTGTTGTTGTTGTTGTTGTTGTTGCTGTTTATTCAGCCAAGCCTGCTGCTGACCTATATTGGTAGGTCGGAATGCCTGAGATTGTACATGTGCTTGTTTTTGTTGTTGTATGTGTGCCTGTTGTTGTAATTGTGCCTGCTGCTGTAATTGTGCCTGTTGGTGTTGCTTATTTTGCATCATCTGGGAAGCATTGGGTCGTTGAGCGGCATTTTGCATAATTGTCATGTTTATTGGTGATGCTGCTGCATCCAAGCCAGTGTTAGCACCTGCGGCCAAAGTGGCATTAAACTGTGCTGGATTATACATCTATTTGTTTTTTTTTGGTTTATATATATGTGTATATATGTATATATATATTCGTAGTTAAGAATCCAAGTCTTTATTTTTAGTTTTTTTGAAGGCATCTTTATTCATCGTCACCCCTTCCGTTTATTCTTCTATCTCATCCCCTTTTTATAATAATAAAAGTAGTAATACTAGTAACAGTAGAGCCGAGCAAAAAAGATAGAAGCTTACTTTTTGTTGTGGCAAAGGTTGAGGAGAGAATCCACTGACTACAGACTGTAGGTCTGATGGAATTCCAGTCATGAAACCTTGTCCACCATTAACAAAAGCATTCTGAAGGTAGGCGTTGTTTTGACTGTTTGGGCCAGTGAATTGGTTCATGTTTAAGGTTCAATACGAGTCATATAACAATTTTTTGTGGTCTTTCGCTTTTTATTTTATTTTCCAATAAAAAAAAGCGTCCTGGAATTACCAATTTTTTTTTGGCACCACACAGCGTAATTTATGACTTGCGTTTTAATCATCCTTTTCTATTGAAAAAAAAAATGTAATTTTTATAAAAGGTATTTATACAGTGTGAATGGTTCATGAATTAACACATATACACACTTTATATACATTTCTCTTTATTTTATTTTTAAAAAAAAATGAGTTGATTTCTATGGTAAATATTAAGCTTATCTTGATAATCAGTGTCCTATGTATAAGTTTTTTAAAGTCTTATTCATATTTTATTGACGAAGTAATGTTCTATTCATCCTTAATTTCTTATTCATACGCATGTGCGTACATTGCGTCCACTGCGTTAGAGGGCCGGTGTGTGACTGGAGTTGGCAATTGAAAGTTGATAAAGACGGTCATGTGACTGCAAAGCCTCTCTTGTCTTCCACGAATGTCAAAAATTTTGTTCGAGGTTTAGTGACGGACTTCCTTAACCCTTTCCTCTTTTTTTTTACAACACACTTATAACAACATGGGCAAAGGCGGATTTGGAGAACGTGGTGGACGCGGTGGTGGACGCGGTGGATTCCGTGGAGGTAATACGACCAACAATTTATTTTGTCATGAGTTGATCATGGCATTTTACGCAAAACAAAAGATCAATCTGACATTCGAGATTTCGACTTTCTTGTTTCTTTCGTTGAATAGGTCGTGGTGGAGGCCGTGGTGGTTTCGGTGGTGGTTTCGGTGCTCCCCAAGGTCCTCCTGCTGAGGTTGTCGGTAAGTTTCTTATCCTCCCCAATTTAATTAAATTTATTTTCTCTGTTATGCACATTAGAACTTAAATATGTATGTATTGTTTGGATAAATAATTAACGATGAGTTTGATGTTATTGCTATTGTTTAGCCATGGGCGCTTTTCAGCATGCATGCGAGGGTGAAATGGTCTGCAAGTCTATCAATGCCAAGATCCCTTATTTCAACGCACCTATTTTCCTTGAGAACAAGTCTCAGATCGGTAAGGTTGATGAGATCCTCGGTCCTTTGAACGAGGTCTACTTCACCGTTAAGATGCAGGATGGTGTTGTTGCCTCCTCCTTCAAGCCTGATGACAAGGTCTACATTGGCACTGACAAGCTCCTTCCCCTCGAGCGTTTCCTCCCTAAGCCCAAGGTCACCAACGCTGGTAAGTTTGTAGCTTGTGTGTTGCATAAGTTTTTTTGGCTGTCTTTTTTTCGGTTTCTTGACTGTCAATTAAAATCGCAAAGTCACCAATCGAATAATTTCAAAATGATATTCTTTCTTTTTTACTACCAATGGGCTATTAATATCACCAATATTAACTTAATTTCTTTCCTCTTCTTTTTAGGCTCTAAGGCTACTGGCAGACAAGGCCAGGTCGAGAAGCGTGGTGGACGTGGTGGTTTCGGTGCTCCCCGTGGTCGCGGTGCCCCTCGTGGCCGTGGCGGTTTCGGTGGCGGAGACCGTGGAGGCCGTGGCGGCTTCGGCGGTGGACGTGGTGGCAGCCGTGGAGGTTTCGGTGGAGACCGTGGAGGCCGTGGTGGTTTCGGTGGAGGAGACCGTGGAGGCCGTGGTGGTTTCGGCGGTGGACGTGGTGGCAGCCGTGGCGGTTTCGGTGGCGGACGTGGTGGTTACTAAGAAATTCGTACATACAATCAATCTTTTTTTAAGCAGTACATATAAAAATACAGAAAATAAGAAATATCTCATCATCATTTTATTCATTTTTTTTTCATTACAAAAAAGACAAAAGATATTTTTCATCTATGCACCAGTGAGTGAGTGAGAGAATTTGTGTATGTGTGTGTTACAAAGAAGATAAAGGGAAAAGGACAGTCAACCTACCAAAATTGGCAACATCTTCCAATTCTCTTTTTGTTTCATCATTATTATTTGTATTTCAAAAAACACAAGCAATCTCTATTTTTGATCCTTTTTTCTTAATACTATTATTAAATATATAATATACATATATACATACATATAAAATACAAAATAAAAGGGCTGATCAAATCAAATCAAATACATAAAACTATTTTATTATTTCAACTCGTCTTTTTTTTTCTATTGATGCCTGTGTATTCACCTTCACTTGCTTCATTCTGGGATGACATGCGAGCCATCGAACCTCCTTCTATTCGTCTGGAGAGAAGAGCTAGAGAACGATCGTCAGTGTGGCGCCATTCATTTCACCCATTAGAAATGCCACCTGCAGAGACAACAGCAAACAATCCCGATTATAGCCCAATCTCCTCCACCGACAGTGAACCTATAGCCATATTCGAAGCCGACAGCAGTGATGACAGTCAAACTACAACACCCGGAAGACCAGAAGATCTCGAGACTGTCGTACGAGCCCTGCATCGCTTCCATCTATTCAGACGATTACTACCTGCTACAGAACGTCCAAGTGCCCTCGGTCTCTCATTACCATCAACAGCAGTTCTGTCCTTGCTGTGCGATGAGGACAATAAGCAGGAATGGTTGACACAATATCTCACTCCTGATGGAGATTTTGATCCCGGACTGGCTGTACTGGCTGCTGCAGTCTATGAACAGTCTCGCACAGAAGGTCCTGTTTGCTGTAGAGATATACTAACTGCTGGAGAGGAACTCTATGGTGAAGACTGGCCTAGTCGTCTACACCCTAAAGGAAGAAGTCATGTCCTGGATAAACTGTCAACCGTAGCTCACATTCAGCAAAAGTTGAAAGACAGCGGAAGGTTGGAAACAGTAGATCATGCGATTCGCTAGTCCGACGCAGTTTCCTCATCAAGCCCACTGTCTACTAAAAAAATATAAGCAGGCGGGCAGATATACAGGCAGACAGAAGCCGAAAAGAAGCAGAAAAGAAGCCTAAACACACACACACACATACACACATACACACAAACATATATATATATATGTACATAAACACACTGATACACACAAAAGCCCATTAACTATTTTACTTTATTTTACCCCCCCTCCCGCCCCCCTTATATATATATTTTTATTATCTATCTTTGTTTATTTGCTCTTTTTCTTTTTTTTTCCCTTCCTCTCTTTGAATCTCTCAAATAACAATTACAACTTACACATTGCTCATGTCAAAAGTTTCTCGTCTTCTTTTGCCAGCCTACTACTTGATGAATATAGGCTTTTCCCCAAGACCTATTGGGCGTATTACAAGACGTATCAATATTACTCGTCTTTACCACGCCGTAGACCCCGTCTCGCCAAATTCTCTTAACCAACCTACAACACGCTCATTCGATAGTCTCCTCTCATCACAAGTAGCCAATCCTCGCACAGTAAGACCTGGCTTTACGAATTAAAAAATGTATATACATGCACATAAGCACAGGTTAATTTAGTTTTCCATTAGATTGTCAAGCACCTTGATGAGTATGTAATCGGACAAGCCAGGGCAAAGAAAATTCTCGCAGTCGCAGTTTACAACCACTACAACCGTGTACGCGCCAATTTATCGCTCGAACCACCACACGAAGATACTCATGGTGTATCTGCAGACCAAGAGGACCGTGCTTTTGCAGAACATCATTCAGCTATATCACAGGACTACTATCTCTCTACTCCTGTTCAATCGAGCGAACTCGTTCCAGCAGAGAGGGGGTCTCCATCATATGGTAAATATAAGCAACTTAATTTAATTTTAAAAATACACATATACAGAGATGCAAATACGAACACATGCGTATTGTTGTTGTAATACATATGAGCATGGATGAACTTATCTATAGTATACTATGATAGGAAATCAAAGACGTTCGTGGATTAATCCCCCTTCTGAAGCACCCCATAAACCAAATACAGACAAACCATTAGCTACCCCGGCTATACCAGAAGAGAAGACTGTCTATGAGAAAAGCAACGTTCTATTGATTGGCCCCACTGGGTCAGGAAAGACCTTACTTGCCAAGACACTAGCCGAGATCCTCAAAGTGCCATTTTCAATGTCAGACGCAACTCCTTTTACTCAGGCTGGATATGTGGGCGAAGATGTGGAGTTGGTTATCCAACGACTATTACAGGTACATATCATATATGTAAACACTATTAAGAAATATCAAAAATTATATTGATATTTCTAGTACTAGTAGTAGTTATAGTAATAGTAATGACTTTATCTTACCTTCCTTTTGTGTCTTAATTGTGTCTTGATTTTTTTAGTCGTGTGATTATAACGTGAAAAAAGCTGAGATGGGTATAGTGTTTATCGATGAAATTGACAAAATTGCAAGGAGATCCGATGTCCATTCAGCTTCCCGAGACGTTTCCGGTGAAGGAGTTCAACAAGTACGACTAATGCTCTGTTCTAAAATATTAAAATATTAACAGAAGCATTTGTCCCTTAGTCATTACTGAGAATGTTGGAAGGCACGACCATTCATATCACAGACAAGTCCAGCGGGGGACAAGGCCATGGTAGAAGGAATACATCATCTGGGTCTATGTACGGTCAGGGACCGCCTGGAAAAGGAGAAACATATACAGTTGACACTAGCAACATTCTATTTATCCTCAGTGGTGCTTTCATTGGCCTTGAAAAGACCGTACAAGATCGAATGGCTAAAGGGGTAGGATATATGTATAATAGAATGAATATGACTCGAACTTGCCTTTGAAAGATTCTAATTAACTCTATGTGTTAAAGTCGATTGGATTTGGTGCTAGTCTTCGAACAATAGGCAAGGATAGCTCCCACGCATTACAGCCTAACCAGCCTGAACCGTTATCCCTTGTAGAACCAGAAGGTAAACATATATATATATATGCGTGAGAACAAGTTAAAAGCAACTACATCGACTTATGTTCTGTATTTGTATTATTGTGTAGATCTAGTAAAATATGGATTGATTCCAGAATTTGTCGGCAGATTACCCGTGGTTGCGTCTGTCAACAGTCTGAATGTCGATGATCTTGTCAAAGTCCTCACAGAGCCTAAGAATTCACTTGTAGCACAATACAAGGGGTTGTTTGAGTTGAGCCAGGTAAAGAAAATGAACACTTTATTTATTTTTAATATGGAGTTTAATAATATATGTATTTGCTTTACGCAGATTGGCCTAAGATTTAGTAAGACAGCCTTGAAACGTGTAGCCGAGCATGCGTTAGAGAAAAAAACCGGTGCTCGTGGACTACGTCGTATTATGGTACAAGATTCATGCCAATATGTAGAAATTTGTGTGTACGACGACGACTAATTTTTCTTATATTTGCAGGAATCTATTTTGCTTGAACCCATGTACGACGCACCTGGATCATATATTCGACAGGTGGTTGTCGACAGCAAGGTTGTTGACAAACAAAAATCGGCTGTCTACATCAGCCACCATCAAAAGCAGCTAGCAGACACCATCATCAATCAGGACGATGGCACAGAGTCTGATTCTGACACACAAGAACAAGAGATGACTGTAATCTAAAAAATGGACAGCTTTACTTCCTATTCTTACACTTTGTACCATACACTTTATATCGTTCTTTTTTCTTTTCTTTTAGTCCTTTGGGTAAATACTGTCTTTGGATGTCAATCTACTCAATGTAGTGTCGCTCTTTCTCACTTACAAACCCCTTCCTCTTATTCTTTTCTTTTCTTTTTGCTTTGCATAATTTACATATCATTTATATACTCTGCTCCAGGATCTTCTTCATCCTCATCTTCACTATCATTATTTCGCATGGATTCCATGCGTTGCTTTTCTTGTTCGCGTTTGCGAGCTGCCAACTTGGCAAGTGCAGCCGCGCGATTGGCTTTGGCAGGGTTAGGTACTCTAGGAGTTTCTTGTTTCTTCTTTGATACAGCAGCAGCAATAATATTAGGGCTGGCTTTGGGAAATTGGAAAAGGGGTTCTTCGTCATCCGAGGAATCGTCCTGGTCGATAGAAGTAGTCACAAACGCATTAATGATATGAGATCTGCTGGATGTGCTTGTATTCACAGGCTGTAAAGAAGAAGAAGAGGATGATGCTGTAGAGGTTTCACGTTGCGGAGAACTAAGATTCCGTGGTGCTGTAGCAGCAGCAGTAGCAGTGGTGGTGGTGGTTGTAGAAGATAGCGTCTGTCTTTCGTTTTCCTCGTCTAAAATTAAATAATGATTTGAAGGTTAGAAAGTTTATATATCGAGAAGCACTGTAATGCATTAAAAACAACAACAACAGAAAGTACCTTCTACAGTCATCCCAGACAATTCACCAATGTCTGTCGGTCCGTCATCTTTGTGCTGTACTGCATTTCGTTTCGCTTCAAATTCATCTTGCCAAGTAGCCAGAGCAGTTTGACAGCGTCCATTTGCAGTTGCTTTCAATACAGCGTGTGAAAAATCACTAAACGGAAGGCGTGGAAAGAGATTATCTGCCCATATATGATAAAATTCCATCAAGCGTGCCAGATCCAAATCCTTTTTTTAAAAAAAAAAAAAGAAAAGAAAAATGAACTTGCGTTTAATATAAAGTATACAGGTTGAAACGTGCCTAGTATATGTATATAACTGTAATGTGGTGTACCTCATAACCTCTGCCCTTGAAATGAAGCCAAGGAGCTTCGTGTCTTATACGCGGCAGGCCCTTATCAGATAGCATACTAGTCCAATTGAATCCAAGTTTATATTTTCTCGGGTTAAATAGGTGTCTTACAGGTCAGCATCAAGTTTCTTGTATTGTCTCTTGGCACGAATTGGTGCTTCTTCATCTTCGTCACCGTCACCGCTGCTACGCTTATTTCCACGTCCGGCGAGAGGGTCAAAGTTACTGGGCGTATTTTGTGATGTGTCGTTGCTAGTACTGTTCCCAAATGGATCAAGATCTCCAAGCAAATCATAAAAGCTATCATTCAAATCGTCATTCATGATACTACTACTATTATTATTTTGATTAGGTAAACTTGAATTTAGAGAGAGAGAGGTGGGGAGGGAGGACGGTGACAGATAGAAAGAATGAGAGAATGAGAGAAAAGAGTAAGGACCGCCATAAATATTTGAGGACCGCTCAAAAAGACAGAGTGGCTTTTGCCTGTCACAACTTTTTTTTTCCATGTAAGGCTTCTCGGGAGACATTCCAGTTGATCATCCCTACAAAAACTAATCGCCATGGCCAAAGAAAAGAAAGAAAAGAAGGTGAAGCAGGAGAAGATGGACGTTGATTCCGAGGTTGAGACCGTTCGTTACGTCTCTCCTATTGCCCACCCCTTGGCAGAGAAGAAGTTCACCAAGAAGATCTTCAAGACCATTAAGAAGGGTAAGATTTTTTTCTATTATTATTTAAAATACTTTTACTTTCAAATGCATAAGATCACATAAAAACTCGATAATAACTGTTACGAAAACAATTGTAGCTGGCAAGGCTAAGCATGTTCGTCGTGGTGTAAAGGAAGTCGGAAAGGCTCTCCGTAAGGGTGAAAAGGGATTTGTTATCATTGCTGGTGACATTTCTCCCATTGACGTTGTGGCCCACATGCCCGTCCTGTGCGAGGACAGCAACGTGCCATATGTCTTTGTCTCTTCAAAGGAGGAACTCGGAGAGGCAAGTTTAACCAAGCGCCCCACTTCCGTCGCCATGGTTGTTTTTGGAGGCAAATCAAAGGATGCCAAGGATGCTGAGGCAGCTGCTGACTACAAGGAGATGTATGATGAGTGTTATGCTCAGGCAAAGGAGTTGGTGAGTAACTTTATTTTTGTTTGTTTGCTTGTTTACAAGATGATCAAATATATTTTACATCTATAAGAAAAAAAGATACGTGCCATTAACTAATTATTATTGTTTTTCTTAGGACGAGAAGCTTGTTTATTAATCGCCTCTTTTCTTTAACCTTTTTTTTCTTCAACCTCTTGGTTCTGTATAAAAATAAAAACGTAAAAAAACAAAACAAATATATGTTTAAAATAAGTCTATTTGACATGATCAAGACTGCACACAAAGAAGTATACTGACAAATCATTGATGATATTTATCAAAGAAAAATGAAGCGGCGACCTTTTATATATATATTTTTTGTGCTTCTATGCAACTTGTCAATTTTCATATTTTGAATTCATGGAAGGATATACGTGCGTGTGGGCATGTATTATTGTTATTGTATTAATATTAAGTATTATGTTGAATTTATTAATGTATACTTGTATGGTAGAAAGGGAGTTATTATTATTATTATTATTATTTACTAAAAGACGCGTTGACTTCTTCCAGAGATTTGCCAGAAGTCTATACAAAACTAGTCAGTAAAACAAAACAAATAACTGTAGACACCACACGTATATCTCTTCATATATCTTTGTAATGTTAATCGTATTTACCTCTGGCAGAAGAAAATATATTCCAATCCATAAGATAAACGAAATACCTGCATAGAACCAAAAGGTTCCTGCAGAAGTCAATGTATCCGTCATGGATAAGAATGTGGTAGAAATGATCAAGTTACAAATCCAATTGACAGCAGTAGATACGCCATTGGCCTTTCCACGTACAGAATTAGAAAACATCTCACTTTGGATAAGCCAACTAAACTCCACGCAAGCCGATTAGTATAATATAAAGTGATTCTTTTTAAAAAAAAAACAACTTACGGGGCATATCCTAAACCAAGAGCATAACTGGCAACATAGACAATAAGCGATGTCAAAAGTATTCCAGTAATGGCCTTATCATTCCCTCGAGGAGGACAGCCAGTAGTGCTCTCATAAATATCGCCAGAATGACCTAGCAGAGGTACACATACGTCTTCTGAGATGGACCAGCCACAGCGATCATCAAGTACACAACGAGCACAATGTGTTACATAACCGCTGCAGCTGTCTTGCTTGGGAATAAAGCCTTGTTGGGCAGCAAATGTGGCGCCCAGAGAGATTAAACCAGCAATCATCATCAGCATAGTGATAACAACCATGCGACGACGACCTGCCCAATCGATAACTGAAACTGCTACCGCAGTAAACACCATATTGGTAACTGACACAATAATAGCCACACTTGTTGAATTTTGGTTACTACGGAATCCAGCCATCTGTAGAATAGTTGCAGCGTAATACATGGCAGCATTAAAGCCGGACAGTTGTTGCGCTGCCTGCAAGAGACATGCTGTACAAAATTCCTCATAAATTAAAAACTCATTTGTTAAGAACTCCATCTCTGCCTTACCAATTATGAGTGGTCTGAGGGTATCACGATGAATTAGATCTTTAAAGCTTGAACTAGAGCTACTGTTGACATCATCGAGCATCAAACGAACTTGGTTTTCAATGAAAGCTTCTGTGACTTCAGGGCCGTAGATTTTACGAAGAGTTGATTTGGCCTGTTCGAGCTTATTAGTGATAACCAGACGACGAGGTGATTCAGGCAAAAATGGCATAACTGGAAAGAAAGATCTTAGTATGTTTCAAGAAAGACTCCCACACAAAGAGAAAATAGATGGCTAACCATGTATATGGACACAGTAAACTTACTAATAAATTGGAAAAGGGCTGGGATACCAGCAATACCAAACATGTACCGCCAACCATTGTCGACAGAGGCAAAGGCAATGTTCATAACATAGGCAATTACTTGACCAAATGTGATAACAAGTGTATTGAGGGTCGTCAATCTGCCACGGATATGTTTTGGTGCCAGTTCACCTGTGAAGATGAAAGTAAATACAAAATGTGTGTGTGTATGCATTTTGTAGGTATTTTTTTTTTGCAAGTTGTTCTGTAGTACACTCACTGACATAAACTGGGACAATCATGGAAGCCACTCCGACAGCTACACCAACCACCAGGCGACCCAAGAGAAGCACACCATAACTTGGTGCCAAGGCAAGAAGAAGAGCGCCAGCGATAAATATTACAGAAGAAATGATGACTAGAATCTATTTAAAAAATGAAGATGTTAGTTTTACTCTTGAAATTAGCACCAATTCAGCTATGTTTATTCATTTATCTAGATATGTTATATGTTCGTATTTCTTTACCTTTCTTCCCATTTTATCTGACAGCTATAAAGGTGGAATATACATATATTAATATATCAAAATATTTTTACCGAATAAGAATAATGGAAAGAGAGAAATTATAAAGTAAATATAAATAAATAAATATTGTTTTATGTTTATTACCAAACCAGCAAAGAATCCTCCAAATATTGCACCCAAAGTAGTGGCACCAACTACTAATTCCTTTTGAACTGTACTCAAACCAAATTTTTCCTGAAGAGGTTGAAGTGCACCGGAGATGACTATGAGAACATTTTAAGGATCATTGAAATGATTTACGACTTTTTTGTTTTGTTTTTTTTATTGCATTTATATTAACTCTTACCACCAGTATCGTAACCAAACAGGAATCCGCCTACACAAACACACATTACAAGCATGTATGTAAAGAATGATGCTTTTACATGAGGAACATCGGCAGATGATGACTGCGATCCAATCGATTCCCGAGTTTCGAGTTCATTCGAATCCTTCTTGCCGGACATGTTCTGGGCTACTATAGATGGTACAATCACATCAGTCTCACCGATTGAAGGCACAGTCTCATAATGAAAGCCTTTGAATAGCCGCTGTAAGATGGCCATATTGTTAGGGTATAATTTTTTTCTCTAATAAAATCCTTTGGACACCCCTCCACCCCCCTCTATCCTTCATGGTGACAGTTTACTCTTCAATGTGATGTCACTAGATACAAGGCAGGTGATGTCACATAAGGTTTATATGTAGTAATATCGATGAAGAGTAATTGTTCAATTATTAATTAATCAATATATATATATCTAAGAAGAGGGGTGTCCAAAAGCGTTGGATGTCCAATAATTTTTTAATAAGCACAAAAAAAGTCTTGCTGATTATTTGTCGCAAAAAATATTCCGAAATCAACGCAAAATGGCTGTCTATTTATTGAGCAGCAATACAAAACAGTAAGAAATGATCGTAACTTACAATATAAAGATTTTGAACAGTAAGGTGAGTTCAAGAGAGCTTTTACTTGTATTATATATGTATATATAAAATAATCTTTATCCTTATAATTTCAATTTTAATCTGGGAACTGAAGAAGCTTAGAGCAAGAAGAAGAAAACAAAAAAAAGTTAAAATTCTGTTATATACAGCTCTTCACACTCACTAACCTTTTATCCATTTATGGAAATTCTGAGCGGGATAAGTGTTTTTGAAGGGTGGAGAATCAAACTGGGGGTGAATATGTTGTGATCCAGATTAGGATGTACAAGGTAGAAAATGTAACATCAAATAAAGAATCGGCTCTATCTTTTAAATTGTGCGATTTAATTGCAGGTGTCACAAAGATCTTGAATTGGGGGGAAGAAGTCGAATAAAGCTGGAAAAGAGAAGATCTTGTTGGACAGAATCCATGGGAAAAAATTAAATGAGTATTTACCACAGAAACCCCAGGATGTATAGTAAGTAATATTAGGCTTGTAAGTGTAATTGATAAACAAAACATGAGAAATGAGAAATTCAGTAGAAATCTCAAAAACTCTGAAGATAAAAATTTGGGAATGTAGTCTTTTAAAATAATATCCATTGCATCATGTGTGTGCTTTAATTGATCTGTCAAAGGCTCCTTTGCAAAGTTGAGTGCACTATATGTACAACCACAATAATCTTTAAAGCATTTTACATCTGTGGCTGTATTATTCACACGTAGCTGAAAAATACATTCTAGCCGTCATTGTATACAAATACACATAATTCAAATAAACTCATATTGGGTTTCGACCAACTTATTGAATAGATCGATACTCTTTTTACTGGAGGACTAAACTCTCCATGGCAAAGATTCTGTTTTCGTTTTTAAAGCATCGTAGTTAAGATAGTAACTCTTTGTCACGGTCAAGCCTCTAAACAGTACTCTGATCAAGATGCGTATTAGAGCTGAATATTAATAAATGCCACATGTTTATTATTATTGCAGAATTTAAACATGTCCAATGTTTTCTTTTCTCTCTCGCTGTTTAAGGGTTACGTATTTTAAAGAGAGTACACAAGGCAAGTGAACAATTCTCTAGCGAATTAGCATACAAGGCGTTTTCTTAGAATAGTACACATGGTTTAAAGTGTTTTATTTTCTGAAAGAGACTTGTAAAACCATAGATTCTACTTTTACTTAAATTTTCTGCCATTAGGTGTGTGTCTATACTTTTTCCATTAACTTTTTCCGCTTTTTTTTTAATCGTACAGTCGTAAAAAAATTGAAAGGTTAGATAAGATGCATTAATAGAAAAGTAGGCTATTCTTATATTAAATTGCAAATTACGAATTGTACACCAAACCTATAGAAAAATTTAACAGCTATAATTTAACTTTGTTACTTTCATTATTATTATTACATTATCGTATTCACATCAAATCTTGAGCTCTAGTGTCAATTATAGTTCAGAGTTACAGTAAATTCCCCACATTTTTCACATTTTATTTTTTATTTTAAATGATTAAAAGTTTGTAGAAATTACAGTTATATTTAATATATAATTTTATGTACTTTTCTTTACCATTACAAAAAAATTCATTCCAAATATCATTTTTTGTTCTCTTCTTTTTTTTCTCACAGAAAATGAACACCTGTAGTGTACTTTGATATAGGTAAATTTAGCTTTTTCGTTTCAATCGTTTCAATCGTTTCAATCGTTTCAATTTTTATATTATTATTTTTCTTATTATTAGTCAATGGCTTAAGATATAAAATGTATATACCAGAAAACTAGAAACAAAAACAACAGCAAAAGAAAAAAACGAATTCAATTAAAAGCTCTATCCTATCTTTTAAGGAACAAAAAGTAAAGTATAGTGCAACATGATGTGAATCCAAATGTGACCGCGTCGCAACGTCATTGTTTTTCCCCGTCAACTACTTTTAACTCACCTAAAGCGCGCCATAGAGTGTTGAGCAACACGGATAATTATATACATTATGGCTGATCGTGATTCCAGATCCAGACGCGACTACTCTAGTGAGAGAATGGCCGTTGATGATGGTAAGTTTTGTCTTCTCTCTCAATTTCCCTGCTAAATTGATCAAAGGCCTGAAAAAAATATAACCTATTTTTTATGGATTAGACCGTTCGGCTGAGATCAAGCAAAAAGGACGTCTTTTCAGCAGCAATGATGGTACTTGCAATTTAATCGTATAAATTTATGATCGCCATTTGTAATAACCACATTATATTAATCAGAGAGACGTGCACTTCGCGGTGATCGCATGGAAGGCGATGGTTCATTAGAGCCAGAAAGATGTGAGGAACTACTATTACTGCAATTATTCCTAAAAGAAGATAAATTAATCTCACGCCAAAATTACCAATGCTTCTAGCAATCGAAGGATGGATTATCATTGTGCGTGGCGTTCATGAAGAGGCAGATGAGGAAGGATTGACAGAAAGATTTTCAGATTATGGTGTCATTAAGAATTTGCATCTCAATCTCGATAGACGAACAGGTTATGTCAAGGCAAGTATTTTTGCTGTGTAAGAAGTAAATTTTAGGCAAATAAAAAATGAGAATTGGAGAAGAAAGTGTTTATATATATATTGGAACAAGGCTTATTTGTATGATGACTTACTTTTCAAGGCGACTATATATATTGGGGAATAATTTGAAATACAATGTTTTTAGGGTTATGCACTGATTGAATATGAATCCTTCAAGGAGGCAGAGGCTGCTGTAGCTGATGCAAATGATACAACTTTCCTTGGTCAGAACATTAAAGTGAGCTTTGCATTCGTAAAGGGACCAGAGAAGGTCGAAAGCAGACGATTCAATGACACCAACCGATCGAACCAAAGGCAGAGAAGCATCAGTCCCAATTCTGGTAGACGTTAAAAGATATAAAAACGGAAAAGAGAAAGAAAGGGAAGAGAAAAAGAGAAATCGACAATATATACATATACACAACTACAAAACTACAAAACTACAAAACTTCAATCCAAACAACGGATATGACAAACCCTAGCAACGACCGATTTTTATTTTTGAGATAAAGAGTAGAGGATATATATATATATATATATTCTTACTTACCTAAGTGGTCAGAGTTGATTTTACAAAGAAATGTACATGTTTCATAAGCATGATGTATAGTGTGTGCAAAAACATGGATGTGTGTGTATTTATAAAAAGTGCACCAGCAGAGACTATGTGGTCTGTACTTTATAAATGATAATAAAAAGAATAGAATAATATTTCTGTAATGATAGAATGATGCTGGATTTTTCAAGTTTCTTTTTAGCTTATCAAAGGATGTCCAACGAATATAGTAATATACGTTGAAGTTGTATAGAAAGAATATAAAAGCGATGGCTTACTAGAAACTATTATATATATATATATATTAGAGAGCGTTGAAAAAAGTTCAATTTTCACGAGAGAAAAAGGAACTTTTATAAAGTTTTATATTTGACAGCCAAAATTTGAAACATCCCTAGAATTTTCATTTTTCAGTGTCATGACCTCTTCATATTGAACATATGTAGAGAGGCTTATATTTAGTCCCGTCAACATATCTAATACAGCCGTGTTAATTTCTTCAGCGACTATTATTTTCAGCAAGAGAATTTGTAAGATTGTGTGTAAATACTTACACTTATCCTTACCTGCTTAAATTAAGCGTAATTAAATCAAACACTTTAAGAAACATTTCCAATTTGACAGCATATGTAAGAGGGCAATGTTATACCAGCGAGAACTCAAAGAGCGTTTTGACTCATTAATATAAATCTCCATTTCAATGAAAATACAGTACACAACAAAAATAAACAAAAACACCTTTTGATCTTTTTGATGTTAAACTTGATTATTAACAATAGTTTTTTTTTTATAAAATCTTTATTTGGGCAAATACAAAAGAAACTCGTTTGTTATTGTAGAAAACAATAATATACTTTACATATATTTACATCTGTGAGCAGTTTATACTAGCACAGACGATAGATAACTCTACTTTGAATTCAAAGCATTCCACCATGACCTTTGTGTATACGGTAACCATTCTGACACAATAAGATATTAAAAATTTTGAATAAAAATTTATAGATATTGTCTCATAATTCCCTGAATGATTTGAAGAGAAACCGCTCTAAGAAAGTAAGCGGTCGTTTGGCCTAGCCATGGTGCTTCTTAAGGCTTTATTTAATGCTAACCGTGTTGCAATATACCAAAGGGCTTGCTTAAATTCTTTCTGGTAATATCTAAAGCATACAAGTCTCAGTTCTACTTGATTAGCTTTAAGATTACGGGTTTTTACCTTACATTTTTGCCGTTTTGACTCAGCTCTTTCATATTTAGTACTTTTTTATGTTTTGTACCAGCTAAATTATGCACACAGATATTAGATATTATAGCTCTACATTCTTTGCCATGTATGTAAGCAAATATATATATATATATACACGTTTTCTATGTGTCGATGTTAATTCAAAATACTCGAATGGCCTGCTTTTACTTCGTCATTTTGATTTCTTATCTTATTTTATTTTTTTAAGATTTTTAGATTTTATAATTTTTTTCTAGTTTTTTCTATAGAAAGAGAAAAATAGGTAAAGTGTGTACTAAAAATGAGAAAATTGTATCTATTTGATGATGGAGAAAGCAAGAAAGGAAAGAGTGTGAAGAGGGACATGAGGAGGCCATATTAACGAATGATATTGGTTTGTGATCGAAGGCACCAGAATGTAAAAGTACGAATTTTGTTTAGCATATTTTTTTCTGTTTATATGGATATTGATAGGCTCATATTTATTAAAGGTCTCTAAGCTAGTAGGACAAAAGAGAGAATTAGATTATTTGATTTGAGTGTTATGCGGGTTATATGCTGCTTTTGTCTTTTAACTTTGTTAAGCATCTTTGTTGTCTCAATTTGCGAGAGGATTATATATAAAAAATATTATAGACTTGTCAGTTCTTCTCTCAGAAAGTGGCTAAAATCTATATTTGATTTGTTTACAAAAAAAAGTCGAGCTCGTCTCAATCTTAAGTAAAAATGTAATAAAAACGACTTGACATTTTCTATTGACACAAAATTAGGCATGATTTTCTTTATTAATCGTAGACAATTAATATTATACGTCTCAATACCACAGGCAAGATCTAGACTTGTGTGACCAAGATATAGGAAAACATATACATTAAAATTTATAAAAAAAAAGTATGTGAATTTCAAAGAATACAATACTTCTTTTCTTTCATTACGAAAAATAAAGTGGCGTAAACCTTGTTTTATCATAACAATTCACATTCTATAACGATAAGAATATGAGTTGTAAATATTACTATTAATTAAAGAAAAAAGCTATATATATACTTAAGAACGCTTATTAACAGAGCATTTATTATATACAAGTTACATCACTCCCTTACTTTTGGGTTTATGACAAATATGTCGTTAGAATGAATAAATGAGGTTAAGCACAAGTCAATAGAAAAAGAAAGCGAGTTTTTGTCCACCATTTTATATGGTATTGATATTTACCAAAAAGTGGTTACTATACACTATTATACTACTCTCCTATCAAGTGTTAATATTGGAATGTAAATATACATAATAGATATACTCATGCATAAAAATGAGTTGAATAGCTAGCTTGTTTGCCTTGGTATAATATGTTAAATACTCTTTGGTAATGAATGATTTGGTTTTGATAAATAATATAAAAAGGGGGACCGAGAGAATCAAATCCGTTTCATAATATGGCTCAAGTTATAGTATAGCAATATTGTTGCTTCGAACATTGAGCAGAAAAAAAAGCTAACAAATCAGCCTCACACCCAGTTATTCAGTCTTAAAATTCGAGAACCAGATAATGGTACAACCTTGACGGACCTTGCACACAAGAACAATCCCAAAAAAAAGGTCCAGGGATCGTTACACCTGAAGTTGCTCTGTCTTGTGCTATTGGTCTCATTTATAAAGAGAGAGAGAGAGAGAAAGAAAAGAAGAATAAATGGTACTCTGTACATGGCTCGTCAGTGTGGCCGATAGTCTAGTGCCATATTTAGAAGAAAAACGTGCATAGTGCTATGTAGAGAATTGTACAAAAACCGAGGCAACGCTCATACCTGAGAATACAAAAAAGAATAGTACAAATACTGATTTTCATAGTGAATTAGCTCTGGTAATCCCAGGGTATCGCAATTTGCCTTATTTCCGGAATATATCTGTAGGAGAGTATTCTAAGTGAAGCCTTATCGTGCTGTTTGTATGAATTTCTCATACACAGGGCTTTTCATCATTTTAATGAAACCTATCAAATTAATGTTTCTATCAAATCGGTTGACAGAATCACTTGTCTTTCATTTCTTCTCAATATTGAACAAAGCTTCAAAGCTGCCATTAGGAATTTTCTACATGTGTATACATGATATATGCACATAAAACACACGCATTTCTTTCTTTCTTTTTTTTTTAAAAAAAAGCACAGATGCTTTTCAATAAATAAAAATAAAAACATATTCACATGCGCAATATAACTTGACGCAGTAGCCATCTTTAATTGAGCTTTTCTATTTCTTTTTTATACTCCACTAAACGGATTCTCTATAGATAGAAATAAAGGAAAAGAAAGGAATTACAATTTATTCAATTTATCAAGCTCTAAATAATCAAGTATCAGTCACAATCTACTGCTGCTGGTCTGTACCCTTTACACTGAAAATAAATAACCAATTGGTTTCTTTCATGTTTACCATACTCTGCAAACTCTGTAGACAACTTGTTTATAGTTATAAAGTACAATATAAATATATAAATATATATATATTGTGCGTACAATGTATTGTCCTACTTTAAATAAAAACTTTATACACCGCAATAATTCATTATAGTTTGGAAAAATCTAGTCCTAATGCCGGTTTACTTTTTATGGTACTAGAGTACAATAATAACCACGCACTTTGTACATTGAAATACATAAGAACTGTCAAACGTCTATAATTATTACTTTAATTATCTTATGTAAGATGTAGTGTCTGTATGTCTTTAGTGATCAATATGGATATATGTATATTTCACAAAAAAAAGGTACTAAAATTGTATACCTTTGGTAGAATATATACATATATACTTTACACTAAAGATTTACTGGCAATCTCATAATGTATAAGTATAACAGTTGGAATTCAGGCTATTACGATCTACGCGTGGGTTACATTCAGAATCGAGAATTAACTAGAATTTTATTCTCGATAATTGGCTTAGTGGCGAATATTTGATCTTATAAACGTATAGTGTATTGTATTTTGTAGATAATTGTACATGTACAGCTACAATTACATACATAAGTCAGAGTGAAAAAGATGTCCCAGGAAAGACATAATATTTAGAATGTTAAACAAAGTGATACGGTCTGTATACCCAGGCTATAATAATAGCATATTGAGTAAATCGACAGATAGCTACATACATACACACGTTTGTAGATTACTGATCCACATCCAGGATAAACCTCTGGGGGAAGCATTGCGTTCTATCGCTCAATCATCTAAAGCACAAATTAAATATAGTAGCAGTAGAATCTTTAAATCAATACATTCCTTTACTCAGACCACCTGTTAATAAATAATCCTACCTCTTCATTTATTCGAGTTTCACTTGCGGTAACTGAATCTAATCTTGATCCTTTTTCTTTGTCATACAAGTGGAATACATTATCCGCCATCAATTACTGCTATTATTCATATTCTTACTTCTTACTCTTAATGTTAAATATATATATATATATATATAATATGTTATTGACTTGATATATACATATATATATAGCTTTATACATTAATTTTATTTATATTCATGTTAAAAACTATTAGAATTTCTCGGGCTTAGCCAAATTTCCTCTTTAAAGACACAGTAAAGCAATTTTTTGTAGGAAATTATGTGTGCCTACAATGATTTAATATTCCAAAAATAAAACGGACCAAGTAGACACAAGCCTATACTAGATTTATACAAGAGAGAATACAGAACAGAGTTATTCAAAAAGAAAAAGAAAAAGAAAGAAAGAGAGGTAGGAAGTAAGAAGGAAAGAATTTGTCGTGTAATCTTCGATAAATTACGCGGTAATAACCCCATGTTCAAGTATAAACTTTTTTTTTTACTTTTCACTTTTAGCTATGGAAACTGGAAACTAATTGGTGCCTTGGTTTCCAAATGGAGATTATCTAGACTTGTAAAGCAGTAAAAATAAAGTAAAATAGAAGAGAGTATTCATTTCTGTACAACATCTACATTAAACAATTCTTTGGTTTGTGCAATCTATTCTAAATTATCTCACAAAACTTCATCTCTTTCTTCCTTCTTCATATATATATATATATTTCTATTACTCCAGCTATTTCTTCTTCTTCATTTTTGCCTTTTTATAAACATACGCTGACAAACGACCAATTGCTTTTCGATTGATTAATGGTAGAGACATATCAAAACAATTCCTGGGATCTGGACCGTATTTGTATTGACAATGTTTGCCACTGCGATTGGAGAATAACAATTACCGGTTGCGCAGAAGAACGACAATTGCGAATCATCAATACAATCTGCATTGTCCTATCTGCCGTCGCGTCAGTAATAGGTAAATAAAAGGAAATGGTACAAAAGCTCACATGAAGAAATAAAGAGACAAGAAAATAATACTTTCTAGCTACAAATGTGTGTATAAATACAGACAGAAGCTAAAATTTGCACGCTTTGTAGCTCTAATTTTAATTCTTCATCGTACACTCGTTCGTGGGCATCGTATATTCGATATCGACATACGAAAGGGTTGCTTCCGTCCTAAACCAATAGACTCAATGCTTGTCATGCTTTTTATTCTCAACCTACGTATGTACATGCTGTGTAATTCAACAGAAAGCAGAAATATTTGATAATACTGTATACTACTTGAGCAAAATTACACAAAAAAATATATCTTATTGTTACTAACTACACTTTTTTCTATATGTTTTTCTTTTAGTCCGAATGATTTATTGTATCATTTTGGCTACAGATGTTTCAAAAAGCCTAATTTTTCGCTCGTGTAAGTTTGTATAGATCAAAACAGCACTCATACTAATAATATTAATGCTTTTAATATATCATTCCAATATAATTTTGACTTTAGTTATGTTCGATTTTCCATTACAATGGGGATATGCTGGAGCCGCCTTGTATCTGACCGGAATTCTTCAAACCTTGGCTGACGTGAGCACAATAGATAATCAAAACAAAAATAAACAGGCTAATGTTTTATTTTAAAATATCCATTTAATAGAGCCACAAAACAATTTCAAGTGGTTGGCTACCTTCTCCACGCGCAGCTGACATTGTCAGTGCCGTATTGCTATTTCTCCCATTTATTCTCAACAACATATTTTCAATAACTGCTGGTGCCTTGGCCTATAATAATCCACATGGGGCTGAAATAATGACCAGACTCCTCTACACCGTGTGGTTTTTTCATTGCATATTTTTGTGCACTGCCGTAACATTTGCTGGAACACGCCTCACACGAATTCTAAACGAACATTTAGAGAATTTCAGTAGCTTTGGTGAACGTTACAACGCAGTAAAAGCTGGAATTCTAAAGGTAACGACAAAGTAAACATAAAAGAAAAACAGAAAATCAATAAGAAGCAAATTGACTAGATGAATTAATACAGCGTAAAATAGATCCACGCCGTGATGATACTACTTGCGCTTTATATGATATTTTTAGCAGTAGCAGTTGTTATTTATGGGTTTTTCCGTAACGCTGTCATACTGTCTTTACCAGCAACTCTTATCATGGCCAGTTCCTGGAATTTTGTCAGCCCGATTGCTACCTTTTTTATAGAAGTTTCCATGGTTATAAGGTTTGTTGTACAAAAAACGGTAACACGATATACACTAACATTTCTATTGTATCCCAAACTTAATGTATATAGACCAAGTATGGTTGAAAAAGGATCCAGTGTTCAGAAATCAAACGATGGTACCTCTGACGTTTATGATCTCCAAACCCAACCACCTTCCTTTACCAAGTCACCAATGCACCGCTCGAATATTCAAGGGACTCTCAGCCACAATGCTTTTGATGGGCTAAAGTCAAACCAAATATTCTTACCCCAAAGTTATTATCAAACCGATTCTGACGTGTTCCCTATAGAAAGAAGAGATATAGCAACAATGAGAATAGCAGGTTCTGGTCTCCCAGTTGCTGACAGTCAGTTAACCAACGTTCAGTGGCCATCGACTGCAGTATTGAATCAAAAGAGGGCATCCCAGGTTCAACTTTTATAATCAAATCACAGTAGATTTGAAATACTTAGACACATACACATACACATACACATACACATACACATACACATACACATACACATACACATACACATACACATACACATACACATACACATACACATACACATACACATACACATACATACATACGCCCCTTTTTTTTTGGAGCATCTGAAGTATTTATACAAAATACCAGCTCTGAATAACCTTTTCTCATTTTATATTTTTTAATTTGCTATTTCTTTGTATTTTTTATTGCTTTTACATATATATATATATATATATATATATATATATTCTAGAAGATAGAATCTATTATTTAAAAGTCTGCATGTAAGCATATTCATCTCATTTACATTTACCTTTACCTTCACATTCACATTCACATTTATATTTATATTTATATTACATCATTTACATAGCTATATCTATATCTATATCTATACCTATATACTTAAATAAATCCATAAAATCTTATTAATATAGTTCATAATAATTATGTGTATTTCATATATGTGTTTTATTGTACAACATGGAAGGTAAAGGGATAAAAAGAAGAGTAATGAAAAAAATTATGTAGAATGGTATTGTTCAAGGAAGAAGAGGTGAGTTCAATTTAAGTTACTTTAATGTACTTATTATTATTATTATACATAAATATATATTTACTTGGTCCACTTTCTCTTTTGCTTCAACTTCTTAAAATGCTTCTTTCCACCATTGGTAGTTCTTTCCTGTGTCTCATCAAACTTACGCTTGAAATATTGTTTTGACTGTTCATCTGCCAAAAGCTCATCCACTAATGTCTGCTTTCTATCCTTCTTCGCGATACGAGACGAGAAGAATTCAGTGGGACTCTCAATAATAGTACCGACTTGGAAGAACTTTGGGTTGTAGTTCTTGCCCATCTTCTTGTAATGTCGCTTGCGATCCAAAACATGACGCATCTTAATAATTTGTAAATCGCGTTTGATCTCATCTGTAATTTCAGGACGCTCCATATCGAACCAGCCCTTGCCTGTGGACTTTGCTCTCAACTACCGAATAGACATTAGACGATCTATGTTTTCCATTTTGTGTATGCGTGTAGTTACCAGCTGGCGTTCCTTCTTTGTCAATTGGGCCTCTTCGCTCTTATTTGCTTTTAAAATAACAAGAGCCTCCTTCTTCTTATCATCTTTATCAGTATCTGAAGCGTCTACAAGGGAAACGGAAGCTTTGTCAAGATAGGCACGTTTGTTATCTTGTGTGATGTACAAAGATTGTTTAACAGATACACCAGCATCTAATTTTGAAAGGTTCAAGCGTCTGATTCTAGTTTCTTCACTAAACAAATATCCCACAGAAATAATAATAGTAAAAAAAAATATGAGATTTAGAGATTTGTGCTTATTTACCACAGAACCAAATGATATAAAACTCTAAACAGAACAAAAATTTGTCATACCTTTCTTCATTCTCCTCTTGTGCCTTTTGTGCCTCTAACACTGCCTTGGCCTTGTTTAACAAAACATCAAGGTCTTCATCTTCAGATTCCTCGGACCCGCTCTCCTCGGAAGCACTCTCTTCAGAAGCACTTTCTTCGGAAGCACTTTCTTCAGGCTCCTCATCAGATTTCTCATCGGCAAAGATTACTTTTTTAATCTTCTTTTCTTTTCTTTCTACAGCTTCTGTTGCTTTTACTGCATCTGCTGTTGTCTCTTTATTTGCTGCTGCTTCTGCTGCTTTTGTGTTTTCAGCCGCTGTTTTTGTGTTTTCGGCTGCTCTCAGCTTCTTTGCTTGGATCGCAGAGATCGGTTTCTTAGCTTTTGTCTGAAGAGCCACTTTTTCCACTGGCTCTTCGTGTTTATCTGCCATCTTCTGTCTCTGTAATCGAGTGACAGGCATGTTGTCTTGATGAGTTTTCTTTTATATGTAAAAGATCAATCTTCGTTTCCTAATTTTTTCGAACCTTTAGTGGCTTTCTTTTTAACGAGTCACGACTGAGTTGTAGATTTTGGTGTGAAATTATCCATTTGTGGGTCTGCCTGTCAGTTTGCCAGTTTGTTAGTTTGTTAGTTTGTCTGCTTCTGCCAGTTAGTCAGCTTATCAGCCTGTTTGTCTGATTTCCTACTTGTCTCTATTCTACTTATTGGGTGAATACATTTCTGTGTGTGTATGTATGTCTGGATCTACTCTCTAAGTAATACATGTGTAAAATATAGTACAGCCAAAAAATATATCTGTAAAAATAAAATTGTGCCTTGAGGAGTAGGAAATAGAAAAGTGTAAATTCCTTGTCTTTTTTTTTGGAGAAAAAAAAGTAACTAAAAAAGAATCTAGAACATTTCCATAATGTTTTCATCTGCATTCTCTGATTTTTCTGAATTTGTTTCTAACACAACTGAGTGCACAGAACTTCAATTGGGTAACTGATAATAATATACAAGTAAATCTATATAATTGATCAATGATCAAATCATTAATGATCAGCTTTACTCAGTTCGACAGTCGAATGCTGAAGAGAATTCCCAGGAATCAGAACCATTCAAACCTGAATTTACCTATCCTATATTCGGTGAACAGGAAACAGTATTTGGATACAAAGGACTCCAAATAAAGGTACCGTAAGACACCAGAAATAAAACAAAAATAAATAAATAAATAAATAAGCAGCTTATGAATACGAATGTACATTGTCGTGAAATAGATTAATTATGCATCCGGCTCATTGAAAACCTATCTGAATATAAGCTACAAAGAGAAATTTAATGGTCAAGGGACCAATGACACCGGTGTATTGGAAGCAGCCGATATTAAAGGCACACTAAGTGAATATTTACCTTCAGGTAAATGTATATACATATATAATTATCTGTATTGGATTTATAATGGCTTATTTAAATAATCTTCGCATTTAGACGTGCTTTCCAATTATGATGAATTCATTCGTATTGTTCAGGAAGACGCAAAAACTTTTAAGCCTTTGGGTGAGAAAATGAGCGAATACAAAGTTGAAACCGAAGATGGTGATGAAGAACAATATGAGATTTACAGAGTAAGCTAAATTGGATATTGATATATTCAAAATTTAAACAGTAAACTTATATAAATCTCTATTCTCCGTAGACTACCTTTTCCAATACAAAGTTCAGATCATATCATGACAGAATGCAGTTGTTTGCATTGTTGTTTATCGAAGGTTCAAGCTACATTGACAATGAAGATGAGAAATGGGAGATTTATACAGTGTAAAGCAAGATCAATCATTTAATTTATGGATGAAGAATATTAATTATTCTGGATTTGTGTAAATTATAGGTTCGAAAAACAAGGTCAAAATGAATCTGCCGTGTATCACTTTGTTGGGTATTGCACTGCGTATCCTTTCTTCTGCTGGCCCGAGAATATTCGTATGCGTATCAGGTAATGACAATAACAGAAAATGGGATTACTTTAAGTTTAATTAATTGCGTGCCTTATCATCACAGTCAATTTTTGATTCTTCCTCCATATCAAAAACAAGGTCATGGCAGTAAGTTAATTTATATAAAACAGTTGCATATTAATTGACATGTGTATTCTGCAAAAACAATAGACTCTCTCTATCAAACACTTTATTGCATCTTTACGACACGTAATGAAGTCTGTGAACTCACAGGTAATATGAGTATCAATAAATCCGTCGCAATGATAATAAACTAACAAGACGAACAAACAATAGTGGAAGATCCTAATGAAGAATTCAGTAATTTGAGAGACAAAAATGATATGCGTATCCTACGAGATCAACATGCCTTCCAAGGCCTTCAAGCTCCTGTTCCAGAAGAGAAGATTAAGGAGCTCCAAAAACGTTTCAAGTTGACTGAAGTAAGAAAGACAACAATTATGATTATAGTGGTTTAGGAGAAATATGAAATATGAGATATTCGTTTTCTTTTCTCTTCTTCTGTCTTGAAAAAAATGGTGTCTAATAGTTTGTTTAATAGCGCCAAATCAGACGATGCGTTGAAATGTATTTGCTTTCCAAACTCAACAAGCTGGATAGTGCAGCTTATAAGGCTTATCGACTTCAAGTAAAACAGAGACTTTATTTGTTTAATATCGTGAGTATTAAAAAAAAGTTGGGATAGAGTCCAATCAGAAACTAACAGTGGAATGATGATTCTGTTTTGCTTCAAGGATGCCCTGAAAGACATGGATGCTGATGAAATGAAGGAAAAGCTTCAAGCTACTTATGATGGTGTAGAGGAAGAGTACCATGATTTATTGGAGCAAGTCTAACATTTATATGTGTGCATGTGTATTTAATAAAGTGATAGTTTTAGAGTAATAAAAAGGAAATGGAGAAAATCAACAAAATAGGAATCACTGCCAAGAGCAAGATGTTGCCTTGGGTAACCATTAGATGTGGAAATAAAGACGGGAATTTTATATTGTAGAATGTAAGAATTAGGAAAATTGCCGTCTCGAATGGTTTCCAAAAATAAAATAAAATAAACAGATAGAGGGAAAGTAAAAGACAATATAGTTTATAAACTATATCTATATCTATATGCACTTTTATACATGCACACGTACATGTGTATATTATAAGTAATTGAGAAACTTGGTTGATCGAATGTTGTCTCCTAGCTGAGATCGTCTTGATGTTTGTACTTTGGGCCAGGAAAGGGTTTGATCGACAGTATTGAAATTGTACGATGAAGCGAATGGCATATTAAGAGATCGCCCTCTTTGCATCTTATAGATCTACCTTTTTTAATATCTTACCTCAAAACACTCCAGACCATGCAGCACTTTCAAAATCTTCCTTCTATTCGACATCTTCTTGATGGTGTACCCGCACCACATCGCAAGTTATTATTAGTATTATTATTTTAAAGGAAAGCGTACACCACAATGCCGTTAACTAACAGTCCCCATAATACTCTGCAAATTAGGCGCGACATTTAAACCACACTATTCACAACCAATGGATAGTATTCAAGCGCCTTTCCCTTGCCGGGTTCCAAACTCTTCTAACTACTTGGAATACAGCACAAAGAGTTCAATTTACACTGCACTTCCAAAGCCATCATTTCCTCGACGACCAATATCTCCCTTTGTTCTTCCACTACTCTCGGGACCACCACTTCAAATTTTGCCTCTCGGTCCGGGTACACCTAAATATTTTGAAGAAATACCAACAGGACAATCTATACCTAGTCTTTGTCAAAGACCAATTATTCAGGAAGCCTTCTGGAGAAGATCACGATCTGATCCAGACAGTGTTTATTCGTATTCTCGAAGACTTTCAGTAGATGAGAGTGAATCTGACGGAGAGCAAGCATTGGAATCACCTAGTCAAGATAATGGAAAATACAAGTGTTCCTATTGTGCAAAGAGATTTATGCGCCCTTCATCGTTGCGTACACATGTTTATTCTCATACAGGCGAAAAGCCTTATATCTGTACATCTAAAGGATGTGGTCGGAGGTTTAGTGTTCAAAGCAATATGCGACGACATCTACGTGTTCACCGCTTAGAAACTTCTCAAGACTCACCTTACAGTGTATAATGCTTGTGAAGAAAGAGAAGTCAGCCGTTATTCCTCCTACATTTTTTATTTGATATTTAATCCACGCATGTATTTTATTGTCTTCGTTTATAGCACAAATAGATATTTTCATCAATTTGTATTTTGCTTTTCTTTAATATATATATATATACGTATATACATTAAAATCCGTCCTTTTAGAATATAATGAATCGCGTGGGGAAATGCAAAGATCTGGATTTAAAGAGTATTTCTCACAATCTAATAGCAGGCGTTTCAATACTTGCATATCTACCCTGTAAATGAATTCTAGATTCTTCAACCAAACCTTCCGTAAAGCTAATTTTTAAAGGTTTTAATTTTTACAGAAAACATTCTGCTTGTAGAGTATTTTCTGCATTGGATTGGGTAATTATCATTTCAGATTAAATAGTTTTCCTTTAATTTGCTCATATGTATTATTGAGGAACAGTTTACTATATAAAAAATGGGGCAGACAGACGAATGCGTAAAGCATTGGAAAGAAATTATGTGTTTATTTTTTGGTCTTTAACTTTGTAGTAAAATACTAACAAGAAAGAGAATTGATATTTATCAAAAAGAAAACTCATCATTTAATGGTTCATTTCTCTATTATTATTAAATTGTAAGATTTTGTACGTCTCAAAAATAACAGAATAGACCAGATGTCTAAACTCTCATGGTTAGGTGAACACCCAAAAACAATTAATGACGGGGTACCATTTTGTATGAAAATGAATAATTTGATCTAATTAAATACGAGAGGCTGGATAAAGGCTTAATGTAGAACGCTATAAAAGTAGTATAATATTTTGCTAAAAGCTTGAATGTATGCCTCGATGAATATTTTGAGCTACTGGGCAGGTTAACTGATAACGAGGTATACGAAAAGCTCAAGTGGATAAATACTTTTAAGGAATCAACATTATCGAGCAGCTGATCCCAAACCGTTACTGTAATTACTTATCTTCCCTTGAATATAGTATACCTATAAAGCTGTCTTGACAGAAAAGAGTGGGATAATGTATTATTTTATTTACTCAAAGATATTGCACAAGAGAATATGGTATTTATTTTAACTGAAGATAAAATAAACACGTAGACACACACTATACATATATATGTATATTTGTTAAATCATTTGTGTAAGAAGCGAAAATTGGTCTATTTTACTTGTAATGAGGTAGATATTGGCTATATCAAATGCTCGACAACATTTGACAATCTAAGCACATACAAATACATAAATACAAGAATAGAGTAAGTATTAAAAAAATATTATATAAGTTTAAATAAAAAGACATGAAATTACTCTAAGTAAAGAAGAAAAAAGACATTATTTATCGTCTTCTTCTTTGGCCTTTTTTTTTTACTCTGAAATGTAACAAGAAAGTTTTATGATTTATATATATGTTAAAGAGCAGACCTAGCTGTTTCGATTGTAAGTGTTGTTTGTGTGTTTTTGTGTTGCTGTGTTTGTTTGAATGTTTAGTCTACAACTGACCACTGTGGTTGTTTGAGAAGAGTTACGCCCTTGACAGAGTCGCAATCAAAGTTCCAATCTCTCCAGTGATTGCCTTTACCATAGCAAGGATAGCACAGACCACACACACTAGATCGGAAACCAGTACACATCTTACGCCCATTACGCAAATTATCAAGCATTTGATGCATCGTTCCACCAATGGCATCTGGTTCACCAAAATCACCAAAATGCTTTGCAATCATATCTTCTTCACACACATCAATTTGTTGAATACGGCGATCCAAAATAGGTTTGATGTTGTAAGGGAATAACCAAATACCCAGATTTTGATCCTCATTACGGACAAACATTCTAGGACCTCCGACACCAGCAATGAGATGAACAACATCGCGCGATAGGATGTAGAGAGCACCAGCAGTATAAGGAGGGAATATGGGGAGGGTGTAGTCCAGTTCGGCATTTTTGTTGTCATTGTTACGGATTGGAGGCATATTCCAATAGCTAAGTCCCCGCCAATAACGTTGCTGGCGACCCATGGTAATAAACTCTTTGGTAATTGTATCCCAACGAACAAAGATATCGTCATCAGTCTTGATAAGATAGTCAAAGTTCCACTGGTCTGACCAAACCATGGTCTGGTACACTTTTTTGCTGAGATCATTGTAGAGATCAGAGCAAGGAAGGATCAACATATCCTTGTTGGCCGCATTCTCAGCCTCAATCTTAGGTCCCATTTTCAGTCGAACTTCCTCAGACGGGGGTTCACCCAGAATAAAACGATAAAAGTACGACACCTGGTCGTCATCTGCTGGCTTTAACTGGAGTGATGTCTCTCTAAATATCTGTCGCTTTTCAAGACTCTTGGGTGTCCAGGCGGATATTACGAACACCATGACTCGCACCTTTGACTCTGCTAATTCAGTATGTCGAGTGGCTACAGGTGTTTCGAGTTTGTAATGAACAAGATCTGCCGAATGAGTGCGAATAGTATTGATTTGATGCAAGGATGCAAACATTGTAATGAATACCACGAATGCAAAGGGCAAAATTAACACTTTTACAGCCGTGGAGCGATGAGTTATGCGTGGCTCCTGTTGTGTGTCATTCGATTTGGGATGATACTTTGCATTCGATGCAAATCTGAGTTTGAGTACATTTGATACCAGTAAGATAAGACAGATTGTCATCCATTTTCTAATCGGTTCATCTGCCCCGTAATGAGAACTGATAAAGGCCGAACAAGACCAGTTGATAAATGTGAGGGTAATCAAACGTATGATAGCACTGCTGAGCTCGTAATGGTACAGCCAACGCCGCAGCATGCTTGTGGTAAGAATCCAGCTCCAGTACCCAGCCAATGCACACTATTGAGATGTGAGGCTGTGTTGCCAGGTAACATGTTTTATTTTTTATTTTATTTGCTTACCCATACTATTGCTAAGCTGTATATCAAAGTGGTACTCTTGTTATCAAATAGGCCAGTGTCATCAAAGGGAGGTTGGATCCATGCTCGAGCGAGATTTCTGAGGATGCCAATAGAAGAAGGTAATACGCATAGTACACGCAAGAGAATTATTGGTAGATGAAATCGGCGTGGTACATTGAGTGCGGTCAATGACAGCGACCGATGCCTGTAGGCAGGAAGGCCATGAGGCTAAGGACGATAGAGTTCAGAGATGAGTACGGAAGTGAAAGAAAAAGAAAGAAGAAAGAAAGAAAAGATGAGAGATTGAGTACTGACTGTTGGCATGAGGTGAAAATGATCGAGATTACAGCAAGAATACACAAAGAGAATAATTCGATTCAATATTCACTCATGAACACATTAAACCCGGAAGAGTGGTTCTATTATTATTTTTTATTATTTTTTGTCCTGTTTCCAGAGAGCGGGATGTTGTTTTTAGCGGGCGAGAAGAAGCGCGTGTAACCTTGTCTGGTTGAGGGTCTTCATTGGAGAGATCCCAGGGCACAAACTAGATAATTTGTGTACCAAGTATGTCTTAATGTCCTCCAATGAAATATGTGATTTTCACTCAACCATTTTGTCCTACATATGAGGCTTTGGAATTTATATCACTCACTCACGCATATATATGTTTTATAAAGACTGGACTAAAATATTATGGTCTGGGAATCATCATTTATATATATATATTCTTTTATTCTATTCTGTCAAGAATGATATGTATAACCGGTATCGGATTCGCCCAATCCAACCCTTGGTGCTTAATTCAGTTAATAAATATTTGCGTATATATCAAGAGTAGAAAATAAGGAGAGAAACCTTGAATATTGCATTTTTTTTTCCAAATCATAAGTGCAAGATTATACTACTGCATCATACATATACATTAGATGTATATAAAGAAAATAGTTTAAATAAATTAGCCTTTTTAGCTTTGTTTTTGTTTTTTTTTTTGCATTGTTGATACAACTTCTTGAGCCAAAATTAAAATCTAAATCTTGAAGCATAATATTCTTCATTGTCTTTAGGAACCTAAATATTCATCCCAAACAATGATATTTAATATCAACAGAAGAAATAATAAAATACGCATAGACATGTCCATATTATATATCAACCCACAAAGGGAAGGGTTGTCATTTGGGGGATGTTGCTAAGAACCCTAAAAAAGGGTAGTTGAGTAACTGTATATTCTAAGATGACGTCTCCTTTTTGTTTCAAAGGGCCGATCTTTCTCACTCGTTTCTTACTCTCTTCTTTCTCCCTTGGCTGCTCACTAGTCTTCATTTACCTATTCGACACAACTGTGTCTTGTTACCTTACTATATTTCTTAAATTGTCTACGTAATATCCTATCCCAATGGATTCCTCACGAAACACTCGCTATTCATATCCTTATGCTCATGGCAATACTGGGGCACCAGACAATGTTCCAACTCTGTCCAAGGAAATCTACCAGTACGATGCTCCTTGGCATACATATGCACTTGACTGGTGTAAGTCGCCTATTGATCGCAAGAGTTTCCGACTTGCCGTAGGAAGCTTTATTGAAGATAACAACAACAAGGTAAAAATATACACCAGAGACATGACCTAAATCGATTCAACATAACGATCGGATGGACCAAAATTATTGATGCTTGGATATTTGTCTTTCTTAGCTTCAAATTATTGCTCGCACTGACATGTTGAGCGGTGGGTATGAAGCTGGCCAAAAGGATTTTACACCTGTCGCAGAAGCAGAATCTTATTATCCGATCACTAAAGTGCTTTGGGAGCCACACAGGGTAAATTACAATTCACACAACCAAATTATATATATGTATATATATACGTGTGGGTGGGAGCCCATTCTTCTTTGAATTCTATAGATCACTTTATTTTGGAGAACTTTGGAGGTGGTGGTGGTGGTGTTTATTCAGAATGTAATGTAATGCCTCTAGTTTGCCCGGCTTTTTGTATCAGGGTGATTCGAGAAATCAAGATCTTCTTGCAACAACAGGGGATATCTTGAGAATATGGGAGCTTGTTGATAACCCTCGGTATGGAACAAACTCAAATACGATCAATTCTTCGAGTGGAAGAGCAAGTCCAGCCTATTATCAACAACAATTGGTCAAGAAAGCAGACTTGGTTAATGTGAGTAATTAAACAGTACATTGCATACAAAAAGAAAGAAAGAAAGCAATATATTTAGAGCGTAGAAGGGGCTAATACAATGCACTATAATACAATCATATACGACATGATGCGATGCGATGCTATGCGATATATATTATATTGTGTGTGCTCACCAAAAAACTTTTTTTAACCTCTCAGATGAAGCAAACCGACTTCTGTGCTCCATTGACTTCATTTGATTGGAACGAAACAGACCCCTCTCTAGTAGTAACATCCAGTATTGATACTACCTGTACTGTTTGGAATGTCGAAACTAGTCAAGCCAAGACACAGTTGATTGCTCATGATAGTGATGTGTATGATGTGGCATTTATGCATGGGTCTGCGGATATTTTTGCAAGTGTGGGAGCAGATGGTTCTGTACGTCTGTTTGATCTAAGGTAAAGATAAGGCTGTTCATATTTTCCGTTGTAGTATGTGTTTTAAAATGAATCGGTTGTTTCAATTCAAAGATCCCTGGAACATTCGACTATTCTGTATGAAGCTCCTCCTGCAGCCAATCCATCTTCGAATGGAGCAGGAGCAGGAAATGGAGGACATGGCAGTAGTCTGCATAGCGGAACTGTTCCATTGTTGCGCCTTGAGTTTAACAGTCTTAATCAGAACCATCTAGCCACCTTTCACATGGATTCATCCGCTGTCCAGATTCTTGATATCCGCCACCCCAGTGCACCTATTGCTGAGCTTGTTAAAGGACACAATGGCAGTATTAACTGTCTAAGCTGGTCTTCCACTCAGCCAGGCCATCTCTGTACTGGTGGTACGTTTGATAGTTTATGGAATATCTTGCTTCCTTTGTTTATTGATACCAAAATCGTGTAGGTGATGATTCCCAGGTGTTGGTGTGGGACATTAACCAGCCAAATGGAATCGATCCTAGCCGTCCCGCTTATCACCAATCAACTCAAACAAGGTTTAATCAGCAAGCACCCCGCTCCATTCAGGACCCTGTATTGGCTTATGGAGCTGAGTCCGAGATCAATGCTTTGACGTGGAGCAAGCGAAACCCAGATTGGATTGGAGTTGGGTTTGGAAAAACCATTCAAGCACTTCGTGTTTAAGGAAAGGTGTATATTATTTACTTGTCAAATAAAGAAATAAAGAAAATCTTTTCAAAAAAAAAAGGCGAACTTCTGGCGATCTCTTATTGTCGATCAGATAAACAAAGGAATGCAACCGTAAATAAATGAATTATATTTCTCCCTTTTTAATTCAATTTGTACGTTTGTGCACGCTTGCTATGCATCTGTGACTATAACCAATTTCGTTTTGACTTTTTCTACTGCATGTAATACAGGCATAGTAACCAACTATCATGTATACTGTTTCAATAATACAAACATATATATATACGTATATAATACATATATAAAGGAGATTGTTAGGAGTAAAGGAGGAGCTCAAAAAATAGAGAGGGATGATAGCGAATTGGGATCCACCAAGATACTTGTATAAATTGTCTCATGGATAACTTATCTGTTTTGTTGTTGCTGTTGTTGTTGTTGTTGTTGTCCTTCTTCAGTCTATTACCATCCTCAAGTCATTAAAAATGCAGTCGCCGCCAACTCATATAGAAATTACCTTACCGGAACCATTCTACTTGTCTCCATTGGCACTTTCATGTCTTTACACAGCTGTCATTGGACTGGATTACATTGTATTGCTCAATGAGAAAAAGCTACCATTGACATCTACTCAACTCAGATTAGTCATCACGGCAATCCATATTGCCCTTCCCTTGATATTTATTACACACTCGGTTAAATATAATCTCTTTTTTGCTGGCTTACCTTGGGCTGTTGCCTCCCTCACTGCCTGTCTTCCCCTGGATGAAATTACCCTGTCAGATTGGGTTTTGGCTCAGTCCTCTGTTCTCCTGGATCCAAGTGTTTCCGTGCCATCCAATCCCACCATAAAAGAAATCTATAATACAGCAACTAGTCAAACCCTTGCCACACGTATTCATGGTATCGCAAAGATAGGAAGAGGAATGGCCAAACTAGTAATAATGAAATACATTCTCGATCCATTTTTGCCTGCGGACCCATCTAGTGTGCTGCTCTTCCCTTGGTTTAGCAAGACTAGTTTGGTTCTCACCATACTTTTTGGAATGAAGGCATATCTGACAATTGGAGCGGTAGATATTGGACTTGGATTTATGCAATTTGTACTGGGTATACCTCTTGTTGATATATTCAACTCTCCTATTCTTGCTCACAGGTAATTTGTCGTTATTCAGTGTATTTTAAATGATACTAATTTTATCATTGATTTCACGTATTTGTACATTTCAGTCCAAAAGATTTTTGGGGGTAAGTTTAAGAAATTGCATTGTAAATAAGCCTGATAGAATCTGATTTCATATTATATGTATAGACGCAGATGGAACATGATTGTTCGAAATCATCTTCATAGAGTTGTATTTTTGAGCAAGAAAGGCAAGAAAATTCATGAAAAGAAGCAAGACGATCCACCAGTAGGTGACAATGGTCTTCCTATACCAGCTCAGCCGCCTTCAGTATTGGCTCGAAATCTCAGAGGTCTGATGGTATTCTTTGTGAGTGGTGCATTCCATGAACTGCTTATAATGAGTGCTTGTCGCCGAATGACACTCGAAAACCTGTTGTTCTTTTGTATCCAAGGGGTTTTTACTTTGATTGAAGTCACTATACGTAAAGGGTCCCTTAAAAAAGATCCAACCGGCTGGCGACGGGCCGGTTTTATTCTTTTGCATATTGTCCTTATGAGTATTATGGGTCGTCTCTTCCTTGGCCCCTTTCTTCGATACGAATGCCTGTATAACTTATTGCTGGATATCTAGACAGAAAATGAACAACTTCTCATTTCTACAAATAGATCTAGAAGATACATACATAGATACATACATACATACATAGATACATATAAAATAAAAATATACACAAAATACAAATGCCATATAAAATAATTCTAATATACTCTGCCTGATCCATCTCTTTGTCGCTCAATATCGGATTGACCAAAACTACGGGCCCACTGGTCATCCGGGATTAAGGACCCGAAAAGTTCCTTCATGTGTTTACCCAACTATTACAGTGTACCATAAGTTAGTTTACGAATATTTCTACAAATAATCCAGACAAGTCTAGAACAAATCATCTCAACTTTAGGAGAATGTATAATAGTATCTCTACTTACGTGATCAAGCTCGACAATAACGTTTTCCATCATCATAACATATGCATAATATACCATAAAACACTCGTCGTTAGCAGATAAATGATTTAAAGATAGAGCACTCTTATTATGTGGTAAGGTCTGTAGCTTGGATACGAGCCTTGTTCGCGCCTTCTCGGCAGGGGGTAAATACGGTGGTAAAGGTGTTTTGAGCTGAAGAGCTGAAGCGAGTAGATAGAAATACAGTAGTACATTTCCAGCCATTTCCATCAATTCTTTGTTGGCGGGCAAAATAAATTTTCCTCTGACTTGGGTAGTCCATACATCCTTAAGAACAACAATTCTGATTGACAGGAATTTGTCGAGAATATCTTGACAAGACGACAACATGGCTTCGTATGTTTTTACAGGGAAAGGTCCCTTAAGACGTGGCTCGTTTGGTGCATGATTTAATAGATCCTGTAGGTTAACCAGATTTACTTGGAGTTCAAGTTCGACTCTTTGTAAGGCAATAGAACGTCTTTTTTTGTGAAGAGCCAGAGCAGTTAGCTCCTTGTCTGTCAGGGCCTGCTGAAGAGGGTTGTCTAGGAGTCTGTCTAGCAGCAGTGCATCGGCATCTTTTTCTGCCTGAGGGGTTTCAGAATACTCGGAAACGAGTTGTTTGTAAAGCCATGAAAGGCGAAGGAGGAAATCGGATAAACCTCTCCGTAATTCCTTTCGTGCTTCATAAGGCCACACATAGGCTGTAATAACCAGACCTTTAGAAGAAGAAGAGAAAGGAGGGGAAAGAAGGATTAGTTGATATCACCTGAATCTTATAGACGCACTTACTAATCAAGACTCCCAAGGAGACTGTAAAGCATCGCATCCAGGTCAGTTCAATAACATCGATCTCGTGGTCATGTCTCTGATTAAACTTGTAGAGAACAACAAGATTGTATGCTAGAAGCGAAAACAGACCAAATCTCCCATGACGATGATGCATGGTTACCCAGAAGCAGCCCAAAGAGAATGCCCAAGTGATGAATAAAAGCACCGGACCATTGGCTGGAAACATGAGATAAGCACCTAATGCAATGATCGACCCTACCATTGTAGCCAGAACACGTAGTACAGCCACCAAGTTAGTTCCACCCACAGTAGGTGTCATGGCTGCTAAGACCTATTCAGAATAGTTATATTAGTTTATATTGATTTTTAGTTATGTTTGTTGTCTTGTAATTATATATGATTATTGCTTCTATTCATTTACCGTAATTAAAGTCCACTCCATTCGTAGAGACTGGAAATAAGGGCGAGTGTAAGGGATGAATGCTAGAACAGCAATTGCTAGCGCTGTAAAAGTGGATTTGGCAGCGTATCGGGCTTCATGGTTTCTGAACCACGAGAAAAATGACCACATTTTTAAAAAGAAACGGCGCCAGTATGTTTTTGGTGTGGGTGTATGCAGTGTATTGAGTGTATTATGGTTATTGGGGGCTTTTGTGAATATCTTTTCATGTGCGTTATTGCTACAAACTGATAATTTAAAATAATTAATTACGTTAATTTTAATATCAACCCTCCATTATAAGAAAAGACTTACACGACGAAATTACAACTCGTTTGAGCCATTGTATAGTTGAATCATCTTGACATGGGATATCAAAAACTGATTCAACGGACTCGACTAGCACCTTGAGCTCTTTAGCAAACTCCAACAAACAAAATACAAAAAAATAAACAAGATAAACATCTTCCACTGGGAACTGCTTGATCAGATGAAAATGCAACTCGCTTGGCATATAGGCCTGCGACTGCGCATAAACCTGTGCCTGCGCTTGTGCGTGGGCTTGAGCATCCATCTTGCGAAGGAACATGCGGGACAGTGCCGCATGTTGTGATTCTTCAAAAAGAGCCATGGCTTTGGTGAGATTCTGCTTTAATACCACAAAACTAGGAGTAGTGGAAGTAGTTTTGTCATTAAAATGTGCCTGGAGATGAATGATGGTTTGTTTGCAAGTAAATGCAAGGGATTTCATTGGTGGTCTAATCGTATATATAAACTCGCTAAGAGGACCATAGCTAACTTCTCGTGTTTCTTGTGGTTCGTACTGACTATCGTTTAATTCTCTGTCGGGCTCTTCTTGTTCCGTTTGTTCTCCTTCTTCTTCTTCTTCTTCTTCTTCTGGTACTGTCATTAGATCACACGAGGGCTGGTAGCTGTAGGAATATACGGGAGAAAAGTACGATTTATCAACGTAGCTATGACCTCCTGGGATATCCATAGCATGAATAGATTTTGAGCTCATTTCCCTTTTTAACTCATGCTCCATCTTCTTGCGTTGGTGGTCTGGCTTGATATGCCATTCTGAATTTGAGTCACTGGTCTCTGGTACAGGATTCCGGTGTCGCTTTGATAAAAAAGTGTTATTCGTTGCTCCATACGAAGCCTTTGCTATATCATCAGGCTGCTTTCCGTTAAGGCGCATCATTTCAAACTGAATCCCGCAGCTACTACGAAGACCACCAATATGTTGTGCAAGCCTTTGAAGACTTTCGACAACTTTATGGTATCCATCTGCATGTAATAACATATCTATATCGTAGAATTCATGTTTTGCGTCGTTCAAGGAGAGCTGTAAGTTTGTGAAACTTTTTCGGTGAGAAACAATGGCTCCTTCAAGTTGAGGGTTTGCCGTAAATTCAGGGAGATCCGAATCAAGCAGAAACGTTTTTGTTAAAAGCTTGAGCAATATACGCGTGGATTGGAGACTTGAATCGATGTCTGATCTATGTGTAGATGCAAATTTATTGTGTTTGTGGTTAATAATATGTAGAAAGTTGAGTGATCTATGTTTATACTGATATACCTGAGTTTACTGGTTGCTGTCATAGGCCAGACAAAGAAACATACAAAAACAGAGATCATGGTTCCAACTATCACCACTCTTACTGTATCCTGGATTCGAGCTGCATTAAACTCTGCTGTGTCGGTTGATCCCTCTCGAACAAGTACTGGACAGATTACCATAAACGCTAGTGATACAGCTATAGAAATGAAAATATAAGATCAATTCAAACATAATGTGTATTTACCTATCCCAACGCTAGGATTGCTAAATTTCGCTTTTATAAAAGACAGAATAAATGTGCTGCCAGCAAACCAGATTCCCAGTGTAACGAGATGAGATATAATCAGTTGATCTTGCTCCCGCAAATAGACTGCCGTAAGCATGCTCAATAAACTAACACCGAGTGCAAGGAGAGTATAGAGAAATCCAAAGGAAACGGCTTGTATCATATTTCCAACTGTCTTTGCGGGGCTAAAGAACGTTGTAACAGTGGCAATTACATGAGTTGCTGCCAATTGTCCGCCTACAAGATGGTTGAGTATCGGTACAAAGGTAAACAGGCTACCCAAAAAGAAGGCAAAGCTGCATTTCAGGACCATCTTTTGTTCGTACGAAGGTATCAATTTCTTCCTTAATTTCCATACTCTTCCCAGCCATGTTTGCCTTTTTTTGGGAAGATGTTCTTCGTCTGATTCGGAGGAAGAACTTTGAAGGGCATATGCAGTGTAATTGTTATGATGTAATAATCCAGTTCGCTCATCAACGAATGTATTTCTGGTCACATAATCCTCAACTTGGCTAAAAAGTGAGTTAATATTAAAGAGCGGACCAATATTAATTTCTTGTGTTCTCAGTTTCATTCTATTCTATTTTATTTTATTTTGAGATTTGTATGTGCGTATCACTTACTTGAAGTCGTTTGCCTCGTCATATTCATTTGCTGTACAACCCTTTTTTCCAAATTCGTTCTGTAGCGATCGTCGCACTTGGTCATCATAACATTTGATTTTTGCCCGATACTGTTCCGCTGGAAGAGCGGGGCCTGGTAAAGTAGATAGTGAAACGGTGCGTCGTTGAAGAGTACCATCATCCAGAACAACTTCCCAATCACTTTTACTATCATCTATTGAAGACGATCTTACGAGAAAATTTGAATTACTAGAATGAGGGTAGAAATAAGATGGTTGTGCTGCCGATCCGTCCGAAAAAGGTGTATCGGTTGATGTTTGTGGATGAACGTTTGAGGAGGAATTTGTAATCCAGGGTGCCATTGAAGTGCCAGCAATTGCAGTGTAATATGATTGTAACGAGCCGTCTGTTTTATCACACGGTGCATATGATGACAAGAGATTATAGATAGGCATTGGCATAGGTGAAGACGGGGTCATCTTAGGTCCACAGTCCTTAGTCGGGTCTCGGTTTTCGGGAGACTCTGAGCAGTCGACCATTAGAATTTAATAGAAAAAAGAAAGAAAAACAGAAAGGAGATAGATAAGAGAGAGAGAGAGAAAAGGGGGGTTTCCCAGATGAGGGAAATAAATATTTAGATAGAAACAAACGACATTATGCAAAGAGCTTTATTAGGAAGACTGCATTATGTCTACTCGGTTTCTTCAAGGAACTTTGTTGGTTCAGTAAGAGTAAAGCCACAAAATAATGAAAGAAGGAGAAAGAAAGATGGTATTTCTGTGATTGATAACCATAACACAATCGTGTCTGATCAAGTGTGCCACAAGAGTGGGCATTTGATTTATCTCAAGAAAGAAATGACAAAATAATTAAAGACTATAGAAAGCAAATTAAATTCATTACAGAATCTCCGGTCAGAATATTATTATAATAGCCATTAGATATATTACATGAGCTAACCGATAAAACACTTCAGGTACCACTTGGTAATTTACTCCACCAGAGTCTTGTCACCGTAAATCTTCGCGTACTTTCCCAAAGCCCAGATAGAGAACGAGAATTTGTAGTTTGGATAGGATATCATGCAGTTCTTGTTAAACACGCCTTCAATGCTCTCCTGAAGCCATTCGCCGTTACTTTGTTGACGTTTCATAATCAGTTTAATGCCCCGTCTAATGGGCTCTTCATCAGGATATTTTGCCTCCATCAAAGCCATGACTGCCCAAGCAGTCTGTACAACTTGTGACTTGGTATTGTGGGTATAGACATGGTCCTCGCACGACTAGACAATAAAATTTAATTAGTAAAATAAGTAAAATACACAATAAAACCAGATGAAAGAAAAATAGGGGATGTAGTATGTAGTGCCTTACTTTGTAAGACTCTCCCCACCCTCCGTCAGTCTCTTGCTTTGAGATTAAAAAGTCACAACCTTTCTTGGAATAGTTACTAGATAAAGTAATAATTTAGTAGACAAATCAGTATCTTTTCATTCGTATGAAATCTACCAGTGCTTTACCTGTTGTGATAGAATTCCCCGATACTTGCCAAACTCTGTAGGGCAAACATAGCAGCATACGTAAAACAAATGGCCCAGGCACCATACCACGAACCATCTTCATTCTGAACATCTTTAATATATAAGAGTGCACGTCGTGAAACCTCCTCGATCTCTTCTTTGCGATAGTCGGGATCAGTCTTCCGGAAAGTTGAAAGAGCAATGAGGACAGCAGTGGTACATTCGGGGTAGCTGTACTCTGTCATAATGTTTCCAAAAACTTCTGCCGGGTTTAAGGACTCAAGCCAGTGAGGGCCACGTATAGGCTCATAAGAAGCAAATCCATTGTCTTTGTTCTGCATAGTTAAAAGCACATCTACAGCATCCCTTAGGCGTTCACTGTCAATCAGCTGTTCCAAACCAGGTGTCTGTTGAAGCATGATTGTAGCTTTAATACCCTCGGCAGTACAATCCGACACAGTGTAGCCTTGGTCCCGTGTACTGAACGGCCAGGCCCCCTTTGTAATCTGACGATAGCTGGCCATATAATCAGCTGGGTTGTGGCGGATCTGAATAGCACATTTTAGAGTTATTGATTATGGATTTAGATTATTGTTTATTTTAAACATGGTTACTGCCTACAGGCACATCTCACTTACTTGGGAAATGTCAATGAATTCGAGCGTCTTGTTCATATTCTTGCGGAAAGAAAAATTTTCAGCCAGACGGGCTTCGACGCACGCCTGAGCAAGGAACGAGGCATCCCACAATTGACTGCCGTTTGTACCATTCATCATCATGCCTTCCGGACCCATCCACAAGAAATCTGCATTACGTTTGACATGTTCTCTGAACTCACGCGAATCCTTGCCATAGTGATAATATACTACAAGCCAATTCATCACCTTGTTAACAGGTCCAATATCCAAAAAGAACGAGTTTTCATCCTCCATTCGGATTTGGTCAATTGTAACCTTGAGTGCATACTGTCTAAGCCAGTTTAAGCGCAGAGGAATATACTCGTAGTAAGTAACAACCTCTAAAGATGAATGTTTTATAAGCAACAATTCAATAAAGCATAAAATAATAGCAGCGTTAATTACCATTCAATACGTCCATGAGTTTTGTATGAGGAGTGTAAAGGTCTGCCGTGCATACGTTATTGCGCTGCCTATTCCAATCAATTTCCTCGTAAGGGCATACATATAGCTCATCTCTCAAGGATTTTGTAAATTCGGTGAGAGGAGCATTGAGGCGAAGAGCGTAAATGTACCCCATTGGTAGGTACACGAGGCGAGTATGAACCCACCAATTTCCAGGGTTTAAAGGTAAGAAATTTGGAAGTGCCCTGATATCAATAGATGGAGTATATATAATTAAGTTTGTACAATTAATAAAGTTTTCTTTGATTTTGAAACATCTCACCTACCATAACTCAGGTGGTACAGGGTTCATTCCCTCCCATTCATATACGCCCAATGCTGCAAGCCAAAACTTTCCCCAGGCAGGCGCACCTGTGGCACCACCTAATTGTTTTTTTGTAGCATACAGAAATAAGTAAATAAAGATTGATATATATATTGTAGCATTTTTACCGAGTTCGTGAAGTTTAGTGCGTGCCTTAACCATAGCTGTGTGATCAGGACCAAGACCGAGAATACGAAGGGCTACATAATTGAGTGCAGTACCAAATACAGTAGAGATGCCTTCAATGTGGATACCCCAACCACCATCATCAGTATTAGCACGGTTCAACAGGTATCGAATCAGTTCCAAACGAGTAGGCTCATGTACAGGTACGCCGGTAATATAGTGAACAATGACCAGCCCTGGGATAAGAAACCTGTCAATCCAATATGAATATATTGTAAATAAACCAGTATATATAATACATACATTGGTCCTCCGTATTCACCGCCCCAATGCCCATCTTCTGTCTGTAAAAGACGGTAGAATTCAAATCCATTATGAGCAGCAGCTAAAGGAGACTTTGCAGGAGGCAGCTTGACAGCGTCCTGTAAAAAGGAAAAAGTGTACACATCTTAGTTAGTGAGTCATTGAAGCTAATTCATAAGTAATTTGGTATATTACAACAGGAAGACCAAGATGGTACTTGTCCCAATTAGTTTGAGGCCAATTAGCCTTCTCTTCGTCTGTAGTTAAGTAGTGCCATGTCTGTGCACCCTCATCCACACGCAAACGCCATTGTGTTAGATCCGTAAACTCGGGTGTTTCGTTGAGCGCTAATGTCGCAGATTTGAATGTCTCTTGCGTAAGGGTCATGAGATATGAGTGAATGTGAAAGAAGTATGGAATGCCAGCAGAAAAAAGAAGCTCGCACGTGGAAATAGACTTTATACTTTTTTTTCTACAAATAAAGAAGTGCCGCCAGGCATCTTTCTTAATAGCCGCTTCCAAAAAAAAAGTGGAGGGGCTCAATCATTCATTGGAAGACTCTTTTGTGTAATAGCAGGCTCAATATAATATATAAATAATTCTTTCCAAAAGCTTCGTTGGATTCGTTTCTAATTGATAACGTATTGCTTTTTATCCAAGCTTTGAATACAGTGTTTTGACTTGTTTGTATGGAGCCAATGAAATGTTTCTACTTGTGATTGAGACAAATTAGGAATTTTTTAGACGAATTGATATTGTGATTTTGTCTAGAAAGAGTGTAGACCTGTCTAAATTTTTCTAAAAAAGTGTCTTAAAACTAAATTTAATTCGTCTAAAAAATTCCTAATTTGTCTCAATCCCAAGTAAAAACACTGTGTAGTAAGGGTTTTTCCTGAACAAATAAAACGCCCATTCAAAAAGTGATTTTAACCAATTGTCTGGTAGTACCTCCGTAAATCGTTTGAAAATCCCAGGATATGGAAGCAGAAGCCTGAATATCTTGGTTTTGCTTTTTTTTTTTTAAAAATTTTCGTTTTATTTACTTAAAGCCTTCTAAAGTACACGGCAAAGCTATAAATGTTAGTGAAGAAATACACACATAGAAAAACATACGGGAATTACCATGTACAAAGTTAAATTATAACAATAGAAAATCTGGGATATTTTTTCATCTCAGCTTTTTTTGTGTGTTCAAGATGAAAACACTGTTTTCCAGTTTTCTATTGGCTTGGATACAATAGACGAAAATATTATTTATTATTATTATTATAAAGACATAACATTTCATTATAAAGACATAGTAAATTTAGTAAACGTTGTACTTGTTTCCTTTTTCTCTTAACACTTCAAAGTAAAAATAAATAAACATTATGTCCACAATTCCTGAACTCTACAACGAAAAGTGCCATTGTGCTGGATGTAGTCAGAACGATCTCGGCTATAGTTTTGTTGCCAGAAGAACTGCTCAACGTCATAACAAAAGGGCAAGACTAAATGCCATAAGATGTGAAAGGGGTACAATATTTGAATTTATTTAATTGTATTGTAATCCATGAAATAACGTGTTGTAATAGACATGTCTGCCCAGAGAAATATGATGGAGGTCGATGATGAACGTAAGGTTTATTTAATTCAGATACCGTTAGATATTAACCAAGTGTTATATTCTAAATGTAGCTATCTTAACCCATCAACCCGGAGCCCTGGAAGAATCGTACACTCAGACAAACTCACCTGTTTGGGAAGGAGCTTCAATGTCTGACACTGAAGACGTTTCCGTTACTAATGACGCGATCAGCAATGGCGACAATGATGACA